TGTAAATGTTGACATAGAATATTAGAGGCACTTCCTTTTTCCGGGTTGTTCCTGCCCCAATTCTTGCTTTTCTGTTTTATATCGGAGACTCAATCGTTTTCTGTTTTGTAGTTTTGAACTTTTGGAATCCCTGATGGGAATGTTCTTGTAGGCTTCAAACTTTTATTTATGAGTCCCCTGTCAAATCTTGGCTGAAGCGTATGAGAACCTCCGCACAACGTATTAAATGTGTTTCCTTCTGAGTTTATGGCTCTTTCGAACAAACAGTGATTTATGGACAAGGTATGACATTTGAAGTAGATAAGGCTGCCCCAGCAATCCTATCTACGAAATGGGCACCATATAAGTTGAACAGATAAATAAATCAGTGTTTCTCAACCTTGGCAACTTGGAAATCTGCAGACTTCAACTCCCAGAAGTCCCCAGCCAGCAGGGGGAATATATAAAGACATAAAATCAGTGGGAAAAATCAGGAAAAATCAAAAGAAAGTAACCCTATATTTCCCTATTTGTGGGGAAAAAACCCCAAGAAACAGAAGATTCAGTTCCGCAGTGTTTCTCTTAGGATATTGTTGCATATCTCGTTCACCTTCACATGAGTTCCCTGTCTCTCTCAGAGTTTTTCCCCCCCCAACCTCAAAATTTCTAGAGATGTACGTTTTGTACGTTTTCATGCCAGTATTTCTCCTTTTTTTCCTCTATAGGAGGAAATGCAGAGGACCCTATAATCTGCCTTTCTACCAATCACTTCTCCTAATTCAAACGTCACACAAGGATGGAATTCTGGGATGCCTCAAACTTTATTTCTAAGCATTGACCTGGTGGCTTTGCAGGAGAATGTCAGAATGGTCCATCAGGTGGGCCCAGTCTGCTCCATCCATGCCACAGTCTCAACATCAGCAGTCATGAGATGCCTATGAGATGGGCGCCATATAAATCGGATAGATAAATCAGTGTTTCTCTCCAACCATGGTGACTTGAAGATGTGTGGACTTCAAATCCCAGAATTCCTCCACCAGTTTCATGGGATTCTTGTCTCTTTGATGTTATTTCCCCCCCCCTCCCCAACCTCAGCTTTCCTAGATGGGGGTGTTTTGTCTTACTTCACAGATTAGATACAGATACAGATTAACAGAGTTGGAAGGGACCTTGTAGGTCATCTAGTCCAACCCCCACCCACCCAAGCAGGAGACCCTACACCATTTCTGACAAAGGGCAGTGCAATCTCTTCTTGAAAGCCTCCAGTGAAGAAGCTCCCACAACTTCTGAAGGCAACTTCTGTTCCATTGGTTGATGGTTCTCACTGTCAGACAATTTCTCCTTACTTCCAGGTTGAATCTCTCCTTGATCAATTTCCATCCATTATTCCTTGTCTGGCTTTTGGAGAATAGCTTGACCCCCTCCTCTCTGTGGCAGCCCCTCAAATATTGGAAGACTGCTATCCTGTCTCTCCTGGTCTTTCTCTTCACTAGACTAGCCATGCTGAGTTCCTGCAACCGCTCTTCATGTTTTAGTTTCCAGTCCCCTAATTCTCTTCGTTGCTCTTCTCTGCACTTTTTCTAGAGTCTCAAGACCATTTTTATAGTGTGGTGACCAAAACTGGATGCAGTACTCTAGGTGTGGTCACATCTGAACTTCCCTTTTTTCTTCTACAGGTGTGGGGGAAGATCCATCTGCCCTTCCACCAATCACATCTCCTGATTCAAACATTACAGGTATGTTTAAGGTCTACGGAGATTCTCTAGCATCCAGGCCAGGGGTGCTATTCAGCAGGTTCTGACAGGTTCTGGAGAACCAGTAGCGGAAATTTTGAGTAGTTCAGAGAACCGGCAAATACCACCTCTGGCTGGCCCCAGAGTGGGGTGGGAATGGAGATTTTGCAATATCCTTCTCCCAGGAGGGGAGGGAATGGAGATTTTGCAATATCCTTCCCCCTGCCATGCCCACCAAGCCATGCCACAGAACCAGTACGGAATAATTTTGGATTTCACCCCGATCCAAGAGATTGATGCCCCTTCTTCAGATCTTCTTCTTTCTTCTTCTTCTTCTTCTTCTTCTTCTTCTTCTTCTTCTTCTCTTCTTCTTCTTCTTCTTCTTCTTCTTCCTCTTCCTCTTCCTCTTCCTTCTCTTCTTCTTCTTCTTTCCTAAACAGAATCCGTGTCTCTGAAAGGGAAGCAGGTGGTTTTCATGGGAGTGACGAGCAAATATGTTTCCTTGGCCAACTGGCGTGTCCCTCAACTTTGTGCGTTCACGGTGTGCGTCGGACCTCAACAGGACTGAAAAAACTGTGGAGAGCGGGACAGCCTTTTCCTACGATATCAGCAGCCCCTCCACCGACATTAACCAGGTGGAGCTGGCTCTGTCTTTCCATAATTCCACTTTACAGATGTTCTTCCTGGGCAGCTTCATCAATCTGGGAGAGTACATTGGGGCCTACAAAATGCACCAGATCTGCTGTGTCTGGGACAGCCAAAAGCATCTCCTGGAGCTCTTCCGGGATGGAAAGAAGCTGGTAAACCAATCCCTTCCAGAGTTCCATCACCGTTGTCTTCAGCCCAATGGGACATTGGTGATAGGGCATTTGCACAGGAACTATAACAGAGAACTAATCCTGCAATCGTCCTTCGTTGGCATCGTGCACTACTTCCAGATGTGGGATCACGTGAGAGGTCAGCAAGACTTTGAGCGTTGCGAAGATGGAAATGTGGTCAGCTGGGGGCAAAATTATTGGTTTCTGAAAAACATCCGGACAGAGTCTGCCCAGCATCAACGTTGTGGTGAGTAGCCATAATCTCTTCAAATAAGCCCCCTTCATCTTTGTCATTCGGAATAAAAACACTATATGATTTTTTTTAAAAAAAAGATGAGTCCACATTTAAAGCCCCAAACAGATACATCTGGCCACGATTTTATATATAAAATACAACAAATCTAAGTTCATATTTCCGAACGGTGAGAACGGCTGGCCCCAGAGTGGGGTGGGAATGGAGAGTTTGCAATATCCTTCCCCCAGGAGTGGAGAGGGAATGGGGATTTTGCAGTATCCTTTCTCCGGAGTGGGTGGGAATGGAGATTTTGCAATATCCTTCCCCCAGGAGTGGGGAGGGAATGGAGATTTTTCAGTATCCTTCTCCTGCAATGCCCACCAAGGCATGCCCACAGAACCGGTAGTAAAAAAACTTGGATTTCACCACTGATCCAAGCCATGGTTGTCCCAAATGTGCTTTTTGTGGACTCCGGTGCCTACAAAGTCGGGCATCAGAGAGGCAGAGGAACAGGAGGAGTCTGTTCCTAGTCCACGCATATACAGAAGGCAAGAACAGTTAAAACTAAAGGGACGACTCAGAAGTAAGGCCTGGAGATGATTGGCCCCTCCCATAAAGCTTAAAAGAGGAGCAAAGGCATGTGGGCCCTTTGCAGGAAAGCAACATTGTTAATTCTGTTCCCAGTCGGCATCTCTGTTTCATTCTGGACTCCGTGTGGCTTTGCCAAGTAGGTTTTTGGCAGTGTGTCAAGGGAGAAAAAGGTTGGTGATTATCCCGAAAGAATTCTCCCGAAGGACTTTTTGCAGCTAATTGGGACTCAGCTGTGAATGAACGTAATTCACAGCTGTTGCAATAAAAGAGGTTTTTGGGACTACTATTGTGTTTTAATGACTCAGGAAGCCTAGGTCACAACACTTGTGTCATTCCTGGGCTCCCTTCTATGGCGAGTCCAGGTAATTTCACGATCAGCAAAAAAATAAATAAATAAAAAGCAAACTCTGGGTGGAAATTTTCTTACAAAGCAATTAATTTGATTTGCAAGGCAGCCCTACTTAAATTCAGTACTCTGCAGAGTACTCTATATTGTAATTAAAAACAATATAAGAACAGTAACATACATTTTTAACAATGCAAAAGTATGTTTTTAATACTTTAAAATGCATTTCTAAAAATAAATAAATAAAAGAATTCTGTTTTGCACACATTTCCAGAATAAGCACAGCAACAAAATCGACCCTGTTTATAGATTTATAAAGGCGCATCATTGTAGATCGAGCTTAAAGCTACAAAAAGCTTCACAGCTCAAAATCAAAGGCAAACACGTTCAAAAGTAAGCTCGAAGATAAGCTGGCTTTCCCATCTCCTCCCCCTTTTCAGGGATCACCGACACCTTCTACAGTTTCTATATGAACTTTTCCATGACTTGGGAGCCCCCCAAGACGTGCGATCGCTACGACGCCAAAAAGCTTTCTGAAACTTGGGTGAGTCTGAATTAGGATCCGTTTAAAGCTGGCTTATTTATTTATTTTATTTTTATTTTATTGAAGGTGTATGGACTTCAGATCCCAGAATTCCCCAGCCAGCATTCTGAATCCTGGGAGTTGAAGTCCACCCATCTCCAAGCGGCTGAGATAGAGGAATTTTATCTTGAAGAAGCCCTGATTCGGGCATAAACATTTGATGACTATATTCATTTCTTAACAATGACAAATACTGAATAAAGTTGAGCCAGGAAACCGATTGATCGTTTGTTTCTCTTACAGTTCAAGAAAAAGTTAAATAATTCAGAATTTGTGATGACAAATCATAACATCAAGACAGCTCGGTAAGCATATATTTTGGCTCTCTCCTTCCCGTCCCCCCAAAAAACGGGGAGCAAGATTCTGTGCAATCAGAAGTCTAGGCTGGAAAAGAATATAAGATGAATCTCCCAACTATCACGAGAAGCTCTAGCAGCAGGAAACGTGCCCATTTTAATGTTGTGTATAGTAAATATCTATATCTATGTATCTCTATCTATATAGCTCTATATCTCTAGCTATCATTGTCTTTTAATGACCCCATAATCTCTTGCGGGGTGGAGTCTGGGCAACTGAAAGGAGCTGAGTGTTTACTGGCCGGATGCCCTTCCTGTCACCAATATGGAGTTCTATTCAGCAGATATAATCACAACATGCCCAGAGAGAGAAATAGCTGCCTCTACCTAGGATCGAATTCACAGCCACATGATTTAAAACCCACTCAGAATGATCTTGAAATATCTTTCTTTCAACACAGCCGCAAATCGTCACGAGGAACCGAGCTGATTAACATTGGGGTATGTATTTAGAAGTCCTAAACCACATCACTCCCCATCAAACCCTGATTCTTCTTCTTCTTCTTCTTCTTCTTCTTCTTCTTCTTCTTCTTCTTTCTTCTCTTCTTCTTCTTCTTCTTCTTCTTCTTCTTCTTCTTCTTCTTCTTCTTCTTCTTCTTCTTCTTCTTCTTCTTCTCTCCTCTCCTCTTCTTCCTCTCCTCTTCTTCCTCTCTCCTCTTCTTCTCTCCTCTTCTCCTCCTCTTCTTTTTTTTCCTCCTCCTCCTCTCCTCTTCTTCTTCTTGTTCTTCTTCTTCTTCTTCTTCTTCTTCTTCTCTCTCTTCTTCTTCTTTCTTCTTCTCTCTTCTCTCTCTCTCTTCTTCTTCTTCTCTCTTCTTCTTCTCTTCTTGTTGTTGTTGTTGTTGTTGTTCTTCTTCTTCTTCTTCTTCTTCTTCTTCTCTTCTTCTTCTTCTTCTTCTTCTCTTCTTCTTCTCTCTTCTTCTCTCTCTCTTCTTCTCTTCCTCCTCCTCCTCCTCCTCTCTCCTCCTCTTCTTCTTCTTTTTCCTCCTCCTCCTCCTCCTCCTCCTCCTCCTCCTCCTCCTCCTCCTCCTCCTCTTCTTCTTTTTCCTCCTCCTCCTCCTCTTCTTCTTCTTGTTCTTCTTCTTCTTCTTCTTGTTCGTCTTGTTCTTGTTGTTGTTGTTGTTGTTGTTGTTGTGTTGTTGTTCTTCTTCTTCTTCTTCTTCTTCTTCTTCTTCTTCTTCTTCTTCTTCTTCTTCTTCTTCTTCTTCTTCTTCCTCCTCCTCCTCCTCCTCCTCCTCCTCTTCCTCTTCCTCTTCCTCTTCCTCTTCCTCTTCTTCTTCCTCTTCCTCCTCTTCTTCTTCCAGCCTCTGATGAGTATCTTTCATCCTTCCTCCTCTCTCCTGCCTGTATCTTCTCTAGTGAGAAATTGCCATGGTAGCAGCGAAGATTGTGCCTTAGTAACCGGAGGAACGTGGCTGATGGCAGGCTTGTTTGGCAGATTAAACGAAGAGAAATAACCCTGACCATTAAGGCCACCTTGACCCCTCTTTTTATCTCGAGAAAGCCTGAAACGAAACCTTGCAAGGCAAAGCATTTCGGCTTGCCCCCCCCTCCTCCCCCCCACCTTCCCATCAATTGCCAGCTATTATTCAGGGCTCCCTGAGTGTACATAATTTTTACTTCCAGCTCTCCTTGTGGTTCACGGTTTTGAAAAGCATTCGTGCATCTGCCAAGGTGGATGTTTCTTGCAAATGGCAGTGGCTAAGACACTGAGCTCGTCGATCAGAAAAGTCGGCAGTTCGGCGGTTCGAGTCCCTAATACAGCGGTTGCACTAGATGACCTCTGAGGTCCCTTCCAACTCTGTTACTGTTACTGCATGGATATTGCCATTTTGCTAAATAACATTGTCCCTGATGGTTGTGGTGGTGGTGGGGAGATTTTGGATTACAGGGGTTATATTCACATCTGACCGCTAGGAGGCACTGTTTAACTAGTTTCTTTATTGATAAATGTCTATGGAGATTCTCAGTCCTTCAGGTCACCCTTGTCGGCTGCCGATAAAACCGGTGAGCGCGGCTTTCCATCTTGCAAATGGCAAAATCGTTGCTCATCTTTTGCCGCAGAATATCATCTCCTTTTCCTTCTAGGTAGATTGATTTAAAAAAAAAAACCCCATCCTGTTTCTCTCCCCTCCCTCCCTTCTTATCACTTATTCTCCAAGCGATCTGCAATTCCCCTGAATTGCTTCGTAATGTCTCTGCAGAGGGGCTTACAAAACCATAATCAAAGCCTAAATGCGGAAGGCAATCAGAAGGAAGGCTGGCAGCCTTGCCGACAGGGGGGAAAAGTGGTACCTTTATGGAGGATGAACCGGCTTTGAAGCATCACGAGTCTGGATAATTAGCCACTTTTCTCCCTTCTATAAACTCGTCTCCTTCTCAATCCGCAGACAGTAATTGCCTACCTAATTCTTGAAAACTTCCTTCTGGCTTTGTCAACAACAACAACGGCACATGCTTATTAACTCCTGTTGCTTCTTTTATTCTGGCATTTGGGGATCTTCTGAATGGAAGAACGGAGAACGGCTTTCCCAGAGGTAAGGAGTGCGATTGTTCACTTGCCAACTTTTTCACATCAGGGAGTGCTTGGTTTTTAAACCAGGGGTCTCCAACCTTGGCCACTTTAAGCCTGGCGGGCTTCAACTCCCAGAATTCCCCAGCGAGCAAAGCAAAGCTAATTGGTTTCCAGAACTGGGTGCCATTAACACCTCTTACATTCTGTACTTATCACTTAGATGTAAAGGTGCTACCCCTAAAATTGACTTTCTAGAAGGAGAGTTATGGGGAAGTTCTGTGGCCCAATACCTTCTCCCTAAATTCCAGATGGCTGTCATTTCTCCTTGGTTCCGTGGAGAAGAGGAGGGCTGGAACATTACTTGGTTAGGAGAGCATTGACATGATTGACACTTTGGCTCCTGGTGTCAGAGATGTCAGAGTTTCTTCCAAAAATCAAATCCAGAAGCCCACACAGATAACTGAATCGGCTGGATTCATTAACTTCTTTTTATTCATAATAGCACATAAAGTATTTACAATACCAATAGTTGATTCCTCAGCTCAGATCAGCAGATATTTTCACACACACACACTGTGCTGGTTTCAGTTTCGTTTCTCAGCACAGACTCAGAAGCTGCAGACTCAGAAGCTGCAGACTCAGACATGCCCTGGCTCCAGTCTGTCTCAGCTCCTGATTGGCTGACTTAGTTGCTGTGCCTATTCATTGGCTGACCTTGTTACCATGTCTTCCCAGTCATGAATAGTCTGACAAAAGACCCACAGATTGAATCCTTCATGATGGTGTCTCTGCTTGTGTCTTCAGATATTCCTCAAAGGCCATCATCAGGTCCAGGTCTAGCCAAAGCATGCAGGAGATCATGAGGAAGCTACAAAACACCTTGTACGGAAATTACACCGAAGATCAGTTATCCATGAGTGTGAAGCAAAAAGATACACGTGTTATTTCTTTTGGTAATACAGTCGTTGGATTTTGATTTTTTTTTTTATCCTAATGGTTTTTCAATTAAACGATCCCTCAGTCAACCCTAAAGTTGGCCGAACTGTGGCCATTTTCTTTTGGTAGTTTTCCATAGGGGGGCTTCTTTTCTTACTACTTCAGGGCTGACACAGTCTGGAGCGAAGAAGCCAGGGAGGAAGGTGTGTGTGTAGAGATTAGCTGGGGTGTTGTAGCCTAAATAAAATTCTTTTCCCTGGGAATCAAGGACGTTGGTGCAGGTGTCCGAAGGGTGGAGACTGAGGTCACCTAGCAACTGGACTGTATGCTGATTGGACCGTGTGACTGGGGATTCTGGGGGGAAGTGACAAAGCTTTACTTTTAATTGGGTGGAAAACCGGCGGCGACTTAGACCTGGTTTTCCACCAGGAATATGCCAATTTGATATGTCTTAATAAAATGTTCTTTGGGGAAATTGCCTGCCTCGGAGTTCTTATTGAACGGGATATATTACTTGGAACCTTGACACCCTCTTCTTTCCATACAATAACCCCGAGATAGTAAAATGAGATCATCTCTCATCAAAGTGACTCAACGAACTTGGGTCTTCTTAAATGAAAACTTCAGACTAAAATCTCCTGTCTTTACTCTGAGGGATTCACGAGCCACACAACATCAGAGGACACAACATTAGAGGAGAAAGCTTGCTATACCTCCTTACCAGTGATGAAATCCACATTTTTTTATTACTGGTTCCGTGGGTGTGGCTTGGTGGGCGTGGCTTGGTGGGCATGGCAGGGGAAGGATACTGCAAAATCCCCTTTCCCTCCCCACTCCTGAGGGAAGGATATTGCAAAATCTCCATTCCCTCCCCACTCCTGGGGGAAGGATATTGCAAAATCCCCATTCCCTCCCCACTCTAGGGCCAGCCAGAGCTGGTATTTGCCGTTTCTCTGAACTGCTCAAAATTTCCACTACCAGTTCTCCAGAACCTGTAGGAACCTGCTGAATTTCACCCCTGCTCTTTACCTCTCCAACTGTAAAGGCAGGGACGTCTTAGATATCACAACTGCTCACCTTCCATTGGGTAGCCTACTCCACTCATTGACAACTCTTAGTGTCAATGTTGAAATGGTTGGGGAGAGAAAGGTTAGGTGATTTTCCATTCTTACCCTCTTTGTCCCAAAGATCCAGCATCGTGTTCTGAACAGACTGTCTGGTCCAACTACAAAGGGATTTACACCTGGCCAAAGACGGTTCCATCTAATCTGACGACCTTGCCCTGTGAGGCCAACCAAGAGTTGACAGCTTCCAGAGTATGGTGAGTAGAGGAAGGCACAAACTCCCCTTCTTTGACCATCAACCAACCCCAACGTCAGACCTCAGACAATCTTTGGTGGACTTCGTTTTCCAAAGGATAATTAGGGTCGACAACCCCCAACTAAGAACCTCTTCTGAAGAAGAGCTGAAGAAGAGGCTTCTTGAATGAGAAGTGAAACATCTTCAAAGAAAAACAAAAAAAGACCAGTTTCCTCTTGGGAAAACAGCCCCTTTGGGACAAAGGACAACCAACCATGCATGATGAAAGAATATCTCTAATATTTCTAATGTCTCTGATGTCTCCTTTTTATTTCAAAGCTGGATTAACCTTCAGACTGAAAAAAGCCTATTGGAAGAGGTCAAACTTGACCGCCTGTCCTCTGTTGCAAAATTTGCCAGATAATATACTGGATCTTAAAAATATCACCGTCACAGTCGGTAAGTTCCTGGGTGGGCTTGTTTTTATGCCGAAAGATGCTAAAAACCAATCCAGATGTGTCTACTTTTCTTCTCTAGCTACACCAGGGGTGAAATCTAAAAATTTGTTACTACCGGTTCTGTGGGCATGGCTTGGTGGGGGGGGGGGGGTAATGTGACTGGGTGGGTGTGGCCAACTTTTTTCTGTTTACTTTTAAAAGCATTCTTTTCTACAACCTTAAGAGGTTGCAGAAAAAAATGCTTTTAAAAGCCTCTGACGATCAGGCAACTCAGCGGGGATCATCAGAGGCTTTTAAAAGCATTTTTTTTCCTAAATGCTTTTAAAAGCCTCTGATGATCCCAGCTGAGCCGCACAGTCATCAGAGGCTTTTTTTTAACTTTTAAAAGCCTTTTTTCGGTCAAAGAGGTTGTAGAAAAAATGCTTTTAAAAGTTAAAAAAAAAAGCCTCTGATGATCGCGCGGCTCAGCTGGGCATGGTGGGGGGTGCAGGGATTTTTGCTACCAGTTCTCTGAACCACCCACCGCCATCGCTACCGGATCAGACGATCCGGTCCGAACCGGGAGCATTTCACCCCTGAGCTATACCTAATGAAGTCTTACTTCCTTCCCATTTCTTGGAAGTCCTTCCTTGTTGGGAGGGAGGTGGGATAAAGTGGGCAGTAGACTTGGGGAAATTGTGTGTGTGAACGCCCTGCGCCTGGAAACACAGTCTCCCTGAAAGAAAAACCTATAATCTTTCCTTACAAGGTGCTAGCTTTCTCAAGAATCAAGGCGAATCTACATGTCCCATGATAACGGGACCAGAGATTTTGTCTTCTGAACTTTGGGACTCATGCTAGCATCCATCTTCAGGGCTCCAGCACGAGTCCGAAAGCTCGAAAGACAAAATTCCAATCACCGACCCAGATTGTTCCTGATCCTGCTAATTTTCTGCTTGGAATGAGATCAACCATTCTTCAAAACCCAGAAATCTTGTGAGATGCACATCAGCTTCTGGCAAGGGCTTAGTTCTTTTGTCTTTGCTCCGTTGCAGAAAATGCTGAAGAGGTGGCAGATCATATTTTATTTCTCTTGAGTTTTTCGGACTTGAATAAAGACAAAATCGAGGTCCTGATCAGCAAACTGACCGATATTGCCAACTGTGAAGAAATTAGCCTGGCCCTCGCGAAGAAGACACTGCAAATCATCAATATCCTTCTGGAAGATAAAAACCAACTGCAGGACATGCGAATGGTGCTCAACAGGTATGGAAAACAACATGGTCACCTGTTAAGCGGACAGTCAAAAGACTTCCATTTCCGAGTTGAGGATCCAGAATCCATAATACAAAATCACAGAGTTGGAAGGGACCTTAGAGGTCTTCTAGTCCAACCCCCTGCTTTAGTAGGAGACCCTATACCACTTCAAAGAAATGGATGTCCAATCTCTTCTTACAAAACCTCCAGGGATGGAGCACCCATAACCTCTGGAGACAAGTCGTTCCACTGATTAATTGTACTCACTGACATTTCTTCTTATTTCTAAATTCTTAAATTTTAAAACCCTACGCCACTTCAGACAAAGGGTGATCCAACATCTTGTTAAAAACTTCTAGTGTTGGAGGATTCACAACTTCTGGAGGCAAGTTGTTCCACTGATTAATTGTCCTAACTGTCAGGAAATTTCTCCTTAGTTCTAAGTTGCTTCTCTCCTTGATGAGTTTCCACCCATTGCTTCTTGTTCTACCCTCAGGTACTTTGGAGAATAGCTTGGCTCCCTCTTCTTTGGGGCAGCCCCTGAGATATTGGAAGACTGCTATCATGTCTTATCAGACTAAACATACCCAGTTCCTGCATCCGTTCTTCATGTGTTTTAGCCCCCAATCCCCTAATCCTCTTCGTTGCTCTTCTCTGCACTCTTTCTAGAGTCTCCACATCTTTTTTATATCATGGCGGCCAAAACTGGATGCGGTATTCCAAGTGTGGCCTTACCAAGGCATTATAAAATGGTATTAACACTTCACATGAACTTGATTCTATCCCTTTGTTTATGCAGCCTAGAACTGTGTTGGCTTTTTTGGCAGCTGCTGCACACGGATGACTCATATCTAAATGGTTGTCCACTAGGACTCCAAATTCCCTCTCACTGTCACCACTATTGAGCAAGGTACCACATATACTGTACCTGTGCATTTTGTTTTTCTTGCCTAAACTTAGGGGGAAATTAAGAACCCTGATCTCCTTTCTATATTTTTAAAAATGTGGGAATCCAAAAAGGGATGAACAGCCTGCTTTAGAACAGGTTGTAAGTTTGCCAAAGAAAAAGTGCTAGACTTTGCTGTGATTCTTCTAGAAATACTTGCCTCCTACCAAAATTTCCAACTGCCCAGAATTCAAAATCTGCAGCTTTTTGGTAACGAATGGACACCTTTTGCAAGAAAGTAGAATTCTAGGATTTCAAAGGAAAAGAGGAACCAGGTTTTGCTTCTCCTCATTTAGATCTTTAGCAATATTTCCCTCCCAGGCGTGCCTTTGCACACTCAGAAGTGTGCAGAATATATTTCTGCCAGAGCAGCAAAGAAGAAATGCTTTTATAAGGACTGCAAGCTAACACGAAACATCTGAAGATGATGGATGTCCCTGACAAATTTTTTTGTTCTCCACGGCAGAGTTCCTTAGTGTGATTTTGGGTAGCAGATGTGGTGTGAAAAGTGGGGCTTCAGAATTTGTGACACAATCACTTTAGCAGGAACACAGCTTGCTGTATTTTCAGTGTTTGACACCCCCTGCACTGTTCCTCCCCCGGCAATATTCTCTCCACCTTCCAAGTGAGAGAGATTCCGGTAATATTCTCTCCACCTCACTTTCCAAGTGAGAACACATCCATGTGCCACTACTGAATATGCTACCTGTTTCCCCAAAAATAAGACCTGGTCTTATATTAATTTTTGCTCCAAAAGACTCATTAGGGCTTATTTTCTGGTTAGGTCTTATTTGGGGGGAAATACGGTACTAAATGCATCCATCTGGCTGAGAATCTTAATTGGGTCTTATTTTGGGGGGTAGGGCTTATATTACGAGCATCCTGAAAAATCAAGCTAGGACTTATTTTCCGGTTGGGTCTTATTTTCGGGGAAACAGGATACTTGTTAGATTATAGCAAAACTGCTTCACAGTGCTGTACAGCCCTGTCTAAGTGGTTTTACAGAGTCAGCGTCTTGCCCCCAACAATCTGGGTCCTCATTTTACCGACCTTGAAAGGATGGAAGGCTGAGTCAACCTTGAGCCGGTGAGAATCGAACTGCTGGCAGTCGGCAGAGTTAGCCTGCACTACTGCATTCTAACCATGGCGCCACTACGACCACGGTTGATAAAAATGTTATCCATTCAGTTGTGTCCGAGTCTTGTCGATTCCGTGGGCCAGGTGTCTCCACATCTTCTGATCTTGCACAACTTCTTTGAGTTATTCTGGCTTTGATGGTGTCCGGGCATCATGTTTTTTTGGCAGCCTGGTTTCCTTTTACCGCTAACTCTTCCAAACATATCCCAAAGATGCTTTTTCTAAAGACAACTAGATTTTCTTTGTTTTTTGCTTGAAGACATTTCGCTTCTTATCCAAGAAGCTTCTTCAGTTCTGACCGTGTCCTGAATGAATTGGAATCTCCATAGACATTCTTCCAAATCTAATTGGTTTTTTTTTCCCCCTGTGAATTCCCTGTGAACGACATAGCCAAAATAAGAGAGACACAGTTTTGTCATTTTGCCTTCCAATGACATTATAGATAGTCCTTGAGTTACAACTTGTGATGGTCGTCATTCGGGTAATCCAAGTGATTGACTTGATTTTTTGATGGTTTTGCAGCAGCCATTAAACAAACAATGTGGTCATTAAATGAACCAATGGCCTGTGTTCTGACCTAGGCTTCCTGAGTCAGTAAAACACATGAATAGTCCCAAAAAACTCTTTTATTTCAACAGCTGTGAATTCTGTTCATTCACAGATGAGTCCCCAATAGTTGCAAAGAGTCCTTCGGGATAAGGCTGATAATCACCCACCTTTATCTCCCTTGACACGCTGGCAAAGACCTAATTGGCAAAGCCACATGGAGTCCAGAATCAAACAGAGCTTCCGACTTTAAACTGCACAGAATTAACAATGTTGCTTCCTGCAAAGGCTCACATACCTTTGCTCCTCTTTTAAGTCTTATGGGAGGGGCCAATCATCCCCAAGCCCTACTCCCGAGTTGTCCCTTTTGTTTTAACTGTTCTTGCCTTCTGGCAGCTCTGTGCATACATGCACTGAGAAAAGGCTCCCCCTGCCTCTCTGAGGTCCGACTCTGGAGGCTCCGGAGGCAGCACATACCTCCCAGATGGCCCTTTCTCTGCCTCCGACGCAGAGCCCTCGTCCGAGCCTTCCCCAGACTCCAGGACTGGCCCATGTTCCTCCCCAGCCTCCTCACTGGACATTATATATGGACATAAATGTGACCTGGATGTTGAGTGCTTAAATTGTGGTCAACTGACTGTGTGTGTCTGTGTGTTGGAACTTTGAATCTTGGTTGTAAGTACCTCCAGGGAGGTCCATCATAATTTCAAACGGTTGCTAAGTGAAGAATTGTAAGTTGAGGCCTACCAATAGATACAAGATGGTATGGTGGCCTCCATACCATGTTATTTTTGAGCTCTTGTGTGCTTTCTCCAGAATCTTAACGCTCATGGAAGAAATTGGTTTCAAGATGACCTTCAATGGGAGAAATGAATCGGTCATCTTGCCTAAGCTGGTTTTGACGGTGCTACGACCAGATCCCATGAACTTCCAAGGAGTTGCTTTTGGGATTGTATCCTACACTTTGGAGACCAGTCCACAGGTGAGTCACCTTTCACACACTGTGTTTCTCCTCACCTCTTATCACCTGTTTCTGCCAGGTACTTCCTGAATTAATTTGAAATCAACTCTAGAACTTTCCCCATGCAGCTCAGCATCCAAGCAACACCCTTCACGAATGCCCAGGCCTCGATATATTTACCAGGATTATTGAGAAATTACCTAACGTCCCAATCTTTTGATAGAGAAAATTTTACCGGGATTCAATTCACCTTTTTTGGTGCCCCGTCATTGTTTAAGGTAAGTTGGCTGAACTTGCAAGAGTAGAAGGAAACTTAGCAATGGATGCCAAGGATGAGAGGAACAGCTGAACCCCAAGATTTAATTTGTGACTCCCTCATTTTGGTGGAAAGTGGTTGGAAATGGCCTTGAGGGATGGATAGGAGAGTGAGAGGATGAAAAAAAATATCTGTGTTTCTTTTTCAGGATGACAGTTTGAAGAACGAAGTTCTGAACACCTATGTTGTAGGTGCCAGCATTGAAAACAAGACAATTGAAGACCTCAAGGAACCAGTCAGCATAGTTCTGGAGCACAGAAGTCCACATGGGGTATGAGGAGACTGTGGACCAAGAGAAGCCTACAGACCTGTGGAGAGCCTTCGTTTAATCAAAGAGAGACGCTATGTCAGAGATCCTAGACCCGTGGCACGCGTGCCACAGGTGGTATGTGGAGCCATATCTATGGGCATGTGAGCTGTTGCCCTAGCTCAGCTCCAGTGCTCATGCCGCACCAGCCGGCTGATTTTCAAAGGAACGCCTCTGAAGCCTGGGGAGGGTGAAAAACGGGCCTGCCAGGCCCACCAGAAGTTGGGAAATGGGCCGTTTCCGGTCTCCAGAGGGCCGCCGGGGGAGGGGAGAGGCCATTTTCGCCCTCCCCAGGCTCCAAGAAAGCCTCTGGAGCCTGGGGAGGGTGAAAAATGGGCCTACCGGAAACGGGCTGTTACTGGCCTCCGGAGGCTTCAGGGAGGCCTGCTAGGCCCAAAACGGGGCACGGGAAGGGTCACGCACGCATGCATGGGGGGCATTGAATTATGGGCACATGTATGCACGACCCCCCCACGCACGCCCCCCCATTTTTGGCACGTGACAGCAAAAAGGTTAGCCATCACTGTCTTAGACCTTGGTGGAGTTAGAAGAACAGAAATATGGAAAGACGGAGCTCAATGACGAAGTCATTGTTCTTGACTAATTGAGCTAAAGTTTAACTCTTCCTGTCAACCCATCAATGAACAGGATGCACCAAAGAGAAATAAGATTTCAGACGTAGACAACATAATTTTTAATTACAATCCTAGCCCAAAATAGCAGATAGTAAACAGTGTTTTCCTAGAAATGGAAAACAATCATCCAGTCATTACTTAAGCCAACATGGCAATGAGTTAAGTGGCTTATAAACTATATTTAGCCACCTCACCTCATACATGCAGATATTAACATTTTTACCCAAGTTCTGAATATCACCAAAGGGTAAATCCAACAATATTGCTAGGGGCATTGAGTTGCCCAACTGGGGAATTGGGAAATTGGAGAAAATCCTGCTCATTTCTACTAGTGATAACACAAGGAGAACTCCTGCCTTGAGTGAAGAGAAGGTCTATCAAAGGTTGTGACAGGTACAGCATAGTTATCTCCTACCAAGGACTTCTGTTGCTTAAGCCATTTTCTTTTTCTTTTTTTTACTACTAGGACAATGCTACTGTGCACTGCGTCTTTTGGGACTTCAGTAGGAATGGTGAGTACTGAGGACTCCAAAGATGAAAGTGTGAGAGATGGAGAGCAACATGTTCTCAACAAGCCAGCGTGAATCTCTGCTCACACTCCTTCAATGCACACCTGAAGTCTGGGAGCAGCTATAATGAGCAGCCAGGAGCTACTAACTGGGTGAAATATTTCATTTCTCTGTTGTGCAGATGGTCTGGGTGGCTGGAATACCTCAGGGTGTGAAATAAAACATACCGATAGGATCTACACAGTCTGCAGTTGTAGTCATCTGACCCATTTTGGAGTTCTGCTGGTAAGTTCATGTCAATCTTTGCCTCAGTTACAGTGAGAAAAACAGAGCGCATAAACCGTATTTTTCAGAGTATAAGACGCACCTACCTTTTTTGGTGAGGAAAACAAGAAAAAGAAATCTGCCTCTGCCTCCCAGCAACTTTGCCTCATTGCAGCAAACAGCAAACAGCCTGCTTTACTTTCATTTTCATTTTTAGCATAACTTGATTAGCACAAGAAAAAAATATTTGCTCCCAGTAATTTACCTCCTTGCAGCAAGCAGCAGAGCCCTGCGCAAAACAGCTGAGAGCAAAACAGCTGAGAGTCGGGAGGCTGATCCAATCAACTTGTGCTAATTAGGCTGTGTTGAAGGTGAAAGGAGCTGTTTCTTCTTGCTGTTTGCTGCAAGGAGGTAACTGCTGGGAGGCAGAGGCCAAAGGGTGGGGGCCAGTGGGTGGGTAGGGCTACATTCGGTGTATAAGACGCACCTAAATTTTCACTCCCTTTTAGGGGGGAAAAAGGTGCGTCTTATACTCTGAAAAATACGGTATATCAGGGGTGTCCACCTTGGCAATTTTAGGACCTGTGGACTTCAACTCCCAGCATCCTCCAGCCAGCCACCTGGGTGGCACCAGATGGACTCAATTGGATGAACTCTCTTTTTCATATATTTTTTTTTAGGACTTATCTCGGACACCCCTCAGCAATGCGGATGAGTGGGCTTTAACACTGGTGACTTATGTGGGCTGTGGCATTTCTTCCATCTTCCTGGGCTTGGCGTTGTTGGTTTATTTCTCGACTGAGTGAGTAGAGTTGACTGTCTGTTGTTGTTGTTGTTTTCTGGACTCAACAAAATTTGGAGCTCCTTGTAGTCCGTCCATAGAAACTTTATTCACCCCCAGATAGCACGCATCAAGGAAATCAATTAACGGTGTCCCTGGAAGAAATGAGATCTGCGTGATGGGGTAGCAAGTGAATGTCTTTCCCCCTTTTCATTCCAGCAAAGTCCTTGAGGACTACCCTTCCAAAATCCTCGTCAACCTCTGCTTTGCTTTGTTGATGCTAAACCTTGCCTTCTTGGTGAACTCTTGGCTCGCCATGTTTCAAAATCGCGGCCTTTGTATCGCGGCTGCTGTGATCTTGCATTACTTCCTGCTCTCTGCTTTTACCTGGATGGGTCTGGAAGCCGTCAACATGTATTTTGCCCTGGTGAAAGTCTTCAAAGTCTACATTCCGTATTACATGCTCAAGTTTTCCATAGCTGGGTGGGGTAAGTATCGGAGATATGGCATGTTGATGTCTATATGGATGTTCCCAGTTTGTAAACATCATGCACATTTCAGAATTTTGCAATGTGGTTCACGTTTTTAAGAGAGGGGTGTGCCATCAGTGGGCGCAGGAAAGGACACCTCCAAATAAGTTCTCGATGGCACCACCAGATGGAGATGCAACTTATCTTTGGGTTACAATGTCCATCAAGCAACGTGAGGGTATGGAGACGAGGCTGTCTGGTCATTTTTCATGCCATCCTCCCCTTAGGGCATCGGGTTGGCTTCCTGAATTATGGGATGGGGGTGGAGAGGGGCATAACTGTGCCAGGCATTGTGTCACATATGGGGGGCATACCCTGGAATGGGCAGGACCAGAGAGAAGAGGAAGAGGAGGAGGAGGAGGAGGAGGAGGAGGAGGAGGAGGAGGAGGGGAAGAAGAAGAAGGAGGGAGGAGGAGGAGGAGGAGAGGAGGAGAAGGAGGAGGAGGAGGAGAAGGAGGGAGAGGGAGAGGAAGAGGAAGGGGAAGGGGAAGGGGAAGAGAAGGAAGAAGAGGAGAAGGAGAAGGAGAAGGAGAAGGAGAAGGAGAAGGAGAAGGAGAAGGAGAAGGAGAAGGAGAAGACGACTTGTCTCCTAGAAGACCTCTGGTTCTAAATATGATGTATTCCATTTTTAAACCAGGGTAGATGTGGCCCCCAAACACAGAATGATGCCCTACCGCTGTTATTGTTAAAATGTGCAATTTTAATGTGACAAAAGAATAAATTTCAGACTAAGATCATTGAAATTAATTCTTAAGCTTCACAAGGCTGAATTGATCTTAATTTTTTTTTTAACGTGGATGTTAGATATTAATCCAAATTCTTCCTTTCCTCGCCTTCCCTGTTAACTAGTGCTTCCCTACTTCATTTCTTTTCTCCAGCTCGGACTTTCATGAAACCTCTGCAAGTATCTCTTCTTCTTTTTTGGTTCATGCGGTTTTGTTTTCTTGGGGGTCCTTAGGAATTCCAGCACTTATTGTAACTGTGGTCCTCAGCATCAACAAAGACTTCTATGGGACTGAATATGCTTTGAGAAGGAGCGCCAACAGCCCATCCATGCAGTTGTAAGTCTCTTGTTTTGATTGTTTTTCCCCGAAAGAACAGCAGGAGAGAAATTCGACCGAAGAACCCCATTGCTATAATTCATACTGTTCCATCTTTAGCCTCTAAATTGTTTACATACCTACTTCGGCATGTTGCATTGGTTAAAAAAAAAAATATTGGGCTAGGAGCAGAAAAGCTCAGATTCTAGTCTATCTTGAATCATGAAAGTCACGGAGAGACTTTGGATCAGTTGTTCCACCTCAGTCCAAACTATATTAAAAGATTTTTGTTGTGGGGAGGAAAAATAGGAGGCTGATGAAGCTTTACATACCATGCATGAGTTTGTGAATTAAAGGTGGACATAAATCAAAACAAATCAAATCCATACATCCATACATCCACCCACCCACCCACCCACCCACCCATCAATCCATCCATCTACCCACCCACCCATCCATCCAAGTTTATCTATAAACTTGTCTTCTCCAGCCTGGCATCTTCTAAGAAGGTTGGATAAAAACTTCAACCAGTCAACATGGAGTTGACCAACCCATCTTTCTTTGTCTTTCTCCAGTTGCTGGATTCAGGACAACTGGGTTTTTTACATCTCTCTAGTTGGCTATTTCATCCTGGTATTCCTGATCAACATTAGCATGTTCGTTACTGTCCTTTGTCAAATCCGTGTCATGAAAACCAACAATCCCAGGGCCAGGAAGGACCGGAGCCAAGAATTCCTCCTTGACTTGAAGAGAATCATCAGCTTGACATTCCTGCTGGGTTTGACGTGGGGTTTTGCCTTCTTTGCATGGGGCCCCTTGAAGACTGGCTTCATGTACGTCTTTGCCATTTGCAACTCCTTGCAAGGTAAGTCTCATGATAAGGTGCACTGGCCATGGGGGAGGGAATGACCATAGATGAGAAGAGCACATGACCAAGTTGTGCTCCTTGGTAGTTCCAACTACAAGGTCCTGGAGCTCCTTCAGCTCAATTGTGACAAAGTTCCACCTCCCTACAACACAGTAGGATGAGGGTAGAGTAATTCCAAAACATCTTCAAGATGCCAGGCCCAAGGAGACAATACTCAGGTCATGAGATGGTGGAGCACCTGCTTTAGATGTAGAAGATCGATTTTCTAGGTGCTTCCATTAAATATTTCCAATTGTAACCAAGGTATGACTTGTGTATGCTATCCCTTTTCTCCTCTGTCCCACCACTTGATGAGATTTCTCATAGTCTCCTCTAGAAATTATAAATTTGGGGGTGGGTGGGTGGAATTAGACACCTTATTTGGTGTCTTCAGTTCCCAACGGTGTGGTAGAACATTTTGTAATGTCAGTTGAGGAACCAGAATACTTCTGGTTTTGTCGATGCTTTGTTAATTTCCGTGGGATGCTTCCATGTTTTCGGCAACTCATCTGCTCCTACACCCTTTCTATAATTTATGAAAAGCTTGGATGAGCAGACTGCGTGGAACAATCCAAGGAACGTTTTATCTGCTTTCCTTTCTAGGGTTCTTCATCTTTGTCTTTTACTGCCTCATGAAGGATAACGTCAGGAAGCAATGCCAGATACACTTCTGTTGTGGGAAATTTCGGCTCAGCAATTTCCGTAAGGCCCTCGTCGTTTCCTTCTGCTCTGATTGTGTGGTGCTCCCTTCCTTGACTTGACAGGTTCGCACAAACTTGCAACGGTTGGTCTCAACAATGAAACACTTGCAAGTGTGTGATTGCTGCCCTGCTCAGACCACGTTTTGGTTCAGGAGCTGTGATGGAACATGCTGTAGAACAGGGGTGTCAAATTTGATTTTATTGAGGGCTGCATCAGGGTTGTATTTAACCTCGGGGGGGGAGGGCAGGGGGGCATGGCCAGCTCAATGTCACTCGTGTTGGGGGCGCCGGTGGTGGCCCAAGCTCACTGCCAGCAAAAACGGGCTCCCAAGCTTCGTTTTTGGCTGCGACGGCCTCCTGCAACCCTCTGCCAGTGAAAACAGAGCTCAGGAGGGCCCTCCCAAGCTCCATTTTTGCTGGCAGAGGCACCACGGGCTGGTCCTTCGCTTTCTCCAGGGCGGCCCTGTGGGCCAGATGTGGTCCCCAGGCCTGGAGTTTGACACCTCTGATGTAGAAGATTCTGTGGCAGAAAGCAGACTTCTTATTCCAGATTTTATACCTGTGTTACCCCCCCCAATTCTTCCATCTCATTTCAGAGAGGATCAGCTCAGCCACCGTGCTGGGAAATTACCCTTGCATCATTGAGCGGAAACACTCATGTCATTCTCTGAAGTCCCTCAAGACTTGCACCACTGGCTGCTCCATATCCAATGGCTCTGGCAGTTTACCTGAAGCAAGTCCAGACATTGGGGTTAAAACTGGTGAGAAGAATGGATATTTGGGGAAGAAAGGGCATTGACTACCCATGCCACAGAATCCTAAAAGTCTCAGAAGGCCGTTCCTCTTCTGAGAAGAAATATCTCCCTTGGTTAGTAGAAAACGAGCACAATGGTGCTAATCTTGTTTTAGCCCACAGGGAGTTTTTACAGGAGGATAGAGCATTCAAAGCATCTCCTGTGGAGCCAGAAGTGGCATGGACCACTCTTCTTGTCAGGGTTTTGATGGATGCCCTAATTAAATCATGAATCTCGAGCCAAGCTTCAAAAGAAATCCAGTTATTTATTAGGAGCTTCATGTTGGCACATTCCCAAGTGAAGCCAGCTCTGTCCCTACATAATTTACACTCCAATTATGTCCCTGTTTCCCGCCCCCCCCAGGATGTATCATCAATCACATTCACCAATGGAGCAATTTCCCGGGTTGTAGAGGTCACTCCCCTTCGGCTGCTGTAGGTAACCCTGGGATACAGCCTTGAGAGATATAAGCATGGAATGTGCATCGGTCTTTGGCTGCTGTACCATTTCGCTGGTTTCCCATCCCCCCTGGCCTATGGGAACTAGAGAGCAGGCCAGGGATGCTTTGCGAGTTGACACTTCTGTAGCATTTGTGGTCCACACCTAAGATTCTTCCAAATGAAAGGAGTAAGCAACAGCAGTCAACCAAGCTCAACTAGATCACATCAAGACTTAACAGATGCTTTCATACAACATGCTAAACTGACACAACATCAGTCTCAGAAGATGTTGGTTGACTTCTCCTGCAAAGGGAGTATTTTTTAAAAAATTCCCACTTCAACCTAGACTATTTTAGTAATCAGAGGAAACATGTTGAGTGAATGCAGCTGTTCGGTGAGGTCACAAAGACAGCCATTGTGGGGTGGTAGCACTTAGATTACAAGGGGGCTGCTAATAACTATTCCACAGAGAATGGATAATCTGTTACGTTTTAGAGGCAAGTGTAAAAAATATTCCCATCTATTTATATTTTAGATCACGTTGCTTGCTGCAGCAACAGCCATATGTCCTCAGCTTCTCAGGCAGTCCAACTTCCCCGAGCGAGGAGAATATCGTCAGAGGTTGATCTACACCACACAGAGAAAAATAAAGATTTGTCTTAAAGGGGAATCTTACTCTTCCTTGGCTTTCTGACGCTTATTCTCACAGCTCAAGAAAATGCTCTCACTCAAAATTCAACCGTCAGTTTTCAAATAATCGAACGGAGGAGACCTCGCCGTTAGTCCTCCTCTCCCATATGTCGGTTGTGGGCAACTGAAGTAGGAAGTCAATTTAAGCTGGAGAGTAAGCAAGACAGGAGACCAATTGGCAGATTTCTGACTGCAAACATTGTGGGCGTATTTGTGTAAGATCAGCTTCAACCCAATTGGGGAGGGAGGGGCACATTACTGTCTTATCTTTAGACCCGGCTTTCATAAAATACAATAAGCCATAAGGCGATTTGGTTATTTGTGGCATGGCATGTTCTGAGATTCTAGCCAACTGTAGTTTATTTATGGCTAAACAGACATTGACGTAGCACGTAGAGAGCAAGATCACGTGACGTGTTAATCCCACTTTATAATGCCTTGGTAAGGCCACACTTGGAATACTGCATCCAGTTTTGGTCGCCGTGATGTAAAAACGATGTGGGGACTCTAGAAAGAGTGCAGAGAAGAGCAACGAAGAGGATTAGGAGACTGGAGGCTAAAACATAGGATGAACGGTTGCAGGAACTGGGTATGTCTAGTTTAATGAAAAGAAGGACTAGGGGAGACATGATAGCAGTGTTCCGATATCTCAGGGGCTGCCCCAAAGAAGGGGGAGTCAAGCTATTCTCCAAAGCACCTGAAGGCAGGACAAGAAGCAACGGGTGGAAACTCATCAAGGAGAGAAGCAACTTAGAACTAAGGAGAAATTTCCTGACAGTGAGGACAATTAACCAGTGGAACAACTTGCCTCCAGAAGTTGTGAATGCTCCAACACTGGGAGGTTTTAAGAAGAGATTGGATAACCATTTGTCTGAAGTGGTGTAGGGTTTCCTGCCTGGGCAGGAGGTTGGATTAGAAGACCTCCAAGGTCCCTTCCAACTCTTGTTATTCTATTCTAACACTCTCGGAAATGAAACACTGGAAGCGATGGACTGATTACATCCAAGGAACGAAAGTATGGAAGAAAACCAAAACCCAAGATTAAGAGGTGTGGACAAAACCAAGCATGAGACCTCAGATGAAGAAATATCAGATGTTGGCCAGAGATTCTAAACCACAATTCCCATCAGGTCTATTCAGAGTGACCAAGAGATTGTGGAGTTCCAGCTCAGAACCATTAGAAGCAGCTAGAAGTCTTCTTGAAGTTTCACACTGGTGAAAATGTTCACCAGGTGTGCAAAAATGCTACTTCTCCTGCCACAGATGTTGAGCCTGTTTTTCTCAGCCATTTAACACGGGAGCACCAGACTGGAAAAGATGCACATGGAACGATGTTTTTTAAAATCAATTAGAAGCAAGCCAACAAAACAACATCAAGAAAAGGCTTGTTTGTTGACGCCAATGGCAGCATGCCAATTATTCGAGAGAGGAATATTTTCTCCCATTAGCTCGATATCCTTCTGCCAGATAGCACCTTTGTTCTTCCACCGCACAACTTCAAGATTGTACCGTGTCGCCTTCCAACGCTGCATTGTTCAAGTTGTCATTTCGACTGAAGGCCTGTAATTTTATTCGAAGGCGTACATCACGCCAAGCGCAGAAAGATAGCTGATGCTACAGGGCTGCTATTGGTGCAGGTAGAGGAAAATATGGAATCATTGCTTTGAATATGCAGCTTTAAAGATGGACCGTCAAATCCTAGGCCCGAAAGGGACCGATCTTTAATTTTGGGTGGGTGGGCGGATCCGGAAATTGTTTTGCTTTTTATGACAAGGATGCACAATCTATTTATTTGTACAAAGTGAGAGGAAGAAGGTTCGGTGTTATAACCGTTGGGAGAATAAAAGTGTTATTGAAAAAGATGTTTTGTACCATGATGTCAGCAGCATAATGACTCTATTGATAATGATTCAGGCTTATTCTGGGATGTCAGGATTTGTGCATTTATGCACATAATATCAACATACACCATCCTTTTTCTTTCTGCTTGGAAACTCTTCCCTGACAGCTTCAGAAATGGGAGATAATGAAGCGAATCAAGAATTAGTTGATGCACCTTTTCAAAATGAGCTCTTTTTTTAAAAAAAATCAGAGTGACTCAAGCCTTGTGAATATTCATATCTACTGGAGGTAGTTGGCCCACCTCTTTGGAAACAGATCTGAATAACTAACACATTATTTTTTTTTGCAAAAGACCCCCGCAGCCTGCAGTCACCCACTCTTAAAAGGCGTCTCAAATCCGAAGAGAGCAGAGACATAATGTGGAATATTCTGATGATTTATTGGGGTAGGGTGGGAGGATAATCAGCCTGCCATCATTCATCACCTATGGGATCATTTTTTCTGTAGCTCAAAAAAGAAAAAAAAAAGTTGGTTGAACTACTCTTTTTCTTGGGAGCACAAAGAGAAGATAGTTTGAGATGGATGGCCTCCCCTTGACTTGAAGGCCTTCTGCCTTTACTAGCAGAAGAAAAGATTTTGGGAGATGATCCAATAATCCAGGGATCGAACATCTAGGATATGTTGTGGGTGCCCTCACAAAATGGCTTCCATGCAGGGGTGAAATCCAAAATTTTTCCCTACCGGTTCTGTGGGCGTGGCTTGGTGGGCGTGGCAGGGGAAGGTTATTGCAAAACCTCCATTCCCATCCCACTCCAGGGGAAAGGATATTGCAAAATCTTCATTCCCACCCCAATCTGGGGCCAGCCAGAGGTGGCATTTGCCGATTCTCTGAACTACTCAAAATTTCCGCTACCGGTTCGCCAGAACCTATCAGAACCTGCTCGATTTCACCCCTGCTTCCATGGAGAGAGAGGGGGAGGAGAGGGAGGGAGGGAGGGAGAGAGAGATGGATGGTTTTACTCTCTGTGGTCCCTTTTTAATCCTCTAGGATTCAATCCTTGTTTGTCTCTGGACACAAAAGAAGCCACTGAACTGAATCCCCTATAATGTTGTTATCATCCAAGGATGTCACCCAGGTACCTGAAGACTCAGGAGTCTTTTGGTCAACAAAGATGCTCTTAGACAAAAGATGCTGTGAGGCAGGGCAGAAATTTTCAGAGCGTTCCAATCCATGTCCATCCTTTGCTTGAAAACCTCCAGTGATGGAGCCCCCGTGACTTTAGAAGGTAGGCAGTTCCACTTGGGATCGATGTCAAGCCCCCCAAAACCAAGAAAGACACCCAGAGTTACTCCTGAGCAAGTTCCTTTATTGTCCCTCGCATAGAGACAGAAATCTTGCCAAACTAAAGCAAATTACTTGACCCATTAAAAAGAGATATTCTAAGAATTCTTAGGAACAAGCTGTCTTGACTTATTTACCCCCAACCAAACTGTTTCTTGGTCGTCTACGATGCAGCCTCTCGCTCTGGGGAATCCAGACCACATTCCACTACAGTAGTGGTGATTGTCCGATCTCACAGGTAAGTTAGAAGCATTCTTGGACTGCGTCAAGCAAAGTTTTCGATAACTCGTAAAAGCAAATCACCCTTTTCTTTTCTGCTTCTCAAACCTGTCAGCTTTAGTTTGTGCCAGACTCCTCATCTTTTTCAATCTGTTACATTCCAGTTATTCAAGAGGCAGAATTCCATCTCTTGCCAATTCTCTTTGCAAATAAAATAAAATAAACTGTCATGAAGAAAGCTGGCTGTACTTGAAAACTGGCTGACAGAACAGCGGGCCAGGATGTAAAGAAACTCACATCTGATGCCTCTTTTCATATTTTGTAATCTGAATTTACTTGCTTCTCTATCTCTCCATCTCCACAGAAGCTCCGAAGCATATTCAAAAAAGGAAGAGAGAGAGAGAGAGAGAGAAAGAGAGAGAGAGAAAGAAAGGGGGGAACGAAACCCCAACCATCTTCTCCACCTCCCACACAGTTCAGCAGTGAAATCTATGCATATTTGTCTCTATCATGCTTGGTGACTCCACAGCAAGAGGAAAAGAGTTGAATCTCCTGAGCAGTTGATTTTTCTGGTGAATTGCTTGGACCCCTCTTCATCTTTTTCACATTTTCATGGAGAGGACATAATATGGGGTGAGTTTTAAGGGTTTCCTATCAGTTCAATTCCACTTGGAGCCATCAAAAATGCCCAGGTCATCCCTGCTGGTGAGAAATGCTGATCTCTATGAAGATGTCAACTCAACAGAAGAGCCGGCCACCTTAATGAGCAACCAAACAAGCCAGGAAAGCTGGTCTGAAGATGCCTCCCTTGGTTTGGCGACCCTCTGTACTATTTACGCAGCCTATGCCACCATCATTTCCATGGGTCTTCTAGGGAACGTCATCCTTGTCAAAGTCTTCTTCAAGATCAAATCCATGCAGACCGTGCCCAATATTTTCATTACCAGCTTGGCTTTTGGGGATCTGCTCCTTCTGTTGACCTGCGTGCCGGTGGACGCTGCCTGTTACATCGTGGATACTTGGTTGTTCGGACGAATCGGCTGTAAACTCTTGTCTTTTATTCAACGAACCTCCGTGGGGGTATCCGTATTCACGCTGACGGTCCTCAGCGCTGACAGGTGAGTTTCGAGCATTTAACTGTTTGTGAAGGCGTTGTAAGAAATTAAAGTTCCTAGGACTATGCTAGTCCATAGACTTGACTGTCAAATGGACAAATCCAGATATTTTCCACAGCTTAAGCCCTGCATTCTTTGTTTCTATCTGATCACTCCTGATACCCACACAGTTGATAGCTGGGACATCTTCTGACCAGAAATGGATGCAAATTCTGATGCGTGGGCGAGTTTATTTGTGTGAGCGTAGGCTACGGTTTGGAAGATTTGTTTTTCTAGTGGAGCAAAATCATTGCTATTGAGCATCTCCTTATCTTTTGGGCTGTTTCAGTGTCTAAAATGTTCCTTTTCATTTCCAAGTAACGGAAAGCCAATGCGGTCGATTTCCCCCCCCCTTAATGGAAGAGAATCGGGAAATTCTGAAGCAAATTCTTTAAAATTCGCTGCTAACATCTAAAAATGATACCATTTACGGCGCAGCCAACAAATGAATGAGCTAAGAGGAAGAATAATGATATATTTGAAAAACAAAATGCCTTAAAAAAAAAAAAGAGAGAGAGAGAATCTCTGCTATATCTTGGTGCTACCTAGTGGTGTGGGAAAGCAATTTACAATAAATACAAAATGAAATGCGAGGATGATTAGAACATTTCTGCGGCCCGTTTTCTAAGGTTCATGCAAGTTTTAATTGGACTAAATCAAATGGCCTTTATTAAACTTGAGCAGTTCACAGGACAAGTATATTTGCCAAAAATAATAATAAGTAGCGCCAGAGGTTTAGCTGTTGAACGTTTGGACCAGGGGAAGATAACACATACCTAGGGCTTGGAGGGTGGAAGTATCATTACACAACCTTTGTGTTGGTTTCAGGGGGTCTCTGAGTAAAGTCACTAAAACTCTATGGTGTATTTTTCTTTCCTTGCACGTTTCAGGGTAAGACATACACAGAGATTGTGGTATAATCCCGAGAGAGACTCAACATAGTGTCAGGGTTCCAAGTAATACCCCCAACGAAATAACACTCCGAAGCTTGATGTTCCTCAAAGTTCCATTTTATTAGAGATATCATATTGGCACATCTGGGAAAACCTGAATCTGAAAGCTTCCGGGTTTTCCCCATCCAAAAGAAAGTCCAAGTCCCTGCCCAGCACTCACATGTCCATCACATGATCCAATCAAAGCACCATCCTAACTGGAGATGCCTCCCAGTCACACCTCTCCAGGTACAGGGCAGGATGTCCTTGACTCTCTGAGAAAGTAATGTTATTTTGACTACATATCTCTCCAGCTCCATACAATCCCCCCTCCCAGTTTCCCACAACACTAAATGTGGCAGGCCTGAAGATCCAATGCCCAAAATAGCTTCCAGGCCTGACACATAGCTTGAAAAACAAAGGACCCGCAGCCCGCCCCCCTGATGCCCTCCCCAAACAAAGGAGGGGAAACCCTGAAGGTCCCAAACCCCATCATTCTCCTCCTCACTGAGCTTCTCTCCTCAGAAATGGTCACAACAGAAGGTTGCCCACTTGTGTTCAAGACCATCGTGTTCTATTGTTTTGCGGTCATTTCATTAGCCCGTCAAGAGCTGACGCAAACTCTCTTTGGTAGATACAAGGCAATTGTGAAACCCTTGGAGCTCCACTCGGATGCCGTTCTGAAGACCTGCTGCAAAGTTGCTTGCATCTGGATCGTCTCCATGTTATTTGCCGCTCCGGAAGCCGTATCTTCCGATCTCTATACTTTCCACCTGCCCGAGAAGAACACCACGCTCGAAACCTGCGCCCCGTATCCTGTCTCTGAACGTGTCCTGCAGGAAGTCCACTCGCTGGTTTGCTTCTTGATCTTCTACATCTTACCCCTAGCGATCATATCTATCTACTACTTCCTGATTGCCAAGACCCTCTACAAAAGCACATCCAGTATGCCCGCAGAAGAGCAAGGTCACGCTCGTAAGCAGGTAGGCAAAAGGTTCCAGCCTGCATTTCTTAGATAGTTGGGTTGTCAGGGTTCCAAGTAATACATCCATTGCAAGCAAAAACTCCGAGGCAGGTGGATTCCTCAAAGAATAGCTTTATGGGAAATATCCAATTGGCACAGATCTGGTAAAAACCGACTGTGGGAGGCCCCTTGGTTTTCACCCAATTAAAAGTCCCGTCCCCCAACCCTAAACAATCAGTCATGTGGGCCAATCATGGCAGCGTTTGCAGCAGAGGTGAAATCCAATTTTTTTTTTACTACCGGTTCTGTGGGTGTGGCTTGGTGGGCGTGGCTTGGTGGGCGTGGCAGGGGAAGGATAGTGCAAAATCCCCATTCCCTCCCCACTCTTGGGGGAAGGATATTGCAAAAATCCCCATTCCCACCCCACTCCAGGGGAAGGATACTGCAAAATCCCCATTCCCTCCTCATTCCTGAGGGAAGGATACTGCAAACTCCCCATTCCCACCCCACTCTGGGGCCAGCCAGAGGTGGCGTTTGCCGGTTCTCCGAACTACTCAAAATTTCCTCTACCGGTTCTCCGAACTGCTCAAAATTTCCACCACCGGTTCTTCAGAACCTGTCAGAACCTGCCGGATTTCACTCCTGGTCCGCAGGTATGGTGACATCGCTCCTCCTTCCTCCGGTCAGGTGTGAGAACGTCCTTGGTTCCCAGGAGAAAGTATTTTATTTTGACTACACAGCCCCAGCTATCTCTAGTCTCTCTCCCCTCCCTCTTAATCCCTCAGCTCTATTGTGGCATCAGGTTTTCCATCACGGCCCTAATCCATAGTAATCTGGAATTTAACTCCAGAAAAAAGCAAATTTGGTCTTTTTTTCTCTCTCACAACTGTAACACCCTTTTCCCTTCTACTTCTTGTGTTATATAAGAGCATGTTTTCTTTGCCGTTTTTATCAAGGACAGGTTACACCCAGCTCTGGTTTTCTGCTGATAAGTGGCAGAAAGGAATTGACGAGATGTTTCCCCGCTTGTATCTCAGAGAAAAATCTGTCAAGCAGCAGCATCAGCAGCAGTCCAGCCTAGCTTTTATAAAAAAAATAAGAAGCTGAACCTAGGCTGCTCTAAGTCAGTCCTTGACTCCTCAGGGGAATTCTGGGAGTTGAAATCCACAAGTGTTAAAGTTGCCAAGGTTGGACATCCCTGCCCAATTGACTTCCAGTTGACTTCCATCACTAAGGCAGGACTGGAACTCACGTTCCCCTGCTTCTAGTCCCGTGCCTTAACCTCTACACCAGGGGTCTGCAACCTTAAATACTCAAAGAGCCATTTGGCCCCTTTTCCCAGAGAAAAGAAAATACCGGGAGCCACAAAGCCTGGATGGGCGTGGCCAACTCGATGTCACTCACTTCCACCAGTCACATGATACCCCTCCCAGCCACACCTCCCCAGCTGGTCATTAGGGCAGAGAACTAGTTGTTAAAAAACACCGGGAACCACAAAATCTTTTTGATGTATCTCTCTCTCTCTCCCCTCCCTTCCTCCCTCTCTCTCTGTATCTCTCTCTCCCCCTCTCTCTGTATCTCTCTGTGTCTGCCCTGGCCGCTTCTCCATTGCCCACCGTTGCCCTTACCTTCTCAGGCCAGTCGAGGAGTGACTGGGAGGGGCGGGTGAGGGGCGGGGCCAGCCAGTGGTGGGATCACCTAATAGGGAGCCACAGCAAAGGGCCCAAAGAGCCACATATGGCTCCGGAGCTGCAGATTGCTGACCCCTGCTCGACACCAAACTGGTTTTCTCAACAAAACTTCCACCCGCCATTATTTAAATGGTGAGTTCCTCCTCCATATTTTTCTGAGTCTAATTACTAAAATTAAACACCCCTTTCTGTAAATTCCACCAAGGAGCTGCCCATGTTGGATGCAGCGTTGGTAATATTTACCTGGCTTGTCGGAGAACGTAAGATGACTCTTGAGGGGGGTCATGCTTTTACGGTGCAACATTCAGAGTAGTGCTCAAGAACCAGATAGCTTGGATGGATTGTTATATGTTGTCATTATATTATTGGTTTAAAGGAAAGAGAGAAAGAAAGCGAGAGAGGGAGGGAGGGAGAGAGAGAGAGGAAAGAAAGAAAGAAAGAAAGAAAGAAAGAAAGAAAGAAAGAAAGAAAGAAAGAAAGAAAGAAAGAAATTTAGTTCCTTTCTTTGGAGTCATCAATTAGCCAAAAAAGGTCTAGCAGTGTTTACCTCTTGCTGCCATGTTGATGTTGGTTTATTTAAAGAAGCCTGTGTAGAAACCAGGAAAAATAAATTGCACATATTTTCCCCCTTAGATTGAATCCCGCAAGCGAGTGGCCAAAACCGTGCTCGTTTTAGTAGGCTTGTTTGCCTTCTGCTGGCTCCCTAACCACATTCTTTACCTGTACCGTTCGTTCACCTACCACACTTCCATAGACACGTCCACTTTCCATCTGGTGGCCACCATCTTCTCCCGGGCGCTGGCCTTCAGCAATTCCTGCGTCAACCCCTTCGCTCTCTACTGGCTGAGTAAAAGCTTCCGCCAACATTTCAAGAAGGAAATCTCGTGCTGCAAAGCCAAGATGCCCGTCAGAAGAGCCAGCCTCACTCAGGCCCACACCCCGAGCAGAGCCATGTCAGTCACGGGCTCGGAAATCAGCGTCACTTTGCTCACGGATTATAGCATCACCAAAGAAGAGGAGAGCGTTTAATTGTACTTCGTCCCGCTAGATCGACCGGCAAGATCCAGAAAATTGCCGAAGGTAAATGAGGAGCTTCTTGTACTGGGCAGAAATCTTCCCAATGCATCTTTAAGATCTCACACCTCAGCATCAGAGAACTTTGCTGCAAATCACAGCCGCCTGTTTCACACATGCACACATCTCAGTGTGGTTTTCCTCCCAAGCTGCCTTCCCAGGCATGTTCAACTTAATCAAACCCCGCATATTCCCTTGGCCAGTGGTGAAATCCATTTTTGGTGGGCGTGGTGTGGCTTGGTGGGTGTGGCAGGGGAAGGATATTGCAAAACCTCCATTCCCATCCCACTCCTGGGGGAAGGATATTGCAAAATCTCCATTTCCATCACACTCTGGGGCCAGCCACGAGGTGGTATTTGCCGGTTCTCCAAACTACTCAAAATTTCCGCTACCGGTTCTCCAGAACCTGTCAGAACCTGCTGGATTTCACCCCTGCCCTTGGCCCTTGCAAGGAGAAGCAAGAACTTGGGTGGCTTTAGATCAGGGTACAGAACATTGGAAGCTGCGTAAGAAGGAAAGGATGAGCTGTTATCTGGCAACTGCAGGAGGAGAAAAGGGCTGGCTAGCAGCTCAAATAGCATTACCAGAATCGCAGAGTTGGAAGGGACCTTGGAGGTCTTCTAGTCCAACCCCTTGGTCAAGCAGGAGGAGACTTTCTACAATTTCAGACCAACGGTTGTCCGATCTCTTCTTAAAAACCTCCAGTGCTGGAGCACTGACAACTTCTGGAGGCAAGTCGTTCCGACTGTTTATTCTTCTCACTTGTCGGGAAATTTCTCTTTACTTCCAGGTTGCTTCTCTCCTGGATTAGTTTCCATCCACTGTTTCTTGCATTAGAAAGAGATACGGAGGTTTCATGAAAAAAAAACAACCAACGGATTAGCATCAATTAGTCATAAAGTGGCACATACACCGTCAGAATCCTCCCAGCAAATATATATACTGCTTGCAAATAATGGGCAATAAGCCCTTCCCTTCATATTCTGCTTCTGAAGACATTGGCTTCTGCATTCAAGGCCATTATGGAGATACACAGTAGGGGCCAAAATTGTGGAAACCTTTTGGGAAAAGTGTATTTTCTAAAACTGGCTAATAACATCACTTCTTTGGGTAGTACCATAAAATTATATATCCATGGAAAGATAATTTAATCAAGAATGTAATGCAATCACTTTCATGAAGGATTTGCTAATAGAATAGCAGTTACGGTATAAAGAAGAAAAGTGAAACACGTAGAAAAAACGAGAGATACAAAAATGATCACCATAGAAAAAACGAGATATGCAAAAATGATCCCCATGTCAGTTAATCGTTAGTTGGGTAACCTTTAGCATGAATGATGGCCTTCCAACATCTTCCCATGGAGTGAACCAAGTCTTTTAATTCTGCAGCTGTTCTAATGTGAAACCAAGATTGAAGGATTGCTTCTATTAACTGGGTTTTATTGCTGGGTCGCTTCTGACTAACAAGTTTCTTTAGTCGGCTCCATAGATTTTCCATTGGATTAAGAAGGTCTGGGCTCTTCCCAGGCCATTCCAGCAGTGGAATAGGATTATCTTGAAACTCCCCCAAAAAGTAGTGTTATTAGCCATCCAACCTCAAAAATACACTTTTCCCAAAAGGTTTTCACAATTTTGGCCACTACTGTATGAAATACGGGAGGTAATACTCTAAGCCAGCCTATTTATGAAGGTTGCCGCATCCTGGAGTCATGTCATTATCGTCATCCGTGATCATCTCAGGAGGCTTCTAACACACAAAGTCAATGGTGGGGTGGGGGAAGGGAAGCCATATTCGCTTAAGGACTGCATGATTTGCTTAAGCCCTGTGGCTGAAAAAGTCATTAAAATCAGGCACAACACATTTCACAAGCACATCGCTTCACGATGAAAAATTCTGGTGGCCGTTAAGTGGAGAACTGCCTGTAACGTCCTTACCCCTTTCTTGAATGAAGTAAGAGGTTTGCATTTATCATTAAAAAGCATCGTACTGCAACCTTGTTGTGAAATTTAAATGGTTAAGTGGCCCTAATAAAGCTTGCTTTCAGTACAGGAAATGGTAACCGATTCCGTGTCGTGTTATTGAATAACAAGAGTTGGAAGGGACCTCGGAGGTCTTCTAGTCCAACCCCCTGCTCAGGCAGGAAACCCTATAAACCACTCCAGACAAATGATTGTCCAATCTCTTCGGGGAAAACCTCTGATGTTAGAGCACAGAAGAGTCCAAAGCGGCCAATTTCTAATTTTATGAGGTTCGACCCATGTCCAGTTGTGAGATCATCTTCATCGAAGAGTTGAGTTTAGGCTTATCATCAATATTGATCGCTCGGCATATATGGTAACGTTCAATACTTTTTTTCCCCAAGATGAGCTTGGCCCAATGATTTCGAGATTCTTTTTCATCTTGGAACTTCCTGTGAGTTCGAGAACTCTGCTTTTGTTTTGTTTTTTAGCTATCGCAATCTTAACGGATGTCATTAGAAGCCTCCTTCTCTTGATCAACAATTTCTACCATCATTCAAATGAAGTCGAGGACCTGGAGCTATTATATTTCCCAGGGTTTTGGTTACAGGATTGCTCCTTTGAGTATGCTGCAGGGGAAAATCCCCACTTAAATAAGGGACCAACTGCTGGGTTGTTTCTACTGACGCTGGATTACACAGAGGGAGGAAAGAGAAGCTCTAGATTTTATTATGCTCCCCATGGTGCAACTTTTGAGCTGGGGCCAGGATAAACTGCACATTTCCCTACGGATTTGAGTCACATCCCTCACTAAGCCATTATTTGCTGTAGTGTGGTTTGTTGACCAAGACACAGTTGGTTCAACACACATCATTAATCATTGTTTATGCGTCAGGTGGCTGAATTATACATACTAAACTTTAAAAAACCCTATAGCCCTGTAATGAGGACCTGGTTGTGGGGGCAATAAGCTGACTTTATATAAAATAGAACATCGCTTGTAGGGGGGGGGGGGCAAAAAAGCCCTACTAAGCAGGTATATACAAAAAAGTATGAAGGCTATTGCTTAATGCATTGTAAGCTGCCCTGAGTCTCCGGAGAAGAGCGGCATATAAATCAAACTAATAAATAAATAAATATAAAGCCCAATTCGGGTCTGAGCCTGGTGCCGAGGCCAATGAAGGATGCCAGTGAGTTCAATATTAAATGAATGCATTTAGTTTTATCCAAGTAAAAGAATAACCAGCTGGACTGAACTGGTATCTGCAGCTGGTACTGCCCAAAAGAAGGCAGGTATTCTACCGCCTTATTATTACAGTATCACAATACGTTCTGAGTTCCTATGCTAATGAATTATTTAAACTGCTTTTCTGATCTTAATATTTTGAAACTCTATAAACTTTTGATGCTGTTTGGTTTTTTTTCAAATATGCAACGGATGCATTCAATTTAAGATAATAAAAATCATCATCATCTGGAAACCATGCTAACTCAGCTCAGATCTAGTGCATCTCTGGGCCAAAATTGTGATGCTGCTTTTCTATTTTGGAAGTGTGAAGGTATCTCTAACAAGGCAGCCGGGAGCAAAGTAGAGATGGAAGGCAAAAGGTTATTGACAAATCTAAAATTACATCTCCAGCAAGTCCTTCTGACAGCTCGTTGGATGGTGATTTAATGGCCCTTCTGCACAAGGGTTTCCCTCTTACATTTGAATTATCGTTCCGTTGAGTATGACAGTGAGATATTTTTTGCTCTGGAGTATCGATTTCAAAGGCTTGATGCTTTACAGCCACAAAGGCAAGGAGCTTAATTTATGGGTGTGATTCCTCTGAAGTTTTATTAACAAGAAAGTAAATAAAGCATCCATCTCAGTTTTGAGGTCTGAGGATTTTCCTTAATAGCAGTGTTTTTCAGGTTGGCTGGGAATTCTGGGAGTTGAAATTCACCGTTTTAAAGTTGCCAAGTTTGAAAAACACTGCTTTATAGTAAAAAAAAACCCGTAGAATATCTTGCTTTATTTTCTCCATTGGATGAGCTGTACAGGAGGTTGCAAGCTATGGATGATGGGATTCATTGTTCCCACCCAGCCTCTGCTGTAGGCACTGGCTGAACAGGAGGTTGCAAGCTGTGGATGATGGGCTTCATTGTTCCGACCCAGCCCTCTCTGCTGTAGGCCACTGGCTCTACAGGAGGTTGCAAGCTGTGGATGATGGGCTTCATTGTTCCCGCCCAGCCTCTGCTGTAGGTCACTTGGCTGAACAGGAGGTTGCAAGCTGTGGATGATGGGCTTCATTGTTCAGCAGTTCCAGATCACATCAGGTTGGGATGACATATAAGAGTAGAATTTATAGAATTTTATTGTACAACCCCCATTTCATCCAAAGAGGGGCGGGGGCATGCAGGCTGGGGATGATGGGAGCTGTAGTCAAGTCTCTTTCTTCCATATGAACTGTATGGGCACCATGATCCTACTGTTGACATGGAATGGAAATGGATGAAAACTGGGGAGGAACATTTCCTTTATTTGTTTAGGAAGGAGAAAAATAAAATATTTCTTCCCAAAAGGATTAGGGTAGACTCTTTCTGGGCATGCGTAGTTCCCTCCTTCCGCCCTTCCCTTCTCGGCAGCCCTCTGACGGACGGCTCAACTCCGAAGCTTATTGGCTGCCTTTGTTGTTGTTTACGGCAGTTTTTCGGCCTAGGCCCGCCTTCTTTTCGAAAAGCGACTTCCGCTCTTGCGCAGTGAGCGACCCGGGGGCCTTATTCTCTTTAGCTATACGCTAAATAACAGGAGGGACAAGAGGAGACTTTCGAGGCAGGGGAGCGCTTCTGCGCTTGCGCAATAAAACTTCCCTCAGGCGCGACGGCCGGGAAGCGCCCTATTTGCGTCTGCGCAGCAGCCTTGTCACCGCTGAGGCGAGAAAAGGCGGCTTTTACCGCGGCGGCAGGAATCGGAAGAGCCGACGGGGCTCCGTTGCCTCCGAGCGGCGCCCACTCGGGACGGGGAGGCCCGAACCGAGCCAGGCCGCCAGGGGGGGTGGGGGGCGTGGCCGCGCGTGCGTAGCAGAGCCCCCCGCGCATGCGCCCTAGCGCCGGGCCTTCTGTGAGGCGTTTCCAGGCCGGGCCGGGCCCGGGCGGCGCCCTGGTGGTGAGAAGCGTCGCGGGAGGAGGCGGAGGCGTCGTCGAACCGGGCGGCACCATGAGCGTCGGAGGCTCGGATCGCAACGAGGATTTCCACCAGCAGCTGCGGCTGCAGGAGCTCTACGAGCGGAAGGAGGGCGAGGCCGGCGACGAGCCTTTCACCTACACCGACCCCGCCGACGGCACCCAGTACGAGTGGGACCGCGACAAGAAGGCCTGGTTCCCCAAGGTGGGCCCGACTACAAGACCCATCCTGCACAGCGCGAAGGCGGGGGGGACGACGGACGCGAGGGCGAGGGGAGCCAAAGCCGCCCCCCCCGTCCAGGATTTGAGGGGGGGGGCTCCCTGTAGGCGGAGGCTGATGGGCGTTGTAGTCCTAAAGCTGGGCTGGTGGGGGGGTTGACGTGGGGGGGAGGAGGAGGAGGGTCTTCTGGTTTTCAGGCTGCAGAAGTCTTCCTTGAGGGGTAGAGGGGAGCCTTTCCTTTCTGGTAAAGCCAAAGAATTCCATTCAAGGCGGAGATCGTTTTCTTTCTTCGCATCATCGTCCCTCCGTCGCCTGTCTACAGATGGACTGCACGGTGGTTGCTCTGGAGAGCGAGAGGGGTGACATATACATTCTAAAACACATCTACATGTCCCTTTCTTTCTTTCTTTCTTTCTTTCTTTCTTTCTTTCTTTCTTTCTCATCGATCATACCTATCTTTCTATCATCTATCCACCCAACCATATCTCTATCTATCTATCTATCATCTATCCACCCATCCATATCTATCTATCATCTATCAATCATCTTATCTATCAATCATCTACAGTATGTCTGTCGTCTGTCTATCTATCTATCTATCCATCCATCCATCCACCCATCCATTTCTGATCATCTGTCTATCAATCATCTACAGTCTATCTATCCATCCATCTATCTATCATCTATCCACCCATATCTGTCATCTGTCTATCAATCATCTACAGTCTGTCTATCCATCTATCTATCTATCTATCATCTATCCACCCATCTATATCTATATCTGTCTATCAATCATCTACAGTCTATCTATCCATCCATCCATCTATCTATCTATCTATCATCTATCCACCCATCTATATCTATCATCTGTCTATCAATCATCTACAGTCTATCTATCCATCCATCCATCCTCTATCTATCTATCTATCATCTATCCACCCATCTATATCTATTCATCTGTCTATCAATCATCTACAGTCTATCTATCCATCCATCCATCTATCTATCTATCTATCATCTATCCACCCATCCATATCTATCATCTATCAATCATCTTATCTATCAATCATCTACAGTATGTCTGTCTGTCTATCTATCTATCTATCCATCCATCCACCCATCCATATCTATCAACTATCAATCATCTACAGTATTATTTATCATCTATCCATCCATCCATCCTGTTTCCCCAAAATAAGACATCCCTTGTTAATAAGCCCAATCGGGCTTTTGAGTGCATGGCAATAAGGCCAAGCACTTATTTCAGGGTTCAAAAAATATAAGACAGGGTCTTATTTTCAGGGAAACACGGTATCTATAATCTCTCTCCTATATATCTCATCTATCTACACACACACCCACACACACACCAAATAAAAGTGCAGAAATGGACAGGTTGACATTAAAGATAAAAGATAAAGAAGATAGAGAAATATTTTTTAACATGGGATTTGTTCTATCAATGGTTGGATAATAGAGGTAGAAATTACAAACTGGAAAACATTATTATGTATAAGCAAATTGTTCCAGATAATACACTGTTTACTAAGCGTTTATGTATGTTAAAAAAAATGTATAAATAAAATATATAAACACACACACTCATAAAATAAAGTTGCCATCTCCAACTAAAGTTTCAAACTTCAGGCTGAGTAAGCAGTGGACTTTGCTAATAATAGTCCTCATTTCCTGGGGCAAAATGCCATTTTTTGAGACGAGCATTGACCCTGTCCAGCTCTTGGCCAGCCTCGATTTTCTTACTTCCTCCTTTGGCTTGCTGTCCTTCTGACCCTCCTTATCTCTCCGGCAGGATCCCTTTACTAGGTTTTCAACCTGCCTTATTAAAAATAGATAAGTAAAGGCGATGAATACATCAAATGCTTTTAACTTTAAGGCTTTTAACTCTCAAATGGGAGTACAGCAATTCAGTGGGTTGGTGTTTTTTTTCCTCTCAACCTTGGCAACTTTTCAGATGTGTGGATTCCAACTTCTTCTCACTCTTCCAGAAATTATTTACCTTGTTTTCTAAATTGGCATCTAGACCCAGGGTTATTAACCTATGAGCTGTATCTAATGTGGACTTGTATCTATGTTGTGCAATTCTGCTGCTGAATCAGGTGAAGAGCAGTTGCTCCTGAAAATTATCCTGACTTTCTTGACTAAATTCTGAAGAATATTTGTAAGAATGGGGACAGGTGACAGCATTTTTAGATGTCCAAAGAGAGGCAATTTTGCAGGCAGTGTGTAAAGGGAGAGTAAACATTCTGCAACTCCTTGATGACTTGATCTCAAAGATAATGCTGGTGCTCTGAGTAGCTTTCTGTAGTAAACCTAGAGTAGCATCCTTTTACCCCCTCTCTGCAGGCCTGCCAGTCATCCCTCTAAGCTGCCTATCAGTTGTAGTGCCATTATGAACAGTTAAAAATAGAACATGATCTGCATTATTTTGTTTCAGGAGGCCACCTCGGGCCCTCGATTCTTGCAGTATAGTAGCTCACACTTAAACCTTAATTTGGTCTCTAATTGGTTTCCTGAACAATGTCTTCTTTTAGGTCACTGAAGATTTCTTGGCAACGTACCATGCTAACTACGGCTTTCCCACCGAAGGCTCCGATACCTCGGCCTCCGCTGCAAAGACTGACTCTAAAGCCGCACCGGGTTCCAAGGCTCAGCCGCCGGCAGAAGCCAAACCATCGCAGCCGCTGCCCTCAGACCTTAAACAGAAAGGAGAGAAAAGAAAAGCCGAAGCAGGCAAGCGGCGCCATTGTGCATGACTTAGAAGTAGTTTGCTGTTCAAGAAGAGATGTCTGTCTTCCTGCGGAGTTGTGCTTATGTGGGCGGTCATGCAGGACTCGGAAAGCCTAATGTTAAAAGGATCAAATTACAGCCAACTTGTAGGAAGTTGTCAATGTTGTTAAAGCTTGGATAGGTGTGAAGATAGGAAGGTGCCATTTATCCCAGGTCAGGCTGTTTATATCCCAGGATTGTCGTCTTTTCTCCCCCAGTCTGATGTGAACTTCAATCTGAAGAGCTGTTCTCTTTTCTTTAGAGGTGCAATCCTAATTTATCCTCATCTCCCCTCTAGGATGGTTTCATGTCGAAGAACAGAAAAACACAAATGTTTATGTGACAGGTGAGGAGCAGTCTTGAGTCTTTGCTGGGTGTGATGATGCTGCGGTTCTCCGTTGAAATGGATTCAAGCCCTTAAATATCATTTCAAATATTTCACGGTACATGAAATCTTTGCCTCTGGCCTTAAGAACCACGTGGAGTAAAATTTAAATGGATAGGAAGAGCGATAAGTAAGACGTGTATTGAATAAATCCAGTCCTATATATCTGAATTATTTGTGAAGTGCCTCAAAACTCAAAAGTTGCTGCACAATGGCACGCAGGCTTTGTAGTCAGTTTGTCTCCATTTTAATGAAGGATGGATGTCTTGCTGTGCTTTAAATGTGAGGCCAGCACCTCTATAAACAAATTCCAATCACGTTCCTTTAACCACTTCCTAATTAGACAATCACTTTGTGGCAATCCAGCGTTGGATACATGGCTTCATAACTATGCGGTTGAGTTGGAAAACGCCCTCCTGCTGCATCTGGAAGGGCCTGTTGCAGCATTTGGGACCTTTGGCGTGCTTGATATGGACTCCAGTTTCGCAGCTGTATAATGCTTGTAAAATGCACGGCATTTCTGAAGCCCCCACCATCGTGGTGCTGTCCTGACTGGCCTGGCAGAGACTTCTGTCTCTGATAACACAAGGCACATCAAAAGAAGAGAGTTCCCTGTTTTAAAAAAACTGTTTAATAAAAATTATATATATATAAAATCAGAACTCCAGATTCCTCAGAACAATTTTATTGGAGATACCATATTGGCACAAACTGGTGAAAACCGACTCTGAAGGTTCCCACAGTTTTCACCTAATTAAAAGTGAAAGTCCCCTCCCTATCCCTTCCTCGCATCGTGGCAACCCTAAAGCCTCCAAAATGGCCCCAGTCAGGTTCGCTTCAGAGTTGACACCGCGATCTCATTCTGCTCTGTGTTAAAAGGTGTCGGATCTCAGGCTTAATGGCTGTGCTATAGACCAGGGATTCCCAATCCCTGGTCCATGGACTGGCACCGGGCCGCGGCATACCAAAAACCGGGCCACACAAACAAGCCAAGCCCCCATCCATGGGATGCAGGAAGCACATGAAACCACGCCCCCTTTCCAAGTTCATGGAAAGACTTCGCGGAACTGGTCCCTGGTGTCCAAAAAGTTTTTTTGGGGGGGGGGGGGGGGGGGCTCCTGCTGTAGACCTCTTCATCCCTATTGAATCCAAGGAGCAGATAAATCTGCTGTCACCGATAAAATAACCTTGCCGGTTTCACCTCAAACATATCCACAGGTCCCAAAGCTTATATTTTGAACGGAGAGTACAAAATTTGCAGAACTGCTTTAAGGACTTTATATCCAGCTTGAGAGCTAGAAAACTTGAAGTGAACGATGATTGTTCCTTTAGTGGCATTGTATATATTTATTCCCCCCCTCACAGTTTGGGATCTAACGCTGCCAAATTCCAAAAGCTATCAGACTGTGCTGAATGAGGGGGAATAAACAAAGACACCACGGGGGAGAAAATGTAGACTGTGGCAAAAACAAAAAAATAAAACCTTGTATGGTAATGTTAAAAATTCAGTTTGGATTTGTTGTGTAATTTGTATCTCTTCAAATTTTACCTTTCCAGGTTTACCGCCAGACATTACAAAAGATGAGTTTGTGGACGTCATGTCAAAATGTGGTATCGTTATGCGCGATCTTCAAACGGAGGAACCAAAAATCAAACTTTACAAAGACAAGGAAGGAAACCTTAAAGGCGATGGGCTCTGTTGTTACTTAAAGGTTAGTTGTTTATTCTCTTACAATATAGCTTTTGCGGTGATCTTGTGGTTGCTATTGTTACATTGCAAACATAGATCTCCAGCCCCTTTGACTCTCTTTTTATTTCAAGTTAATTTAATTTAAACTTCTGGGCATTCCTACAGGCATCAACAAGATTTATGAGGAGCGTGTTTTAATCTCTCGCAAATATTTTTTCTTTTGTCTGTTTAGGTGGAAAAAAGAAGTTGTAAACCAGGATTTTTTTCTCCTCTCTTCTCTTTTCCCAGAGAGAATCTGTTGAACTCGCGCTGAAATTGCTGGATGAGAAAGAAATCCGAGGCTACAAACTGCATGTGGAAGTTGCCCAGTTCCAGCTTAAGGGGGAATACGATGCCAGCAAGAAGAAAAAGAAATGCAAAGATTACAAAAAGAAGCTCTCCCAGCAACAAAAGTATGTGGCTGTTTGTTAAGATACCCCCAAAACTTTTATAAGTATATTTGCCCGTGGAAAATGTGGCTAGGTTTGCCTTTTCATGAAACCTGGGGCTTTAAAGGGCTGTATTTATTTTTTAAAATGCACGAAAGCTTAATCTTTAAAACAGCTCAAATCACCCAGGAGGGCAGCTCCTAATAAAATGTGGATTTAGCTGTCAAGTTACCTTTCATGTAGGTGGCTTATAGATCAGGGGTCACCAACCTTTCGGACCTCAGGAAGGTCTGAGATGGTCAGCCAGTTCCAGGCCATAATGCAGTCCCACTGGAACGAGACCCTCTGGCTCTGCCACCAGTGGCGCTTCCCTCCAGCCTTCGGCCAAAGCCCTGCACCAGGAGGCTGAAGCAGACCCCGAGTCGGAATTTCTTCAGTGGGGCAAGAAAAATTCTGCCAGCTTTGATTTCAGAAGCATTCAGTTAATTTCTTTTTTCAACAAATGCTTTTAGACACTGAAGAGATCCACCCCTCAACCTCTTAAATGTTGCTTCGTTTCATTAGACTGCTGGATTGGCGGCCGGAGAAGAAAGGGGAGAAAGTGAGATTGCGACACGAGAAGGTTATCGTCATCAGAAACATGTTCCATCCCAATGATTTTGAGGTGGGTTAAAAAACAAAACAAAATCCAGAAGGGGGTCATAAACTGTAATCCCTCCTCCCTAAATCCTGGGAACGGGTCGCCTCTCAAAGATGACGACTGAAATTGGCCTCGTCACAAGCCGAGAAGCGTTTGTGGCATAATAGGGCCAGCTAAAGTTAGAAAGGATCGTTCCATTTTTAGGCTGTTTCTGGCTGAGGCTGTTGGGACTGTCATATCCAGCAATTTTAATTTGCTCCTCCTGTATGTATTTGAAGGCATAACGTTACCCTCCAGTGGGACATAACTCCAAACGTATTCAGCCATAGCATTTAGGCTTAGATACCTTCACAAAGCACTTTACAGCACTCTCTGGGTGGTTGCAATGTAAATGATTATTTGCATATTGCCCCCAACAATCCTCGTTTTATGACCTCGGAAGAATGGAAGGCCGAATCAACCTTGAGCCAATCGGGGATCAAACTCCAGGCGGTGGGCAGAGTTTGCCTGCAATGCTGCAGTTTAACCACTGTGCCACCAAAGCTCCTTTATCTGTTCATCTCTTTATATTTACCCAAGGGTTGGGAGTCATGGGGCCCGTAGTCCCAACATGCGTGGAATTTGCAAGGTTTCCTAGCCCTTGAGACAAGACCAGTCGGTATCTGTTAGGATCGGCTAAAGAGATCTATAGGATGATGTTTTCTGTTCAACCTGTGCTTTTGAGCGTTGATGAAAACGGAACCCAACAAGCTCTTGAAAAGCGCACAGCAAATAATCCAGGCAAGATTGTCTGGTCCCATTTGACTTGTCAGAGTGCCAGAATTGTCCTGTGAAATTATCCTCGCTTTCTGAAAGCGTTGGGTGCGTTTTAAAAATATGCTTTAAAATGTCTTTCCAGGAGGACCCTTTAGTGCTAAACGAGATCCGGGAAGATCTACGGACAGAATGTGAAAAATTCGGTCAAGTAAAGAAAGTCATTATATTTGATGTACGTATCACAAATACTCAGTCCTAATTTTGCGTTGTACTTTTGAAATGTTCTTCTACAAAAGCACTCCTAATAATTACCCCACCAGTCAGGCTCCACTTATAGAATCATCTTGTTTGTTTGATGGAGAACCAACTTATTTTATCAAAATTTCATTATTCAGTGTGTCACTGGAATACGGCTGAACTTTTAGAAAAAGTTACGTCCGTATTGTGAGATTTGGGACAGCAGCTGCCACATTTTTAAAATTGAAATCAGAGGTTTTTAAAACATGCTGCATTTGACAGTTGAAAGGTTATAATCAGATGATAACATGGAAAGATTACTAGACTTCTGGAAAAAACAGGTATTCTTATCATTACAGAGAGGCGTTAGGAGAATAATTCGGAAAAGGTGATATCCAAAGCAATTTAAAATGATTTCAATGTCTTTTTTTCCCTAAAAATGGCAGTTTAGAACAGAGGTCATTTTATCATATTTTGTAAATCCCTAGGGGTGGCTCAGTGGCTTAGCCACATCTCAGCGGCTAAGATGCTGAGCTTGTCGATCGAAAGTTTGGCAGTTCAGCGGTTCGAATCCCTAGCGCCGCGTAACGGGGTGAGCTCCCATGACTTGTCCCAGCTTCTGCCAACCTAGCAGTTCGAAAGCACGTAAAAAAATGCAAGTAGAAAAAATAGGGACTACCTCTGGTGGGAAGGTAACAGCATTCCGTGCGCCTTTGGCGTTGAGTCATGCCGGCCACATGACCACGGAGACGTCTTCGGACAGCGCTGGCTCTTCGGCTTTGAAACGGAGATGAGCACTTCCCCCTAGAGTCGTGAACGACTAGCACATATGTGCGAGGGGAACCTTTACCTTTAGGGGACTGTACTTGTGATTCAGAAGTAGGGCCTTCTCTTAAATACGGCTGATGCCTAAATCTAATTTGATGGCTTTCCCCTTCCTGTTTCTGTAGAGGCATCCGGATGGGGTAGCCTCTGTATCCTTCAAGGAATCCGAAGAGGCTGACGTTTGCATACAGGCGCTGAATGGACGATGGTTTGGTGGACGGCAGCTCTCTGTGGAAACGTGGGATGGTACAACTGATTATCAGGTATATTTGGCTTGACGAAGGTTATGGCTTTTCTGTTTTTTAAAAAAACAAGTATGAGTAATGAAGGGAGCCAGTTAAACACTGCAGGATCGAAACGGGGGGCCTGAGTTCTAATCCTGCCTTAGGGATGGAGCTAGCTGGGCAAATTAGGGTCAGTCCTTCCCTCTCAAAAGGGACGCGGTGGCTCATTGTCTAAGACGCTGAGCTTTCGATCGAAAGGTCGGCAGTTCAGCGGTTCGAATCCCAAGTGCCGCGTAACAGGGTGAGCTCCTGTGACTTGTCCCAGCTTTTGCCAACCTAGCAGTTCGAAAGCAGGTAAAAAATGCAAGTAGAAAAATAGGGACCACCTTTGGTGGGAAGGTAACAGCGTTCCGTGCAACTTTGGTGTTGAATCATGCCGGCCCCATGACCACGGAGACATCTTCGGACAGCGCTGGCTCGTTTCAAAGCTGGAAACGGAGATGAGCACCACCCCCTAGAGTCGGGAACGACTAGCACATATGTGCGAGGGGAACCTTTACCTTTACCTTTACTCTCAGCCCTAGGAAGAAGGGGTTAATGGCCAACCAGTTCTGAAATCTTGCCAAGACGATTGCAGGGACGTTGGCCAAACAGCCTCTGGGAGTCTTGGCGGACTCGTAAACATGAATAACTTAGTTATTTAAGAGGGCTTCTCCATGCTTTGCACTTGGGTTCTGAAATCTCTTTTAAAAGGGATTTCTGATCCCTAGAACAAAACCGTTTAATGACATGCTGTGGAAGTCGGATTCTTGTGACCCAGTGGTTTCCCCAAATCACATTTTAAAATCGACACCTAAGCTCTTGATCACGAAACAGAAAATGCCTTGAAATGTCTTTGAACATGCCTTCCCTTCCCCTCTTTCTCCTCCTCCTCAAATATTGACAATTGTGTCTCACCCCAGATTGAAGAAACTTCCCGGGAAAGAGAAGAGAGACTAAAAGGGTGGCAAGAATTTTTAGGGGATCCCAACCAAGAACTGCCTAAAAAGCCACCGGATGCCAATTCTTCCGAAAGCGGCCCTCAAGCGGTCAAGAGAGACCCCCCGTCTCAAGATAACGGGGCCCCCGAAGCCGCCGAGGGAGCAGGAGATTGCCACAAAGGAGCCGGTGAAGATGTCGTGGCGTCCACAGACAGCAGCATGGCGGGCAGCGATGACGATGAAGAAGCAGAGACTTAACGCTCCTCACTCGCCGCTGGTCCAAGAGCATGATTGCGGGCTCCCCTCGAGGCCTCCCTTCCCCTCCCCCGATGCAAAGTTTCAAGCTCCACTCCAATCAATGAATATAAATAAATATAAATATATATATGTATATGCGCGCACGTTTCCTTGTTAGGATATCACCAACGTGCTTTTGAGGTATTGCATTTAAAAGCAGTATTTAGTTTGTGTGCGTGTGTGTGCGTGTGTGTGTGTATATATATATATATATATTCATATATATTCATGTCTGGCTGTGACTGAAGCTGCGTATGTGTCATAAGTTGCCAAGAATCCTGCTGAACTGACCAGCTGTCTTAAATTCCACTTTTGCTTGTCAGCGTTTGGAGCCCATCCAACGTGTGAAGTAGGTGTAGAAACTCCCCAGTTTTCCCCCAAACGACACCATAGACACCCCAGGTTTGAAAGCTTTTTGGTGTTTTTTGCTCCAATGCCAGCCTCCTCCCAGCCTACTCATACTCTTCCCCGTACAATACGGATTCTTGCCTGCCGTGCTTTCACCAGCATGGGCTTGGAATAGCTGGTTTTTCTGATAATTGATTTAAAAAAAAAGCAGATCATTGAAGATGTATTCGCACTCCCCACATCCGGGGGAGGTTCGAAAGATCACGCTCCGAAGATGCTCTTCTGGCGTGCGTAAAAAGTTCCTTGTGATTCACGTCCTTTGTTCGTTTATAGAAGTTCTGACGCTGAGGGAAGCTAGGTAATAAACGGAGGGGAAAAGTCTGTAAATGAGCTGACTTCTGATCATCTTTCTACAAATTTTCGTTTGGATTATTAACTCGTCGGAAACACGCGGGGAGCATATGTGCGTTGGGAAGGGTGCGATTCCTGCCTTGTTCCCGGTGTTTTAACTGTTCAATTATAGTTGCGTTTCGAGCATTTGTCGAGACCGAGGATACGAAGCCTGTATTTTTTTATACTGGATTGATTATAGGAGACAACTACGAATAAAATCGTTTTGAGATTCATTCCCGAAATTGTTTCGCAGATTTTTTTTAAACAATTTTTTTTGATATAAAGATATAAACCGCTCAAAAATAGTCTTTCCCCCCCCTTTTTTTAATCGCTGCTAAGACTTTGCCCAAATTTACTTTAGTTAGTTCTTCTAACTAACATGTTCAAAGAAGGAAGTGATTGTTTAGGCCATTTCAGGTACACTTTAATGGGGGTACCTGTGCTTTTTGTCGTGGCAATCATAGCACCTGTGTTCTCCGTTTGCATGCGAGAAATTAGGAAATTAGATGCTTCACACCGAGTTTGCTGTTTTAGCTGAACGACGGAAAAAATTTAAATTGGGATCTCCGTCTCGGGTTCAGTCATTGCCCGAGACGGATGATTATGCAAATGATTTTCTGTTGGCTCCAAAGGTAGCAACCCTAAAAGTGGAATTTTTCAAGCTTTTATCTCTTTTCGTTGGGGAGAAAGGAGACGGTCGGAGCCTAAATTCAACTTGACATTTCCCGAGGACATTGTTGACTGTTGAGCATCTCCTTGGACCCTTTAGGAATCTGCACCAATGGGAAAAAAAAAAAGCTCTTTTACTGAATAATCTTTTGTAGAATAAAGCTAAGTGCTTAATGGACCAGTTTTGTACCTTGAATTTGTGATCATCTCTTGAAAATGTGTGTGTTGCCTTTGAACGGTTTGTCTTGAAGGTACTCGCCGCTAACACCTGACACAAAACACACGAGAATTTGAGTACACTGAAAATGAGTGGTTAGAAATAAACCTCTTCAAAGATTGCCATCTGTCCAAACGAAATATGTGGCAATGTTTTAATGCACAAGCCTGTCCTGGATTTTCTCTTCCTGCTGTATGTTGCGATGTATGATGACAACGAATGAGGTCAGTGAAACTTACGCAAGACTTCACATAGGAACTATAGTGCGATAGTTCCAAATTAAAATATTTCTGGAATTTAAATGATTGTTCCATTACAAAAATCTCTGTGGCCTTATTTGTGGAGGAAAATAAATCTCAGACCAGACCTAAGTAGTATTCACAAGCCTTGAGGACGCAAGGATCAAAACTTAAAATAGTTGTCGTTTCCAAAGTTTATATTCCTTTCTTAGGAAAATCTGGTTGTTGCTATTCTGGAGAATATAACTGCTTCCTTCCACCTCATCTACGTCTCCTATCCATTTTGACCTGAATTTCTCTGGTATTCCACCATGGTTCCTGTTTGCAAATCTGTAATCATCTTCAAATGGCGTAATTCCAGATTTTGAGATTAGTACAATTCATAATAAGTGATAAAATATTTAGGCATAATGTTTCAGAGACGGAATAACACTTGCAATCGTTGTAAAGGTTCATTTCTATCCTTGTTTTTATACAGATCTATCTCCACAAAATATTAGTGGATTTAATCTCGTAGAAAAACAGGCAATTTTTACGCAAAACCAGACTTTCTGTTACCGTATTTTAGTGTGTTGTCACACACTTAAAATATTGTGTTACAGATAAAGCTACTTGGGAAGATTGGATGCACTGCTAGACTCAGACTTCTCATTTTGTTGGCGTTGTTCAGTCCTGCTGTTGCAAATTACAGTTTCCTTACAATGTAAGGATTTACTCAGGGATAAGTAAATTAATTTGAATTTCTTACAGTTAAAAATGGAGATGAGCAGCCCTTCTTATTTAAATGACTACTTCCGTTACTTAGGGCCAAGTCTAAACGAAATCCAGTTTGAACTGATTTGTTCTACAAATTACACATAAAATTCTTCATCCTATGAGGCACGTCATTAAGCAAGACCTCCTTCCTAGGTTGGTATAGAATTATATGACGTCATCGTGCAATCCATCCTCAATGTTTATATTTTTGCAATCATTATCAACCTCTTTCCCAATCTGGTGCTATATTCTGGTAACCGTCTTAAGACTTTATTCATCCATCAGGTATTTCTCAACCTTGGCAACTTGTGGATGTCGATTCCCAGAATTTTCCAGCCACTCAGGTTGCCACCAATTACAGTAAAAGCTAAAAATCACCTCTTGGTTTCTTGAGCTGAAATATTTGACTCTTCGGACAATTGCCAGTAGTTAAGGCTCAGTTCAAGCTATACATACAGACCTGCAAATTGATGCCTGGAACAATATATGCCTTTGAATATTCAGGTCATCCTTGACTTTTGACCACAATTGAGCCCATAATTTTGTTGCTAAGTGAGACATTTTGTTAAGCCAGTCTTGAACCATTTTACGACCTTGCCACCGTTGTTAAGTGACTTTAGTAACTTTGAGCATTCACTAAATGAATTGTAAGTTGAGAACTACCTGCCTATATTCAACAATTTAATCACATGAGCCCTGGAATTAGAGGCTAGCAGCAAAAATAACTTTCCAGTCTAAATGAGGAACAACAAGGAAGTTAAACAGAAGAATGTTTAAAAAGCAAAGCGTCGAGTCACTACACCGTAGTTACAGAATAACTACACCGATCCACCTAAAAGAGGAAAGCTGGCTTTTTAAAAATTCGAATCCTGTCCATCTTGTAGTACCGGGAACAGATCTTCACTCTGGGGACCCAATTCTTAGCTTGGGCACAAACCCCGGGTGCCAGCTCTCTTTTACAAGCACCCTGAACAGACCTTTTTATTGTCTTCTTTCCTGAAACCTCTAAACCTGGTTGACTTGTCAGAGTGCATTTCACACATTCCTGTTCCCGAGCCTGAAGGATACGCCTAGTTCCCTCACTGCTAAAGGAACAGAAAACTGCTGGTACGGTCTGGTGCTGTTCTCCTTGTTGTTGAGTTGCTACAGGGCTCACACCCGGAGCAGAGAATCACGGAGAATCACAGCATGAAGTGAACTCAGGTGGGGTCTGTCTACTAGACCAAAGGTATGAAAATCGTCTTGAGTTTCTCTTACTTGGGGTAAAGTTTAATCCAAGCAAGGAGATGTCTATAAGTAAAGTTAGGGGAGATGTAACGTGTTTAGTGGAGAGTTACAATTTCTGGAATTGGTTGACGGAGATGCACTAATTTAGCAAGGTTCTCTGTATTATGGTTTCCGACGAATGGTATTGTTGATATTTTAAAAATGGGTGTATTCCTGACTAGTTATGAACTACTACTTGTGTAGCTCTTCGGCATCTACTTTAATCTGATCATGTGGAATCTTGGTTCATAATCAAGTATTTTCAAACGGGTTGAAGTCCACCTATCTTTGCTCGCTACTTGGAAGGAATATTAACACCATAGAGGGAGACAGTAGAGGGAGGTGGACATCTGGAATAGGATATTGGTCTTTGTGGACAACAGATACTGGGCTCTTACCCTCAATCTTGAAGGAACTGACTTTATACTTAAAGCTTCTGGTATTTAAAAAAAGCAAGAAAATTAAACTCTGCGGCCCCTTTCTGTGGAAGAACTATTTTCATTCTCAAATACCGGTTGGGAAATCAAAAAGATAATTAGGAAACTTATCTTCTCAAAATCACGTGTCTCCAGAGTCAGGCTACATTTCCGACCAGATAGGGAGTCTATGGGAATGGACAGTGTTGTCCTTTTTGAAGAACTGGATTGCACATCTGCAGGTTCTCTTGGGTTCAGACCAGCAACCAAGAAGACACATGATAATAAAAAAATTCTATAATTTCTTACTTGGTATTGAATTATTTATTTATTTATTTTATTTTATTGGATTTATATACCGCCCTACTCCTGAAGGACTCAGGGCGGTGAACAGCCAAAAAGATAAAACACATAAACTACAAAATTTAAAAGACAATATAAAAACCCATTAGATAATTTGGCCCAAAACAAATTAAAACACCCCTAATATTTTAAAACAAATTTACAATTTACAATTTAAAAGGGAAGTTAGGTCAGGCCAGCCTGCTAAAATAAAAAGGTTTTGAGAGCACGGCGGAAGGTGCGTAAATCTGGGATCGTCTGTATCTCCGGGGGGAGCTCATTCCAGATGGCAGGAGCCCCCACAGAGAAGGCTCTGGAATTGGAGGAGGAGCAAGTAAAGGAAACAAAGATAGCCTGGGCAAAGAATTTCGGATATTCAATTTACCTAGAGAAATGGCAACAATTATGAGAAAGGAATTACAGATTAACAGTGTCCACTGCATATAAGGAAAATCAATATAAAATGTTTTATAGATGGCACATACCACCTGAGAAACTGGCAAAAATATTTAAAGATAAATCAGCCAAATGTTGGAAATGTCACCAGTTACCAGGTTCATATTATCATATGTGGTGGAAATGTCCAGAAGCTAAAAACTATTGGAATAAAATTAAGATACGGCTGGAAGAAATGATACAGCAACGTACTGATTTTAAACCAGAGCTGTTCCTATTGGGTATCCTCCTTGAAAAAATAAGTAAAGAAAAAAATTATTTGATTATACATGTAAGAACAGCTGCAAGGATTGTTTATGCACAAAATTGGAAAGCAGAGAAAATACCTTTGGAAGGAGAAGTAATTTAAAAAAATTTAGACTGTGCAGAAATGAATAGATTGACTTTGATGATTAAAGAAAGAGAAGAGTTAGAATACTTTAAGATATGGAATCAATTTTACTATTGGTTAGAAAAGAAAAATTAATAGTTATGTATAAAAAGTGCTACGATTAGAATATTGTGTTAGTGATGAACTGTTGTAATGGACTGGGTGAGAATGAAGACAGAAGAAACAACAAAAAGAAGAATTTTTGAAGACAACACCGAGATGTCACATGGAAGGAATGATTGATGCATTAAATGTTTGTTTGTCTAAAAAAAAAAAAAGACACATTAAATATTTTTGGTGAAGGGTGAGTTACCGAGTCTGTGAGGTGCCACTTAAAAAGTATTTAGGCTTCCCATGCAGGTCCTACCCATTGGCTGTGTTTACACAACATGCTAAACCATAAACCATGCTTTACACATTGACCAAACCACCAGTAATCACAGTGATTCAATATATTGGCCATTATATTCACATGCTTGGTTTGGTTGTGTCTGCATGTTTTAGAACTTCTGATGGTTCCTGAGAACATTAAGGAACATTCTCCCAGAAAGGAATGTGGCTTCAGGAATGGCAGCCCCATATCTCCAACTCTTGAAGTGTCCTAATTAATCATAGAATTGTAGAACTGTGAAATTGGAAGGATCTTCTAAAAGCATTGTATAGGACAGTGTTTCTCAACCTTTGTAGCTTGAAGATGGGTGGACTTCAACTCCCAGAATGGGAGCTGGCTGGGGGATTCTGGGAGTTGAAGTCCACCCATCTTCAAGCTTCCAAGATTGAGAAATACTGGTATAGGACAACCAGTTTAATGAGAGGTGGCCATCCAACCTCTTTTTAAAGCCTTCAGAGGTGGACAACCCATAGCCTCAGTTATCCCACTCTGCATTCCCTTGTTACATATATTTTACCGTGAGGAAATTTTTTCCTTCTAGGTAAGTGAAATTGTGGTAGCCGCAAATATACCAGCTACTTTCTGGTCCTTCTTCTTGTTGCAAATGGAAAATAGCGCCATCTTCTCTCTGAGACCTTTTAGCTACCTGAACACTGCTCTCATGTCTTCTCTCTTTCTTCTTTTCTCCAGGTAGAACATCCCAAGTCTAAACTCTGAGTAAGCAGTGATCTTGGGGAGGTGAGGGGGTGGGGGAAGCAGGAGACAATCGGTCGCATGGACTCCACATCACCATCAACTCCATGTACACCTTTCTTGTGTCACGTTAATTTTCAGGTTATTTCCAAGTATGGAAGAGACAAAGAATAATCCCGCAAAGCTGAGTAGAACGAAACAGCCAGTGAAAACAGAATGGGGAGCCCATTACATGGTATTGACCTACTTCCAAGGAGACACTAATAGCATGGTGGATGAACATTTCTCCAGAGCTTTGAGCGTCACCAAAAACCCACAGGACCTGAGTAGAGACAACGGTGTCAAAGATGGCCTGATTAACAACGGTGAGCTTGTCACCCATGCCTTGTTCTCCTTATTTCGTAGATAGCAACTCATTCGACAAAGACTCCTTATTGACAATAGATTTCCTCATCGTATTATTGTATTGATGTTTAACAAAACCGGTCGGCCGCTTGAGGGACAGGGATTTAATCTGAGCGGTGACTAAGAGGGTTTTAAAATTCTTCTAGGTCTCACAATCTTTAATACACTATGTGCCTGGGAAACGGAGGTCAAGAAATTTGAAAAAACATTCCTCAAACTAGCCCGGGTTATTTTGCTATCTGTGGTAAAGATGAAGTTGGCACTCATTCCTTATACAGAAGACTCTTTCTTCAACACTACCCTTGTTGTAGGTTTCTCTACCAACCCTGAAAGCCATAGAAACATAGAAAACTGAGGGAGAAAAAGACCTTGTTGTTGTGGCCGGCCAGCAGATCAGGCAGCAGATTTGGACAGTGAGGAGGTTGGGGAGGAACATGGGCCAGTCCTGGAGTCGGGGGAATTCCTTGACCTTGGGCCAGTCCCTCTCTCTCAACCCAACCCACCTCACAAGATTGTTGTTGTGGGGAAATTAAGAGTAGGAAGATATATTTGGATATGTTTGCCCCTTTGAGTTATTTGTAAAAGTAATAAAGGTGGGATATCAATAAAAAAATTAAAATGTACCTATTGTTGGAAAAATGTGGTACACCTCACCTTGGAACTTAAATGCATTTTTTTTTCAACAGAAAACCACCAACCTTCCCATGGGTGGGGTCTTCCATCCCATTGGACCAAGCCCTATGATGCCTCTTCCCCTTTGAACCTGTGCGCTTCGGATGAAAACTCAATTGTTCCCTCCATGGATGTCTACCAGCCTTCCATTCTCCAGGGAGCTTCTCCAGCGACCGCTGAGCTTTGGCCTTCGTCTTCCGGGGGTGATCCGCGTTTGACCCCAGTTTCGAGGTACCCAACCTCTGATCTGCATATGGCACAAGACGGCATGTCGGATGAGAAGTACGATTCTCTGCTGGGCCTCCTGGAGCAGGAGAGATGTTCTCGGCCCGTCCAAGAGCTGTTTGATTCCCGGTCAGCTTGTCTTACTGGTTCGGCTGGGTTGCAAAATATGAGCCAGAGGTAAGTCCGTCCAGGTTGATGTAATCCTTTAATCAGTGATGAAATCTGAACTGGTTTACTACTGGTTCACTGGCTGTGCATGCGTGCCAAGCATGGGCTATGCGTGTGTATGCACAGTACACACCAAACACACGCTGCACATGTGCATACACAGTACATGCCACAAAGTAGCTTCAGAAGTTAAGTAGAACAGCTAGGGGGGAAATTGGGTACCCGTTCATGTCAAATGTAAATAAAACAATTAGAATAATATAATACATTATAATGGTATATATATATATATATGATATATTAGAAATATATGTATAAAAGATATATTAAGATAAGAGAGAGAAAATGTATAAGTACCGCCGCGAAACTGTTGAAAAGAAGAAAGGGTTAATATCTCTTTTTGTTTTTGTTTTTTAAAAAAACTGTTTAATAAAAATATTTTTTTTAAAAAAAAGAACAGCTAGGTGGGGAATCAGCTATGGCGCGCAAGCTTGGGAACCTTTTAAAAAACTTTTTAAAAGCATTTTTTTACTTTTATATTATAGATAATGATTTATCTAGCTAATTATGTCTGGTTTAAAAGGGTATGTCTAGTTTGATGAAGAGAAGGACTAGGGGAGACATGATAGCAGGATTCCAATATCTAAGGGGCTGCCACTTGCAGAAGAAGGGGTCAACTTAGTATCCAAAGCACCAGAAGGCAGGACAAGAAGCAACGGGTGGAAACTAATCAAGGAGAGAAGCAACCTAGAACTAAGGAGAAATTTCCTGACAGTGAGAACAATTAATCAGTGGAACAACGTGCCTCTAGAAGCTGTGAATGCTCCAACACTGGGAAGTTTTTAAGAAGATGTTGGATACCCATTTGTCTGAAGTGGTGTAGGGTTTCCTGCCTAAGCAGGGGGTTGGACTAGAAGACCTCCAAGGTCCCTTCCAACTCTGTTACTCTATTCTATTCTATTCTATTCTATTCTATTCTATTCTATTCTATTCTAATTGATTGACAAAGCATTTGGACTCTTATTATTAGATGAAAGCCAGCTGGGTGACTGTGGACCGGTCCCTCTCTCTCAGCCCAGCCTGCCTGACAGGTTGTTGTTGTCGTGGGGAAAATAGGAGGGGGAACATCTGTTGGATATGTTTGCTGCCTTGAGTGATTTCTAAAAATGCTAAAGGCGGGATGCAAATAAATAAGTAAATAAATTAATAACCATTCCATTCCTGTTATACTTGAATATTATCCCCTAACTGTCAAATCTCTTGTGTTTTCTAGGTATCCCTGCTAATGGCCAGTTTGCACTTTTAAAACAAATGGACCCATTTGCTTATTATTTTAAGACTTTCTGAGGACTTCACAGAGCTGTCATTAAGAAAAGCAGTCAAACAGTGGTGAACCGCCATTTTCTCTCACCAGATTTTTTTCCCATGTGCTTTTCAATTTTTGGAATGGGTAGAAGGAGATGCTCTCACATCTGTCTTCACTTTTGCCCAGTTGTGGGTTTCACTTACCTTCACTACCAGTTCGGAACTGTGAGCGTGTGTGCACTTGCTTACGCAGAGCGTCCGTGATGACGTCTGGGCGGGTGAGTGGAGCCTCCCACCACCGCTGCCGCTACCAATTCGCCCGAACCGGTAGAAGTCCACCATTGCTTTTGCCCAACAGCGTGCAGAAATCCAGTCTCATGGAAACCTCCCCGTCTCTAGCTTTCAAATCCAGCTGAAAACGGTCACCTCCGACTTCCTGGGTTCTCCTCATCTTGGAGGTCTTCAGACAGGACCTTCAGCCACTCCTTAGCCCTACAAATGTTCCATCCAGGGTCGCCGGTTGCTTGTTTCCGAATCGAATCTCAGTTTAGAAACAATATAAAATATAGTTTGCGCCGGGCTGGCAATTTTGCCACACGATGGCAGCAGATCTCAGAACGTGGCCACATGCTAGGCTGAAGATCTCACCCTCAACCAGGCCCTGGCGTGGAAAGGTCCATGCTCCAGATGCTAAACAAAGGGCCTTCTTTAGAACTGACCTAAAATTTTGCCATTGGGAAGCTGAACTCAATGAGTGAGAAACATCCTAATGACCAGAAGAGAAACTTATGGCTTTCTTCTGTCCATATCATTGTATTTGACACACACACACAGTTGTGTGGATTCTGCTCTCGGCAACCAAAACCCAACGTGTGTTCCTCATATCAAGAACATCTCCCTCTCTTCACAAGAGCAGTTGCCGTTAGAGGAGGAAGCCTACGATGTGTCCATTGAGGCCAATCTTGTCAATACTGGTCCACCACGGCCTCTCAAGAGAAGTTTTCCCGTTACTCACCAGGTGACGGCTTTGATGGCTGGGTGGGTTGGGTGGTGGAAACCTAGCCTTATTTGGATCGTTTTTCAGTCTGGAAACATGCCGTGTGAACCTGGAGAAGGAGTTACCAATTAAAGCTGATGCATTTCCTGAGGAGCACTTGTATACAAATTTAATAAAATGAAAATGAAATGAAAATGTGTGGCTTTTCTTCAGAAACGTACAAACGTGGGGGGGGGGCTTCTAAGCATGATGCCCAACGCCAGAGCACCTGGATAGGGGTGTCCACCCACCTGTTAAGAAAAGCAGAATTGTGTCTCCACTGCTGTGGCCATCCTCTCGATCTGGGGCCAGAGTCAGACCCTGTGGATTCTCTGCTGATGGAAAGATTGCTCTCCTTAAGTAGGTTAGCAAGCACCAAACAACGCCAGCTTCTGATGACTACCCGGTGGAGGCAGTTTGAGATGTCTTGGTGTCAGTAAAGGGCCCTAAAATGAGAAGGCCCTGCTCAAATTGAGTTCCCCGAGATTAGAAAGCGTGGTGGGGGTCCTTGGTGCTCTCTGAGCTTGCATTTTTTATATTGCACTAAATCAGGGATCCTCAAACTACGGTCCCTGGTCTGGATACGTCCCGCCAAAGCAATTAATCCCACTCGCTGACGGGATGGGGTCCTTCAGGCACTTAGCTTGGCTGCCTGTTTAGTAGCTCCAGCCCAGTGATGGGATTCAAATAATTTAACAACCGGTTCTCTGCCCTAATGATTTCTTCCAACAACCAGTTTGCCAAACTGCTCAGAAAGTTAACAACCGGTTCTCCCGAAGTGGTGCGAACCGGCTGAATCCCACCTCTGCTCCAGCCCCTCCCTCCCTCCCTGGGAGTCCAGGTGCTTCAGTGCACAAAACTTCAGATGGGCTCCTCAAGAGACAGAGTTTGCAGCGTGGGGGGCTACAACACAAATATTCATTCTTGGCTGTATTTGAGATTCCTAGCTACAATGGATAGCAAAGCTAGGGTTGATCCCGGGCGCTTCTCTCTGCTAACAGGTGGCCAAACTAAGTGCCTGAAGGACCCCATCCCATCACTAATTCATGTTAGTGGTCTGCGGGATTTAAAATTATGAATTTAGTGGTCCCTGAGGTCTGACTAGATAACCATTTGTCTGGAATGGTATAGGGCCGTGATGATGAACCTATGGCACGCGTGCCACAGGTGGTACACATAGCTATATCGGTGGGCATGTGAGCTCAGATTTCAGGCCTTCTGGGCCCACCAGAAGTAGGGAAACAGGGTGTCTCCTGCCTCTGGAGGACCTCGTGTGTGGGGGGGGAAGGCCTGTTTTTCTCTCTCCCCAGGCTCCAGAGCCTTTCTAGGAGTCTGGGGAGGGTGAAAATAGTCTTCCCCACCCCCCCAGAGGTTCTCTGGAGGCTAAAAACGGCCCGTTTGCCAACTTCTGGTCCAACCTAGAAAGGCCCTGGAGCCTGGGGAGAGAGAAAAACGGGCTCACCGGGCCATCATGTGCCAGGAACTGTGTGTGTGTGTTTGTGTGTCACGTGGGGGCAGGGTGCATAGAATTATAGGTGTGGGCACACGTGTGCACCCCCTCCCCGCGCTCCGCCCTCCCCACGCTCTGGCACACAATGTCAAAAAAGTTAGCCATCACTGGTATAGAGTTCCCTGCCTGAGCAGGGAGTTGGACTAGAAGAATTCCTAGGTCCCTTCTAACTCTGTTATTCTGTTATTAATAAAATTAGGCCCCTCAGTTCAAAAAAGCAATACAGAACTAAATTATGGAGTCTCTGGACTGGCATTATTTTCCTCTACAAAAGTTATCTCAGCGATGGTAGGTCTAAATCTAAAACAAGGAAGGTTTCTTTTCAATAAACGATACAGCCTTGATGGAAAGATTTTTTGGCCACCCGGAAACAACAAAATTATATCATCAGCACTTCACCAGGTACCTTCTGAGTTTGTTGCAATGGAATTGTTGCAACGGAAGGATGAGATGTCAGAAATCTGTGTGTGTCAGAACATGGTCGACAGCTTTGATAAACGGACTAAAAAAAAAAAGTCATGGAAATAGAGACTGTGGCAGCCGTGTGTCTTGGAAAGCTTATTTGGAATGGAAAAGTTGATTTGGCACGATGGTAATGAAATGACATCCTAATGAAATAACCGCCTTTGGAAGTATCGATGGGTAGCAATGGGAGTTTTCCAAAACACGAGGCCAAAAATGTCTATGGAGATTTTTCCGTCATCTAAGGTCATCTAGTTGTCTCAAAGGTGCTTTTTCCAAAAGGCAACTGTTTTTTTTCTTGAGGAAGAAACTTCTTCTTACGAAAGAATTTTTTTCTTGAGAAAAGAAACATTTTCTTCTTCCTCAAGAAAAAAATAGCTCCGTTGAAATGAGGGCAAAAGAAACTCATTCCCAGATGCTCTCACGACAGGACGGTCCTCTAATTAATATAATTCTGCAGGAAGAAACTACTGTGTTTCCCCGAAAATAAGACACTGTCTTATTTTTTTTTTTGAACTCCGAAATAAGCGCTTGGCGTTATTTTGGGGGAGGTCTTATTATTTTGGGGTGCATGGAGCAAGATGGGGCTCCTCTTGCCATCTTACCTGATTTCCAGCTCTGCATTTAAATATTTTTGGGGAGGGCTTATATTCAGGGGGAGGCTTATTTTAGCACACGCACTCAAAAACCCAATTGGGCTTATTATCAGGGGATGTCTTATTTTCAGGGAAACAGGGTATAAAAAATAAAAATTGCAGAGAAAAAGGAGAAAATAGGAGGGGGAAATGAATGAATGAATGAATCAATCAATCAATCAATCAATCAATCCATGATTGATTGATTGATTCTGCCAATGATCAGAAAAGACAACAAAACAGTGTGAAACAAATAAATACAATAATATACTAACAAGTAATAGAACATATTACATGTTTTAAACATATTACATATTTTAAATTTTGGGCCAAAGTCATGTAATTCTTTTAAAAATTTTAAATTTTGTATTGGTATGTGTTTTAGTTCTGGCTGTGCACCGCCCTGAGTCCACTAGGAGAAGGACGGTATACAAATTGAATAAAATAAATAAATAAATAAACAAACATATAACCTTCACTCCTTTGTTATTGCATTAACACAGTTGTTACCCAGGTGATAAATCTAAGACATTAGTAGGCATGTTAAAAAAGTGTATATATCTCCTACAAGCTATTAGTTAAGATATATCAAACCGAAAGTAATATTTAAAACAAGTGTAAATATGTCCTTAACCAATTAAATCTTGCTTTCATCACAGCAACTAAAAGATTAAGGTGTATTGGGTATGTGCACCACCTTATTTATAATAATAACAGAGGCAGGAAATGCATAAATAAAATACAAACTCGCCTTCCCTATTTAGGTCATCAGATCTTTAAAGTGTTAATGCAAGATTCAGGTTTTACCATCCTTCAGCCTTAAACCAACCAACAACTAAATACAATGCGAAAAAAATAGTCTGTATTATCAAAATGGTTCCCTTGCATGATATAATTATGAGATTTGTGCTTTGAACCAGGGGTGAGTGGCTGCCGGGAGTTCGCAGGGGTTCGGGAAAACCTCTAGCTTCTGTGCAGTTCGGAGAATCTCCAAATCCCACTCCTGGCTGGCCCTGCCCACCCACCCCTCCCCTCCCAGGAGTCCCCACGTGGCCCATTTTGGAGACAAGTAAGTGTAGGGCACACACCGAGGCTCGGGGAGGGTGAAAACCGGGCCTGCTGGAAGTTCGGGAAGGCCAGAAACGGGGCCGTTTCCGGCCTCCGGAGGGCCTCTGGAGCTGGGGGAGGCCATTTTTGCTCTCCCGGAGGCTCGAGGAAAGCCCCCGGAGCCTGGGGAGGGCAACACCCCCCCCCACTGTGGTGTCAAGCTTGAGATGCTATCTCAAGCCCACGCCCACCATGGCCACGCCCACCCTACAATCGGGCAGAGAACCCCTTACTAAAATTTTTGAAGCCCACCCCTGCTTTGAATGTTGTAGATTTTCCTGTGCGAAGGAATGTTATCTTTATATTTGCCAGTGTTTTGATAACATTTTGCCTGTTTTTTAAATAAAATGTTCCCTGCCCCTTTCAGATACTAGAATTCGAAGTTCTTTGATAGAAAGCGATCCTTTCACTTCTATGTCCACCTTGAGAGCTTTTCATGGTCATTCTTTTTTTGAGGATGAATATTGTCTGCAATTATTTCTGGTTTAAACCATAATCAAAATCACGACAGAATTATCAGAGGGGGAAGTTAATCGGATGCTTTAAAACTCCCAAATGGCCAATATGACTCCCAAGTGTTGATGGGCACGCTTCTGTTCTTGTTATTATTAACAGATATCAACAGATTAACAGAGTTGGAAGGGACCTTGTAGGTCATCTAGTCCAACCCCCACCCACCCAAGCAGGAGACCCTACACCATTTTTGACAATTGGCAGTCCAATCTCTTCTTGAAAGTCTCAAGTGATGAAGCTCCCATAATTTCCGAAGGCAACTTCTGTTCCATGGGTTGATTGTTCTCACTGTCAGACAATTTCTCCTTATTTCCAGGTTGAATCTCTCCTTGATCAATTTCCATCCATTATTCCTTGTCTGGCTTTTGGAGAATAGCTTGACCCCCCACTCCTCTCTGTGGCAGCCCCTCAAATATTGGAAGACTGCTATCTTGTCTCCCCTGGTCCTTCTCTTCACTAGACTAGCCATGCCCAGTTCCTGCAACCATTCTTCATATGTTTTAGTCCCCAGTCCCTTAATCATCCTGGTTGCTCTTCTCTGCACTCTTTCTACAGTCTCCACATCTTTTTTTACAGTGTGATGACCAAAACTGGATGCAGTACTCTAGGTTTGGTCTTACTAAGGCTTTACAGAGTGGTATTAGTACCTCCCTTGATTATATCCCTCTGTTAATGCAATTTAGGATTGCATTGGCTTTTTTGGCTGCCGCCGCACACTGCTAACTCATATTTAACTTGTTGTCCATGACATTATTTGTAGTCCTGTGACTTAAAAATAGAACATATTCAATTTTTTTTTTCATATAATGAATGTTGACGGCATTGAGGAACAATCTGAAGCTTCAGGTAAGGGTCACTGAGCTGAAGATTTTGAGGAGCCCTCTTCTAGAAAAAGATGAGACCTCTGGTTTTGGATTTAAATCAGATTTTTTAAAAAATGTTCTTTTAATGGTCTCTATATTGTGATTTTGTTCTCCCCCCTCTCTTTGAAGAAGGGAAGAGGAGGAGAAGGAAAGAAGACACTGTGAAAAAGAGAGTAAAGAATTCATCGCAGGGGACTCCAGGAGTGGTTTTCTGACAGAACCTCCAGAAATGGGGTTCAAATGATGATTTTGTTTCATTGTTGTTATGGAAGAGGAAGGTTAATCCACACACACACACACACACACAAACAAACACGTCCACTCAGCGTGTGAGATGCAGTTTGTTCCTCAGGAAGTTGTGGGCTGGCACACACAGCGCAGAGCAAGACCCAAATTTCATGGTAGTTGCACGAGAACTTCGGGAGGTAGAGATACAGCACATGGAGGAACCAAGGCAGCCCTATTCTCCATCAAATATGCCACCGGCTGAACCAGTGTCCAGGGTCACCATGAAGACCTTCCTGAGTGTGATCACTATCTTCGTTATTGCTCACCTTGTAGGCACCGTCCTCTATATTTTGCACCTTCACAACAAGTTAGACAAGGTAAGCCCGGTTTCTTTATAAAGAAGATGTCAAGGTTTCCATGGGTGGCAAGACAACTACAGTGGACCACAGGTTGAATTCATGTCATATCAAATGCTTATTCTGCTCTCTAATGCGGTGGTTAGCATGTTGATTGGAGGGGGGGACCAAATGTCAGTTCCCATCTAGAAATGGAAGGATGTTTAATGATTTTAGACCAGTCTTTTCGGCTACACCTCAATCTCTTGAGGGAACACACTGGAAGAAAGTGTCCTGTGTCTGTTGTCTTAGCTCCTGGAGGAAAGATAGGTGTATCTCTAACAGATGGATGGATGGATGGATGGATGGATGGATGGATGGATTGGTCACTCTTGATTATTCCGATTCCATTGAATGGAAGGAAGGGAAATTGCTTTCAAAGAAGTTTCAAAGGAGAACATTTGAGGGTTGTGCTGTGGGGTTCTTAACTTTAAGGAAGGTGTACCTGAGTGGGCTGCCTTTCATCCTTTCTCCGTCCATCTCCAGCATCCCTGGTTTCCCACATATCCATTCATTCCTAAGGGAAGACTTTGGGAGTTTGTTCCTCCCAGAGACTTTGTTCATTCAAGAAATGATGGCCAGCCAGGGAGGCTTCACAAGGATGGGAAGAGACGGAGTTGGAAATCGCTTCACCCTCATCTGCAGTCTCTCTCTCTCTCTTTTTTTTTCCTTCTTTCCTTCTTTCTTTCTTTTCTTCCTTCTTCCTTCCTTCTTTCTTTCTCTTTCTTCTTTTTTCTTTCCTTCCTTCCTTCTTTCTTTTCTTTTCTTCTCTCTCTCTTTCTTTCCTTCCTTCCTTCTTTCTTTTCTTCCTTCTCTCTTGTTCCTTCTTTCCTTCTTTTTTCCTTTTCTTCCTTCTCTCTCTCTTTCCTTCTTCCTTCTCTCTTTCTTTCTTTCTTTCTTTCTTTCTTTCTTTCTTTCTTTCTTTCTTTCTTTCTTTCTTTCTTTCTTTCTGAGGGAGGGCAGAGAAGTTGCAGAGTAATGGAAACATAGTTGATAGGAACAAACAATCATAGCCACATCCTCTGCAATCTTAGACAGCCAAGGAAAAAATGTCTTTCAAAGGCGGTCAAAAAATACGCTGAGAATCGAGCAACAAAATATAACCACGCAATTTGGTGGGAAGCTGGACGTGGGAAGAGTTTTAGGTGGATGAACTTTAATCCATCACAAAGGCAGCTGATTATTACTCTGATATATGTCCTTCCCTGCCTACAGGAGCCTTCTGGAAAGGACACCGGGGATTGGCGTTCCAACCTGTGCAATAGGCCCCTTTCCCATTGATCAACCTTTCCATTTTTGTTTCCATCAATCATTTGTAGGCTATGTAAAAACATAGCTAAAGGAAGCAAACGACATTTGGACCAGAAATGCCGTCTTCTTCCTCAAAACAAACAAACAAACAAACAAACAAACAAACAAACAAACAAAAACAGCCTGGTTGCCTTTTGCTAAAAAGCACCTAGGAGACATTCAAACTAACATCCGCCATTGTAACAATGCAAATTCCCAATTCACATTGGGAAAACTTTTGAATTCAATCCTAAAGTCTGGGAGATACCTTCTCTCTCTCTCTCTCTCTCTCTCTTCTTTCTTTCTTTCTTTCTTTCTTTCTTTCTTTCTTTCTTTCTTTCTTTCTTTCTTTCTTTCTTCTTCCTTCCTCCTTCCTTCCTTCCTCCCTCCCTCTCTCCCTCTCTCCCTCCTTCCTTCCTTCCTTTCTGTGATGCTAACATGCAGATCTCTGTTTAACAGCGTCGATGAGTCCTTGATTCTTCCTTAGTTGTGTGATGAGACAGGACACACAGCTAAGGGTCAACTGAATTTTCTCAATTTAGCCAATAGACTTAAAATATTTGATAAACTGAGTCTTTCTTTTTTCCCCCAAAGAAAGTAAAGTTTATCCAAGGCAATGCAACTGGAAACAAAGGAACAAGGGCTGAACAACTGCATCTCTGCCATCTGTCAGAAATGGGGTAGGGTCTCCTGCTTGGGTGGGGGGTTGGACTAGACGACCTACAAGGTCCCTTCCAACTCTGTGAATCTGTTGTTATCATTTTTCCAACATAGGTGGGTTACAAAGGGAAGTTTAGCCACTCAACGGGTTTTGATTTGCTAGCTAAATCCATGCCACTCTCCGCGGGGAAAAGCAACAGCCAATCTTCCCCAAGAGCTGCCTTTTGTTCGTCCTTCACATTTTGTGTGGTGCACATTAGGCCGCGTTTCATGGAATCTTAGAGTTGGAAGGCACCTAAGAGGTCAGCAAGACCAACCCTCTGCACACTGCACGTTTTAAGCAAGGCATTCTGCAAAGCTGGTTCAGGGCTCCATCTGGCCAAGCTGGAGCAGCTTCGGGAAAAAAAGAAACTGATTTGAACATGGTTTTTGGCCAATCTTTTGGCCCTGTGGCTGGGAATGATGGGAATGAAATCCCACAGCTCTATCCCCAGGTTTAGGATGGGTGGTAGACCCCTTATGCTGTTTTTTGGTCTTTTCACTGTGTGTTGATGTTTATCTTTTGAAGTTATCTTCTGTTCTTTTTATCATGTTTTTATGGCGGTATGCTGCAAGGTTTCTGGAGTTGTAACTCTTCCAGGATAATCAATCAATCAATCAATCAATCAATCAATCAATTTACCTATCTTTATATCTTTATTTAGGAAGGGCTGCCTTAAATGTTGAATTTGTTTGCACAGTGTTTACAATTTCCATTTTATTAATATTTACATCTTTCGCTATTGCTGTGTTCTGGGTCCAAAACAGAATGAAATCTAGAACTATTGGCAGGCAGTGATTTTTCCAAAGCACAGCCATAATAGTTACTTTTTGTGTATTTGTTTTATCTGTTTAATCCTGAATAAAAATACTGGAAAATAATAATAAGCTCACTTGAGCACCATATCAGCATTGACAAAATCACCATCGGTCAATTGCAAAACTGCAGCTTTACTTGGCATTGACAAAATCCCCATTAGTCAATTGCAAAAGGCAGCTTGACTCAGAACAGCTTCCATCCTGCTATCCAACATCTATCAAGCAACATCTTTCTATCCCAGGGAAGGACTCGAGAGGTGGACAAAAATATCAGCTCCAGTTTAAATATCTGTCTGACTATGCAGCCAACAATTAAATGTATATATATCGCCCAGGGACCCTGGGCAACTTACTAATATTTTAAAAACAAGAAAATCAAACCGGGACCTAAATAAAATAAGTAGGGTAAAGATGACTGGATGACAAATTGGGTGGGAACATGGAAAAACAATCAAGATTCAGAAGTGGTGTCAGTCATCCTGGCCTCAACTGTTTTAGGGCAACATCAATGCTTCAGAAAAGGATACGCTACTCGGTTGAGTCATTGTCCTTCCGGCCAACCTACTTAACAAACCTTGATAGAGGGGGTTGGGTTCTTATGCTGTCCTAATTGTTTGGGGGGTGGAACTGGGGTAGGATGAGTGTTTGTTGACTTCAGTAATTCTCCCCCCCCCTTGTTTCTGAGAATTGGCCCTCTTGCAACACCAAGCAACTATTTCCTCCATAGCTTTGCAAGTTAGTTGTGTACTCAGAATTGAGTTGGTGTCATCCTGTTAGTCTGGATCCAGTTTGAACCTTATTTAGAAGGGAAGGATGGAGTTGGCCACGCCTCGCATTGATCATGAGCAAATCTGGATTCCACCCTCATGTTCAGCTAGGAGAACCAGGAGAAGGCAATTTGATTGTGACTGTGGCTGGTTCACCGGAACAAGTGCCATTTCTGTGTCATCTTCCTGATTTTGACCCTACAGCTGCAATCCAGCCTTAGTTTTGACATCGTGTGGGAATCTAAGATAATATGATTTCATCATCTTCCACTGTGATATATCTATGTGTGATAGATAGGGCGAAGTCTTCCACTTGACGAAGTGTTCCACTTGACTTGTTGAGCCGATGCAACGTTGCATCCACAATTCTCACATGTGATGCTTTCCCCTGATAGATGAGCAATGAGCTGACGTTACACGAAGATTACGTGTTCCTGAAGCGAGTGCAGAGCTGTCGGAAACCGCAGGGGGAGGAGATCTCCTTTCTAGATTGCACGAAGATTTCAGACAGCTTCCGAGAACTGATGGATTCTTTCCAAAAGGTGATCGAATTTTGTCTGTGCCCGGGTTTGACCTAAAAGCATCCTTGAGTTGTTTGCTCGGTCCCAAGCTTTGAAGGTGAACGGACAACCCTTTGTCTGAAATAGTATAGGGCAGGGGTGGGTTCTACTTACCTTTACTACCAGTTTGCAACGGGAGCACTTGCGTGTGCTTCTGTGCATGCACAGAAGCTTCTATTTGCATGTGCAAATAGTCAATTATGATGTCTGGGCGGGTGGGCGGAGCCTCCTGCTTTTACTACCGGTTCTAAAGAACCGGACAGAACCAGGAGCAACCCACCACTGGTCTCCTGCTTGAGCAAGGGGTTGGACTAGAAGACCTCCAAGGTCCCTTTCAACTCTGTTATTCTGTTATCACCGAAGAGAGGTCCAGCCTAGAACTAAGGAAAAATTTCTTGACAGTGAGAATCAGTGGTGGGGCTGCTGGGAGTTCGTAGGGGTTCGGCAGAACCTCTAGCTAAGATTCTGTGCAGTTCGGAAAACCCCCAAATCCCACTCCTGGCTGGCCCCACCCACCCTGCCCCGCCCCTCCCAGGAGTCCCCACGTGGCCCGTTTTGGATGCAGGTAAGTGCAGGGCACGCACGGAGGCTTGGGGAGGGTGAAAAACGGGCCTACCGGAAGTTCGGAAAGGCTGGAAACAGGCCTGTTTCTGGCCTTCAGAGGGCCTCCGGAGCCTGGGGAGGCCATTTTGTCCTTGAGACTTGAGGAAAGCCTTTGGAGCCTGGGGAGGGCAAAAACGCCCCACCTCATGGTGCAGGAAGCTGACTAGGCCACACCCACCATGGCCACGCCCACCCAGCAACGGGGCAGAGAACCCCTGGCTAAAATTTTTGAAGCCCACCCCTGGTGAGAACCATTAACCAGGGGGAAAGACCTGACTTCAGGAGTTGTAGGTGACTCCATCACTGAAGGTTTTTAAGAAGAGACTGGAGAGCCATTTGACTTGGATGGTATAGGAGAGGGTTGGTCTAGATGACCTCTAAGGTCCCTGCCGTTATTCTGTTAACCATTGGAAAAGGTGGGACTTGGTGTTTCGGCCCATCTAGAAACGTACCATTTTGGAAAAAGCTGGTTGTGTAAGCCAGATCTGGGGAGGAAGCAAAGGAGGTGGGGGGAGAGAAAAAGTTGATGCTTATGCTAAAAGAGGAGCGTGGAGAAACAAACAAACAAACAGAATTTTTTTAAAAAGCCACTTTTTTTTGGAGGCAAAGAAAGTGGCAAAGAGGCCGCCGAGTCTTCTTGGAAGTCGCATTTGCGTTTTCACACCCTATTTTTTATTCACGCCTGCAGATTCATTTTGAGACTGCAGTGAGATACGCAGGTTTTCCTGTCCCAGCAGTTTCATTATGCAAAAACCAAAGTCGTCCAAGAATAATCGATTAAGCCGCCGGAGCTGTCCCAGAGAATCTTTTTTTTTTTTTTAAAAAAGGAAAGGTCGTGGCCCCAAAGACCCAGGCAGGACAATAGGATGGATTAACTCACCTCCTCTGCTCCAGGTCCAGAAATGGTTCTTTATTTCGGATGAGGCTATAATTTTATTTCATACGGAACCGAGAGCATTGCTCCCTCTCTCTGTGGGACTGGAGGAAAGGTCTCCAAAATGCAAAGAAAAAAAGAAGGACTTTCATGATTTTAACCAGGGCTACTCTACCTTGACTTGAATAGGGACGCGGGGGCTCAGATGTTGAGCTTGTCGATCGAAAGGTCGGCAGTTCAGCGGTTCGAATCCCTAGTGCCGCATAACGGGGTGAGCTCCCGTGACTTGTCCCAGCTTCTGCCAACCTAGCAGTTCGAAAGCAGGTAAAAAATGCAAGTAGAAAAATAGGGACCACCTTTGATGGGAAGGGAACAGCGTTCTGTGCGCCTTTGGCGTTGAGTCATGCCGGCCACATGACCACGGAGACGTCTTCGGACAGCGCTGGCTCTTCGGCTTTGAAACGGAGATGAGCACCGCCCCCTAGAGTCTGGAACGACTAGCACATATGTGCGAGGGGAATCTTTACCTTTACTCTACCTTGAACCCTGCTTGTGATTCCTAAACGCAGCGTCATTGAAGGAGCACATAAATATATTAAATCGTTGCATTCAATGCGGCACCATATTGATCTGGAAAAAAAAAACCAAATCCACTTCATTGTTTGAGCTATTTAAAATCTTGCGCAGTCTTCCCTTCCTTTCCCTTTTTACCTTCTGATGGTAAAGCCAAATTCAACGGAGGTTTAGGAGAGATTGAATGACCTGGGGAAACTTCTCAATAAATATTGTGGGATTTTTTTTTTCTTTTAGTGTGTGAGTTTTTAATCCTTGCCTCTCAACCAGAGTGGCTTGTGCGAGATGGACAGCTCTCTAAATCGTATAAATAAAACCGTTTCTTTTTCTTCTACAGGTTCCAGATCAAATTCTGCCAGCTATGCAAACAAGTAAGTTTCTGCAACTTTGAAAAAGCTTCTCTCTCTCTCTCTCTCTTTCTCTCTCCATCTCTCCCTCTCTCTTTTTCTTTTTCTCTCCCTCCCTCCCTCTCTTTTTCTTCTTTCTTTCTTTCTTCCTTCCTTCCTTCCTTCCTTTCTCTCTTTCTCTTTCTCTCTCTCTCTCCCTCCCTCCCCTTCCCTCTCCCTCTCCCTCTCTCTCCTCTCTCCCATTCACTGTCTCCCCCCCCACAACCTCTCTCTCTCACACACATAATAGGTTCAAGGCAAAAAAAAGTTTTTAAAAGGCTATGAAATAATAATACTAGCACCAGAGAATTGGTTATGAGTACTATTACATTACTGGCAGCATCTTGACCCTAAAACAATGGAGAACATTTCTGCAAATACTGGGAACTGCCTAGCTGCACAAACTTCACTTGGAGATTAGGTCATTTGGACCGTGCTGTGCCACATTTCTGAATTTTTCAGCCCTTCTTTTTGGTGTTTCTAGAGCCTTTTTCCTTTCCGGACCATCAATGAAGGGTTAACCGAGCGAGGAACCTTATTCTAGGCAATAAATTGAAAATTAAGTGTTGGGTAGCACCTTTTCCAGCTCACAAATTTTATTAAAAGGGAGAAGCTTTTTCATAAATTGTGAATTAAAACTCGGATAGCATGATATCTGGCTAACACGTTTTTATCAAAAGCTTTCAATGACCGCTGTTATTTTTTTTTAATTGCAGGTAAGCCAAAGCGAGGTGCAAGCATTCACTTGGCAGGTGTGAGCAGCCGGAGCAAAAGTGAGAATTGACATTTATTTTCTGGTTATTTGTAATTGGAGAAAGAGTTGCTATCGAGTCAGATAAGAGCGGGTTGAGCCCAGGCCAAGAGAGAGTAACTTGAAAAAACAGCTCAGACCACGGGTGAAATCCAACAGGTTCTGACAGGTTCTGGAGAACCAGGAGCGGAAATTTTGAGTAGTTCGGAAAACCAGCAAATGCCACCTCTGGCTGGCCCCAGAGTGGGGTGGGAATGGAGATTTTGCAGTATCCTTCCCCCAGGAGTGGGGAGGGAATGGGGATTTTGCAGTATCCTTTCCCTGGAGTGGGGAGGGAATGGAGATTTTGAAGTATCCTTCCCCTGCCATGCCCACCAAGCCACACTACGCCCACCAAGCCACGCCCACAGAACCGCTAGTAAAAAAATTTGGATTTCACCACTGGCTCAGACAGCACTCTCTCTACTGCGTTTCCCCGAAAATAAGACCCTGTCTTATATTTTTTTGAACCCCAAAATAAGTGCTTGGCCTTATTTTCGGGGGTGTCCTATTATTTGGGGGTGTGTGGAACAAGACGGGCCTCCTCTTGCCGCCTTACCTGATTTCCAGCTCTGTCTCCCTAACCCTAACCAGAGGAAATGGTGGGGACCAGCTGCGCGTGCATTTAAATATTTTCGGGGAGGGCTTATTTTTGGGGAGGGCTTATTTTCAAGTGGGGGGCTTATTTTAGTGCATGCGCTCAGAAGCCCGATTGGTCTTATTATCAGGGGAGGTCTTATTTTAGGGGAAACAGGGTAGTACACAAATGAACTTGGGTGGGGAGGAAGCACATTCAGACTTGCAAAATCCTATTATGATTATTAATTATTATTATTAATTTGATTTATATGCCGCCTTTCTCCGGAGACTCAGGGCGGCTTACAATGTGCTCAGCAATAGCCTTCATCCTTTTTGTATATTTATACAAAGTCAGCTTATTGCCCCCACAAACTGGGTCCTCATTTCACCTACCTTAGAAAGGATGGAAGGCTGAGTCAACCTTGAGCCTTGGCGAGATTCGAACCCTGCAGTAATTGCAGGCAGCTGGTCTTAATAATCAGCTTAATAACAGGGTGCCTTAAACCCCTGTACTACCAAGGCTCTTTATGAGAGCAGAGTGTCAGGATTCCAAGTAATCCATCCATTGCAAATGGAACTCCGACGCAGGTTGATTCCTCAAAGAACAGTTTTATTTGGAGATACCATTTTGGCACAGACCGGTGGAAAACCAACACTGAGAGTTCCCAAATTTTCCACCTCATTAAAAAGTGAAAGTTTCCTGTTCTCTCAAACAATAAATCACATTCTCCAATCTGAGTGCTGGCTGGTTGCCTGGTTACTTTTCTCTTCCTCCTCCTCTGGCCAGCCAGCAGTTGGAATGTCCTTCGCTCATAAGAAAACTATTTTGTTTTGGCTACAAAACCCCAGTTATCTCTACAACCCCCTCAGCTTCAGGCTGCGTCAAGCTTGATGCCATGTGAAGAAAAATCCTTGTAGAAAAAGCTACAGAAAAGAAAGCGGCCACAGCCAGGTCAGCTTCAGGGTTGACAGGCTGCCCCCCCTCCTCAGTTGAAGAAACCCTCAAAAAAGCTTTTCAAACTAGACAACTTTACGATGCGTGGACTTCAACTCCCAGAATTCCCAAGCCTAATGTATTTGTAGCTTACCCAAAAATAAAAATGGGCTCCGAGGGCATTGGTTTCTTAATCTGGTCTACCTTATGTGAAGTTTCCGAAAGATGCCCTAATTAATTCATGAGCCTCGAGCCAAGTTTCAAAAGAAATCCAGTCATTTATTAGGAGCAACATTCTGGCAATTACTCAAATGGAGTCAGCTCTGACCCCTACGTAATTTACAGGGCCCCATGACCCTGTCTCCCCCCTCCTCCCTGGGCATGTCATAAATCCGGTTCAGTCTGGTTCTATAGAACCGGTAGTAAAACCAACGGGAGGCTCCGCTCACCCGCCATGGCGTCATCACGGATGATCTGCGCATGCTCCCATTGCGAACCGGTAGTAAAGGTAAGTAGAACCCACCCCTGCATAAATCACATTCTCCAATGGACTATGTTGGCGGGCTGTAAAAACCTTACCACTCTGGTAACCTAGGATACAATCTGGAGAAAGGCATGTGTGGAATGTAGTTTCAGCTGGGACAGTCAAGTAGCTCCGTCAGTTCGCCCCACCTCCTGCTTATGGCAACTTGGAAGCTGGGCTGGAAAGCTTTGTAAGTTGACACTGGCATGGAGTAAATGAAACCTATCATCTTCCTCCTTACAGTTCTACACTGGAAGAATACAACCTACGCCCCGAGGGATGATGCATTCTCCAACCGGGATGGAAAAATCACAATTAGCAAAGACGGGAGCTATTACATTTACGCCCAAGTCACCTTCTGCAGCAAGTCAGAGCTGCGTGCCCCGTTCAACGTCCTCGTCTATCTCAACCTGCCGTCGGAGACAGATCAACTGCTACTGAAGGGGGTGGGGACTTACGGCACTTCAGTGGACCTGTGTGGCTTGCAGTCCATCCAGGTGAGCAGGGTTGTGGAGCTCAAGTCCGGCCACACCGTCTTTGTCAACGTAACGGACATCTCCAGAGTAGATTATACCCATGGGAACACCCATTTTGGCCTTATTCAACTCTCCTAGAAGAGGTGCTTCTTTGTGTGGCCCGCCATCCCTTCTCCTGTCCTCCAACCGTATTTATGAACTCTTTGGTTCCATTTCTTTTATACATGTATTTTATTTAATTTATTAAGCAGGAGGGGGAGGGTAAATTGTTCATATCTGAAGGTTATCAAATATAGGCGGCCCTTAATATGAGAAGATAGCAGTGGTTTGTTACGTGTTGAAAGGCTGAGGGCTGCCGGTTTCAAGACGGCATCTCACGTGGCTTCCAGGACGGTTGCTGAAGAAGAAAGCGGTGGGCCTCTCCATCCCACGCGTGCTTTGCTAGTAGAACTTACTGATTGGCCATATGTCAATAGGGAAGCATCTGTTTCATCCTGGAGGCCCACACCAGGTCACAGTTACCTCCAAAGAGGACTAAGAAAGACCCTTAGGAAGAACTGCCTGCTCCTCACCATCAACCAACATCCCCCAACCTGATGTTCTTCAGAGGTGCTGAGATGCCTACTGCAAACATGTTTAGTCAACAGGACCAGCTTTGCACAACATATAAACCCTCCTATGATTATATATTAGTATATTTTGTAAAAGGCTAACATGTTTAACAGAATAACAGAGCTGGAAGAGACTTTGGAGGTCTTCTTAGTCCAACCCCCCGCTCAAGCTGGAGACCCTATAACGTTTCAGACAAATTAACTGTCCAATCTCTTCTTAAAAACTTCCAGTGTTGGAGCCTTCACAACTTCTGAAAGCAAACTGTTCCACTGGCTAATTGTCCTCACTGTTAGGAAGTTTCTCCTTAGTTCTAAGTTGCTTCTCTCCTTGATTAGTTTCCATCCGTTGCTTCTTCTCCTGCCTTCAGGTGCTTTGGAAGATAGCTTGGCTCCCTCTTCTTTGTGGCAGCCCCTGAGATATTGGAAGACTGCTATCATGTCTCCCCTAGTCCTTCTCATCTCTAGACTTGTTGTCGTTAGTTGCGAAGTCGTGTCCGATCCATCGCGACCCCATGGACAACGTTCCTCCAGGCCTTCCTGTCCTCTACCATCCTCTGGAGTCCATTTAAGGTCACGCCGACTGCTTCGGTGACTCCATCCAGCCACCTCGTTCTCTGTCATCCCCTTCTTCTTTTGCCCTCAATCTCAATCTCTAGACTAGCCAAACCCAAATCCTGCAACCGTTCTTAGTATGTTGGACCCAAGGAAAAAAACTTAGGTTCCCCGAACGTCTAGCTGAAGTAGCCATGAGATGACGAAATCTTGGCTCAGATGGTTCCCAAACTGAACTTTCACAGCTCAAAGTGATGTTGTGTAGGATCACAGAGGACAACTCCTTAGCCTTATGTGCTAAGCAGGCATCCAGCTCTACTGAATTATAAATACGGCGGTTTAAACCGCTTGCCAAAATGGTTGAAATAAAACATTTTCTTTTGCTGATATTTTCTGCTTAAACTTCTGGGGCTTGTGGTTGTTTTTAAGGGAGCCTTTTGCAATGACCTCCTTTCGTTTTTAGCCAGAACTAAACTACTCCGAGGAGAAAATAACTGCTATCGGGAAAAGATGACACGTACACTTGTAAAGGCATCGCCTTTTTTTTTTCTTTTAAAAATCCTCTTTTATTTCCTTGAAAACCAAAAATTTAAAAATTTCTCAAAATAAAAATATTTTTTAGAAAAAAAGGGGTTTGTTTGCATCAGTTGTGGTGGGCCGGAAATAAAAACGTAACGAGAGAAACTGAAAAAGCAAAGAAAGAAACAAATAAGATAAAGTCTTAACAGAAACCTATTTACATAAAACTGTAAATATATATTTGTATGTATTTATATATATATATATATATTATCCAATCCGGTTCAAATGGCTTCTATTCCTTTAGTACAATTGTATATACTTCCTTTTGTTTTTTAACAGCACAATCCTATGCATTTTTTACTGACAAACTCTCTAGAGTTCCGTGGACTTCTCTGAAAAACATGGATTTTACAGCCTTAATTGTCCTTAGAACAACAACAACACACAAACATATTATAACATCTGGTGCATATAGTGGAAACAAAGGTTGAATTCAGAGAATAAGGCCAGCATTTCCTAAATTTTGGAGGCTTGGACACAATAATTTTCTTGGCTGGAGGAAACATGACCAGGCAAAAATGGAATTTATGCTTTCCAAGGAAGTCCAAAAGTTGTTGTTGTTTTCTGAAGAAATTAACAATCCTTGAGATTTTTTTTTCCCCTCCTGGGAAAAAATCTCTTTCTTACATTCCAACTTAGAGGTTGTTTCCTATTGCGTGTCCAGAGATTTGATGGTTTCCTTGATTGCCAAGAATAGATCAGCATAATATTCTTCCTCTTGACAATGTTGGAGCTGTTCATTCCTGAGGGGCCACCTCAAACTTGAAGAGAGGTGGATTTGTGGATATTTATTCCAACCCACCCCGTGACATGCTCCAGATACAGTTTTGGAATTGCTTAGGACCCATATGGATCCAGGTTTTTGGAAGCACCTGGCTGGGAGTAGTAAGGAAGCACAGAAATAAGTGAAGACACCAAAGATCATGCAGGAGGCTTCAGAAGACCATCTCGGCATTCAGCTCAGGCAGATGGTCTTCCTCCCCACGGCTGAATTTAGGAAGGTTTGAGGAGAGGTGCCTCCCGGTATGTTCTCAGAAGTTGGCAATGCTCAGTGCTGTGTGGCTAGCACCACCAAAAACAACCTTCAACTATATCACTCCCCCCCCAAATAGAGAAGCCATGTCCAACCTTGGCAACTTTCAGATCTGTGGACTTCAACTCCCAGAATTCCCCAGCCAGCATAGCTGGAAGTTGGAAGCCCATAGGTATTAAAAGTTGCCAAGGTTGGACATCCCTGGTCTAGATGGTTTGATCCAGGTGTGGGCTGCTGGGGGTTCGTAGGGGTTCGTGAAAACTTCTAGCTAAGATTCTGTGCCAAATCCCACTCCTGGCTGGCCCCGCCCACCCACCTCCTGCCCTCCTAGGAGTCCCCACACGGCCCGTTTTGGATGCAGGTAAGTGCAGGGCACACATGGAGGGTTGGAGAGGGTGAAAAATGGGACTACCGGAAGTTCAGGCCCGTTTCCGGCCTCCAGAGGGCCTCTGGAGCCCAGGGAGGCTGTTTTTGCTCTCCCCGAGGCTCAAGGAAAGCCTCCGGAGCCTGGGGAGGGCAAAAACGCACCCTTCCCCCGTGGTGGTGCAGGAGGCTGACTAAGCCACACCCACCGCAGCCATGCTCACCCAGCAACTGGGCAGAGAACCCGTTGCTAAAATTTTTGAAGCCCATCCCTGGTTTGATCCCTTTCAAGAAGTTCCTTTATAAGATGACAAGTGAACTTAAAAACCTATCATACTTTTTTTTCTTTGATTTTTTTAAAAAAGGAAAGGTCCAGACAAGAACTAAAAAGCATTACCATTCATCTCATGCACTTCCTTCATTTTAGTGGCGAAGCAGGGAAAACAGGACCTCACAGTCTCAAAAATGGCTATTATTATTTTCTCCTTCTTCTTCTTCTTCAGTATTCTGTCTGCTTCTAATTTCTGGCCGGGTGAATCCCTGTGGGTCGAAACGAGCAAACAGTAGACCTTCCGTGGCCAGGAAAAAAATAAAAAACCCAGTTCCCAGTAGATCATTCACAAAAGATGTTGAGAAGCTGCAGACTTGAGGGAGACCTTCTAGGGCAGGGGTCTGCAACCTTAAACACTCAAAGAGCCATTTGGACCCGTTTCCCACAGAAAAGAAAACACCGGGAGCCACAAAAACCTTCCCGTGCCTGACTATTTCTTGAGTGGCCACAAAACAAGCATATGAAGTTGAATTAAATGTTCTGTTTTCTTCTGAAACTTTTCTTTTCTTGGATTTATCCATGATTGGCCTACTGGGGGTCGAAAAGCTCAATAAATCACATGCCAGCAGGTGTCGCACATTGGCGGCGGTGACCCATATTTTGAGTGACGGAGCTGCAGCCGAGGGGTGAAAGAGCCACATGCGGCTCCAGAGCCACAGGTTGCTGACCCCGGTTTAGAGGAACATCTCCATTCTGTCTCTTTGCGACAAGCTTCCACACAAACTCAGCTGACACAAGAATGCGTCCCTCGCTCAATTTGCGTGCCTCTTTTTGCCTCTTTGTATTTTTTTTTTCAGCTTTATCTTGCAATCTGGTTGTCTTTGCCCTTCCTGGCTGACTCAAAATGCATCCGCTGTTGCAGCAAAAGAGCTTTTGCCTTTGTCAAAATGCAATTGCAACTTTGCGCCTCCAGCAGCTGACAGCCGGAATGCAAAGATGATCTCCAACTGGACTTTTTCGGAGTCGATTCCATTCTTGCTACAGGGCGGTGATCAAAAAATAATTCTACCGGTAGGAAGCCCAAGGCAGAACACAGGTAACTCGACGTACAACCCTTTCATTTAGTGGCTGTTCAAAGCTACAACAAGCACTGAATTTTTTTTTTAAGCTTACAACCGTTCCTCACACTTACGACCGTTGCAACATCCCCATGGTTGCACGATCAAAATCTGGGCGCTTGGCAACTTGAAAAATGTTCGTAAGTCATTTTTTTCCCCCATGGTTTTGTCACTTCAAATGCTCACTAAATGAACTGTTGTAAGGTGAGGATGGATCTGTAATCAGGCCACCTCGGTTAATCATAAAACCAGAGATGGAAGGGACCTCAGAGGTCTTCTAGTCCAACCACCAGCTCAAGCAGAAGACTCTATACCAGTGAGAAGAGACGAGCGTGCCGTTGGCTGCTGTCTCTTCGTTCGAACACACTTCCCATGCTCAATTTGCAAGGAACCAAAAGGTGTGAATCCAGAGGAATCAAACCCCTGAAATCTGGGATCCATTGCATAAATATCCTCTACAGAAAGGCCACAGAGTGGGATTCTCACAATCTCAAGGAGAGGGCGGCAATTCTCACACTCGTTTTCTCCGATTCCCTGGAAAAAAAAATGAAAAAAACAAAACAGAAGTGCAAATGATCGTTTGGCTTCTCACTCGCTTGCAATTCAAGAAACCAAGTTTGCTTCCCCCTCCCACTCAATAAATTAAGAAACACGCTGTAAAAGCAAAACGAGAACGGAAGACGGTACGGGCGGGGTTTTTTTGGGTTTTGTTTTTTTTCCCTGCGTTTGCACTCAGGAACCTACTTCACGCTGAGTGGTGACCCATCCCTTGCCAGGAGCATATAATCTTAGGACGAGATGGGGGAGGTGGGGGGATATCAGAAGTCCTGGAAAAGTTTTTTTGGTAACTTTTCTGATGTCCGTTTTGGAGCAAAATCTTCGCCGGCCATGAGCAGCATGCAAAATGGGCTTTTTGAACGAGGGGAGGAAAAAAAAAAAAACCCAGTTGGGCTATTTGTTTTTCTTTTTTTTTATCTTTTCTTTTCTGCAACGAAGAAGCGAAACAGGCATGATTTCCCCAAACGAAAGAGCGAGGGAGCCTGAGAGACGCGGCTGCAAACTTTCCTGAGTGGGGTTTTGAGGGTTCAGGCCAGCATGGAGGAACGGCGGCCCGTCTCTTCTCGGATGCTTTCGTCCGTTTGCTTCAATAACCTCCGGACCAATTTTTCTAAATCTTTCCTGGATTTCAGCTCTTCCTCCAGACACTGCTTCATTCGTTTGTTCTCCTGCAGCGGGGAAAGAGAAAAAGGAGGAGAGCCGTGTTCGCACGTTATTAAAACACCTCCGATTTTCCTTCCCGTAAAACTGTGTTTGGGGTACAGGCAGTCCTCGCCTAACGACTGCAAGTGAATCTGGTTTCCCCCACTGGCTTGTCCGAAGGCAGCTGGGAAGGTTGCCCATTTTATTTATTTCATTGACGAAGTAAACATTGATTGGCCACCCCTCTTAGCACAATGGTGATCCCAGAATCCTGGGACAGTGCAAATTGCAATAAATACCAACCAGCTGCTAAATACCCAAATTTTGATCACATGACCATGGGGACATGGTAACAGTTGCAAGTGTGGACAACTTGTCTTAAGTTTAACTTTTTCAGTGCAGTTACCATATAATTTTGAATTCGCTAAACGAATGGCTGTAAGTTGAGAATTGCTTGTATCCTGTAGGCATAATGGCCATCTGAGTGTGGAAAATTATGGGAACCAGTTTTCCAGTTGCTGGGTTTAGGCAGGACATCCTCCCCCTCCCCCCCCTCTGTTCTGCCCCACCTACGGATCCCAAAGAACGCAGCACACACAAAGTTTGTACAAAACTTAATTTACTAAAATAACTCGGTCTTTTTCAAAACAAAGGCTGTTAATAAATTTTCCTAACAGCCTACAAGAAACTAAAGATAAAGTAATCACAATTTTACTAAGGTTGGCAGAAAGCCCAGAAGCAATTTGCAGAGAATCCAGACGCGAAGGAGAGTGAACTAAAGTTGTTCCCTACAAATTGCTTCAGTCGGCGTTCCTCCTTAAATAGGCTAAGGGAGTGGCCAATTAGCCCCAAGCCTTACTCTCGACACCCTCCCCCCTCCCCCCCAGGCTGAAGACCCTTCCTGGAACAGGGAAAGTCTCCAGAAATCAACCCTCAAAATGCTCCGGATAGAAGCACTTCCTCATGTTTTACACTTCTCAACACCACCGCAATGGTAGACCAAGCCCCAAAAGTAGCCAAATCCACGGCTGAATAAGAATTGGCATCCAAGCCAGTCACCACACTCTTTCCCCTCATGCAACAATTAACCGATGGCACGTTTTCCACCCGGTTCATGAGGACTAGAAACCCAATCCAAAACTTCCCAAGATTCGTTTTTCTTGCCATGCACATGTATACATCCGAACTAGACTGTGTTGTTTCTCTGTGTCATGTAATATATGTGGGTTATGGGCGTAATTTTGTATTTATTTTGTCATTTTGTGTAATGCCTATTGGAGGTGGTGAACCTTTGAGAGCTGTATGCAACGAAATTTCATTTTAATGTATGCCGCTTAGTGTACATTCAAAGTGACAGTTAAGTTATTCTAAGTTCTAAATTCAATCTTCTTTTTTTTTAAAGAAGTCAGTAGACTGGATTATGGAGGCCACAACTGAAATCTGCAATCTTTTTGTTTTGCAAAACTGTTTATGGCCTGGTGCAATTATTTTGGATTACCTGCTTCAGTTCTTTGACTTCATCTTTTAGCGCATAGACGGTATCCACGAGACTCCTAGAAAACAGCAGAAAAAGGCCAAAATAAATAATAATGATGATGATGATGATGATGATGATGATGATGATGAGAATCCATCAGCACGAGACATGAAAGACTTCTTTCACTTTTCACTTTTTCATTTTTAGAACGTTGTACCGCGGCGATCTATTCCTTTAATGTTTCAAAGGCTTTTCATTTTTAGGTTTATGTTTCATTTCAGTGGTTTTCAGCTTTCCTCTTAAAAGTACAGGTGGTCCTTCACTTATGGCCACAACTGAGCCCAGAGTTTCTGTTGCTAAGTGAGACCCTTGTTAAGTGAGTTTTATCCCATTCAGTCACTAAATCTGTGTTTCTCAACCTTGGTAGCTTGAAGATGGGTGGAGTTCAACTCCCAGAATCCCCCAGCCAGCAGTAGCACTGGCTTTTGGGCAAAAAGAAGGCAAAACAAGAAGCAATGGGTGGAAACTAATCAAGGAGAGAAGCAGCTTAGAACTAAGGAGAAATTTCCTGGCAGTGAGAACAATTAACCAGTGGAACAACTTGCCTCCAGAAGTTGTAAATGCTCCAACACTGGAAGTTTTTAAGAAGATGTTGGATAACCATTTGTCTGAAGTGGTGTAGGGTTTCCTGCCTAAGCAGGGGGTTGGACTAGAAGACCTCCAAGGTCCCTTCCAACTCTATCTTATTCTAATCATGAAGGAGAACCATTTTCCTGACCGCCAACTTGTTCACGGTCACAAAACTCTTTCTCTTCCTTTGAGGGGCTGTGGCCCTGAGGGATCCCCCCAACAACAACAAAGGGCTCCTAAGCCTTCCCTATCTGACTTGGCTCTGGATGTGGGGACCCCCACACCCACATTGCCAAAACTTGGCCGCACAATTTTCTGCCAACAGGAAAAAAAAGCACCGTTCCAACCAGCAAAGAGAAGGAAAACCAGAGGTGGGGTGTGAAGGACACCCCATCGGCACCTACAAGGGTGACACCATCTTGCCTGCATGGGCTCCCGTTGTGTCTCTTGCACCCCCTTCATGATAAGACGTTGAGGTGGGTCACCTCGGCCCTAGAAGACTTCCTAAGAACCCTAAAACGTTGGGGTTCATGGTTGGGTCGTCAGCAGAAGACTCAATATGAGGGAAGGAAGCCTTCAAAGAAACCTCAAGGAGGAATGGAGCTGAAAGGAGAATTTCCCCCCACTAGGTTTCGCTGCAGCTTTTTCATGGGTTCGGCTCGTGGTCTCACTCACTTCTCCTCGGCCACGGTCTGCCCGTTGCTCCGCACTTCCTCGATGATTAGTTTCTCCTCTTCCGGAAGTAGAACCTGGGGGACGGAATCTTTGCGGGACCCTGAGGAAGAGAGTGGACAATTCAGGGGACGGCTTCGTTTGGTGCGCCCGAGAACCGAGAGGTTGGGATGCAACTTTGCCTCCACAAGGCTGAGGCCAGTTTGTTCGAGTGGTGAAGGCAACCAGGCTAGAGACTGGGAGATGGTGAGTTCTAGTCTCGCCTTAGGCGTTAAAGCTGGCTGGGTGACTATGGGCCAATCACCAGGAAATGGAGAGTTCTAGTCTCACCTTCGGCACAAAAGATGGTTGGGTGACTTGGGGGCCAATCACCAGGAGATGATGAGTTCTAATCCTGCCTTAGCGTGAAAGCCAGGTAGGTGACTTTGGGAGTTCTAGTCCCATCTCAGGCACAAAAGACTGTTGAATGTCTTTGGGCCAATCACTAGGAGATGATGAGTTCTAATCCTACCTTAGCGTGAAAGCCACTGGGTGACTTTGGGAGTTCTAGTCCCACATTCAGGCATCATAGAGGGCTGACTGACCTTGGACCAATTACTAGGAGATGGTGAATTCTAGTCCCATCTCAGGCACAAAAGACTATTGAATGTCTTTGAGCCAATCACTAGGAGACAGTGAGTTCTAGTCCCACCTTAGGCACAAAAGACTGTTGAATGTCTTTGGGCCAATCACCAGGAGATGATGAGTTCTAATCCTGCCTTAGCATGAAAGCCAGCTGGGTGACTTTGGGAGTTCTAGTCCCATCTTAAGGCATCATAGAGGGCTGACTGACCTTGGAGCAATCACTAGGAGATGGTGAATTCTAGTCCCATCTTAGGCACAAAAGACTGTTGGGTGACTTTGGGCCAATAACCAGGAGACTGTGAGTTCTAGTCTCGTCTTAGACATGAAAACCAGCTGGTTGACTTCGGGCCAGCCCCTCTCTCTCGGCCCAAACCCACCTCACAGGAACGTTTTTCTGGGGAAAACAGCAGGAGGAAAGCACGTAGGAAACGTTCCCCGCCTTGAGTTATTGTAAAAATAATAAAAACTGGGGTATAACTAAGTAAAAAAAATAAAATAATAAAATGTCACAGACAACCTGCAAACCGCCCCCCCACCCCAGGCTGAGACGCACTGATTTATCGCTGCCACCTCAGTGCCACCGATACGAGACTCGTGTTTCTATTCGTGGCTTCAGAAGAAGCAAAATTAGATATATTTATAGAAAACCGCCAGGCTGTTTCTTTTCTTTTCTGAGATGCGCAGCAGATTGAATGATAAAAGCCCCAGAGTGACGGGTGTCTTGGGAGATTAGCATCTCGGGAGGATAAGTAGGAACCGAGGACAAAAGTTGCATCTCGTTGCAAACTTCTCGCAATTTCCTTTACTTTCATCTCGCCATCTCAAAAGTCAGCTTTATTTCAAAGGCCGCGGGTTTGACTCATCCGCGCTAGGCTAGATTTGTCTATTCCCTTTTCCGAGAGGAGGAAGCAAAACCAGCTGGTCCTCGACTTACGACCGCCACCGAGCCCAACATTTACGTCGCTAAGTGAGACGTTTGTTTTCAGCGAGTTTTGCCCCGTTTTACAACTCTCCTCGCCACGTTTGTTAAGCAAATCTCTGTGGTTGGGTCAACCGGTTGTTCAGTGAATCTGGCTCCCCTGTTGAACTTGGCTTGTCGGGAGGTCGCAAAAGGGGAATTGCCTGACCCCCCCCCAGCCAGGACCGTCATAAATACGAGTCAGTTGCCAAGCGTCTGAATTTTGACCAGGCGACCCCGGGCATGTTGCAATGGTCGTAAGTGTGAAACAGGGTCATGTCACTTTTTTTCAGGGACCGTTCGAACGGTCACTAAATGGATTGTTGTAAGTCGAGGACTACCCGTGTTAGAAATGATCCGATGGGAGGTGGCTTTACATTCAACCTAGGAAAAAGGCCTTTTTTTCCTCCCTGGGATAATAATTTTGGTGGGCAAAAAAATAATAATTCACATTTGATCGAAGACACAGCGAGGAGAAATGTGGAAACTCCCCCAGGGGCTTAGAATCCAGTATGGCAGGCCGACTCTACCCACTGCCTGGAGTTCGATCTTGACAAGCTTCAAAGTTGACTCGTCCTTCCGTCCTTCCGTGGTCGTAAAATGAGGACCCAGATTGTAGCGGGGGGGGGGGGCAAGATGCTGACACGGTAAAACCACCCACAGTGCTGTAAATTATTATGGGGCAGTATATAAATTTAAGCGCTATTGCTATTGCTCGATGTCAAAGAGAAGGAAGGTTAATTGATGAGGTTATCTAGTTGGGTCATGAAACCTCTGCAAGAAAACCCCTCAGCTCAGAGAGCACCAAGGACTCCAAAATCCTTCTCCTCCTCCTCTCCTCCTCCTCCCCTCCCCTCCGTCCCTCCTAGCACTGATGGTGTTACCTAGTTGGGTCATGAAAGTTCTGCAAGAAAGCTACCCAGCTCAGAAAGCACGTAAGGCTCCTGTTTCAACCCTATACTACAAATATTCTCCTTTATTGGTAAGAGAGAGAATGAACAGAGGTGGAATGAATTTTCTGCTTCTGCCTCCCTCGGTCCGAGAGAAAGGCTCAGATCATCTCGAATCCATGTTCCTCCACCTTAAAGCGACTTTAAGACGGGTGTCCCAAAGGTGCTTTTTTTCAAGAGCCAACTGGACTTCCTTGTTTTTTGCTGTTTTTGAAGACGTTTCGCTTCTCATCCAAGAAACGAACGTCCTTGCAAACGTTACCCATGATCTGGATAGCTGAGAATCGCTACAGACTTTAAGAAAAAGTTTTAAAAAAAGAGCCTTGGTAGTACAGTGGTCTAAGGCACCCTGTTATTAAGCTGGTTATTAAGACCAGCTGCCTGCAATTACTGCAGGTTCGAATCTCGCCAAGGCTCGAGGTTGACTCAGCCTTCCATCCTTTCTAAGGTAGGTAAATTGAGGACCCAGTTTGTGGGGGCAATAAGCTGACTTTGTATAAATATACAAAAAAAAGGATGAAGGCTATTGCTTAATGCATTGTAAGCGGCCCTGAGTCTCTGGAGAAGGGCGGCATATAAATCAAATTTTAAAAAAAAGATGGGTGGACTTCATTTCCCAGAATTGCCCAGCCAGCACAGCTCTAGAAAAAGTGGGGGGGGGAAAATCGCAGCTTTCTCTGATTTCAAACACCAGGTATTGTAGGCGCGTCCTACGCTTGGCCTGACACCTGAGACCATCGGCCATGATCTTCAACCCCCTGCGAGCAACCTGGTTCGGCTTCAAACCACTCACCGGAAGTGACATTCTGCTGCAGACTCGCCCCCGCGCAGTATGCCTCAATCACCTTCAGGATCTGAGCATCTTCCTCTAAGGCAACCGTGCCTGGAAATCAAATGAATGTTAAGGACAGACTCTGGATTGACAAGGGTCTCCAAACTGGGCAACATTAAGAATTGTGGACTTCAACTCCCAGAATCCCTAATGAGAAGGAAGGACTCAGTGGAGAAGAGCCTAATGCTGGGAACGATGGAGGGCAAAAGAAGAAGGGGACGACAGAGAACGAGGTGGCTGGATGGAGTCACTGAAGCAGTCGGCGTGAGCTTCAATGGACTCCAGGGGATGGTAGAGGACAGGAAGGCCTGGAGGAACGTTGTCCATGGAGTTGTGATGGGTTGGACACGACTTCGCAACTAACAACAACAAAACTGGATCCAGTACTAGAAGTGGGGCCTGACTAATAGAAGATTGACTGGAAATATTATTTATTTTATTCAATTTGTATACCACCCTTCTCCTAGTAGACTCAGGGCAGTGCACAGCCAGAACTAAAACACATACCAATACAAAATTTAAAATTATTAAAAGAAGTACATAGCTGGCCCAAATTTAAAACAATTCAATTAAAACCCAATGACAATTTAAAAACTAAAAAACTAAAAAAGACTAAAAAAGGGGGAGGGAGTTCATGCCAGCCCTGCTTGATGGAAAAGAAAAGTTTTCAGGGCACGGCGAAAAACCCGGAGATCCGATATCCTTCGTATCTCCAGGGGCAAATCGTTCTCCTGATTTAGAAATTACCGTAGACTAAACTCTTCAAGGATGACTTTCCTAGGAGGCGATCTTGCCTCTCCTTTAGCAGAGACGTGCAACTTCATAAAACACTATAGAAGGTGTCTTAATCAATGGATGAACATCTGGATGTTCTACCTTACAGCATCCACACACACAAAAAAATCAATTACAGAAAGGAACCACACAGCCAACTTACTTTTTCTAATCACAAATTCCTCATCCGATGGCTTCCTCTCTGTTTTTCTTTTGGGCAGGAACTTTTTCATCGTCTTTGGACTCTTGCTGGCGTCCTGTAGACAGAGAACCATCGATTAGGATTATGTCCCAGGTGGAAACACAAAACCTTCACTCGTGATGCATCTAAGCTTCCGTTGACGAACCGAAGACCGAACTCAAATAGTTGTGAGTTTGCGGAGTAAATACACGAGGGCCGAGCAATTGTACTGATAGGTGACATGTTTGGACACACGACACAAAGGCAGATTGGGCTAATCTGGTAGCCGTGAATTGAGTTGGCCCACCACACTCGACATCCTTCTTCTTCCGAGCCATTGGCCCAGCTACCAACAATAAGGATGTTGCATCTTTTCCATGTGAGGCGGTGGGCGATTGACCATCCCATAAATACAATGCCTTGAAGTTCAGCATGGAAGGCTCTAGCAAGCAAATACAATAGTTGTGAAAGGATTTTTATCATTGTGACCTTGTGAGTCAGCCATTGGTTTTGTACAAGGGCAATCAGTTGCCCGAATCAATAAACCCTGAGTCAGAGGCTGCCTTAAAGCACATCTCTGTTTTACTAAATGTGCCTGTAGCCGGATTGCCCAAACATAACAGCACTGAAAATGAGCTCTTGGGAAAATGTGACCTCAGGCCCAGTGCAGAAACTTGTCACTGCAGGGGGAAAACCCTGCTTGTGCATTAAAACATATCGATACATCCCGTTGCAAAAGAACATGTCGTGGAGAGGTTCCTCGGCTTACCTTTAAGATGTAGGACATCCGCTGGGAAGGAGCATGAAAAGAAAGAAAAGGTGAGCGTGAAAAGAGGAACATGGCTATCAAACCACCGCCTTAAAGAATGTATTTTTAAAACTTATGATATTCCCAATCAAAATAAATCACAGGAAGATTTAGGGTTTATTCTCCTCTAGCTTTTGAACTCAAAAAGGAATCTTCTGACTATACAGATAGTCCACAATTGAGCCCCCAAATTTCTGTTAAGGAAGACAATTGATTAAGTGAATTTTGCCCCATTTTACGACCGTTTTTGCTACAATGGTTAAGTGAATCACTGCAGTTGTTCAATTAGTGACACGGTTATTCTGGATCTGGCTTCCTCCATCAATGCTGCTCGTCAGATGGTCACAAAAGGGGACCACTGTAACCGTCATAAATATGAACCAGTCGCCAAATGTCCAAATTTTCCTCACGTGGCCGTGGGGACGCTGGAACCGTCATGTCGGTTTTTTCAGTGCTGTTGTATGTTAGCTTTGAATGGTCACTAAATGAATGGTTGTAAATTAAGGACTGCCTGTATTGTTCCGTGCGAGGCAGCAGGTTGGGTTCTCTGATTCGAAGAACCCATTCGTCCTGCTTCCTCATCGTAGAGGAAGAGGAGGAGGAGAAAAGGAAAGGTTAGATCACTAATCCACGTTTTGTCAGACTCTGCCTCTTCCCCGCATGAGTTTTTGTGGGGAGCAATGGGCTGGGACACTCCCCCCAAATATCAGATTTGTAAACTGTACTTCAGGATCCTTCTGGGACGTTCTCATCTCTTACGACAATCCTGCCTGTTCTGACCTAGGCTTCTTTAGAAAGTATACAGCACAATCTTAGTCCTGGCAAACCTCTTTTATTCATACGGCAGTGAATTATTGTCATTCCCAGTCCGAAAGGCTTCTCAAACAGTCTTTCAGAGGAGTGTTTATAAACACCCACCTTATCTCCCTTGGAATGCTGCCAGAGAACTAATTGCCACACAAACTTAGCATAGAGTCAAACAGAACTTTCCCAAAGCTTTTACCGATCAGATGAACTAATTGCTTCCTGCAAAAGCTCACATCCCAGTCGGTCACTCCTCTTTTATGTCTTATGGGAGGGGCCAATCATCTCCAAGCCTTACTCCCAAGTCGACCCTGTTTCCTTAATTGTTCCTGTCTTCTGGCAGCTCTGCACATGCATACATTGAAAACAGGCTCCTGCTGTTCTTCTGCCTCACAGATGTCAGACTCCGGAGACTCCAGAAGCAGCAAAGAATTACCAGATGGCCTTGGCCCCCTCTCTGCCTCCAACTCAGAGCCCTCATTCGAGCCTTCCCCAGACTCCACGACTGGTCCACCTTCCTCCCCAACCTCCTCACTGTCCGAATCTCCTGCCAGCTTTGCTGGCCACTGGCAGGCCACAACACTGCCTAACCTAACATCCAAGTGACTTTCAAAGGTTGAGTTCCAATGTTCTTCATGTTGACTTCCTTCAGAGGAGACCTCCTTGAGAAGATCTTCTCCAGAAATCCCACAGAGGACCAGAACTAAAAGAGTTGAGTTGAGTACGAGAAATGTCAGTGGGGTGGGGGAATAAAGGTATTTTCCCTTCTGTGATACGCATCAGGTGAAAAGAAGAGGCCAACAGAAGTAAATCTCATCTTGATTTGATTTGTGCAGAAAATGAGTCACAAAAACAAATATATATATATATACATATATATGTGTTTTTCCTCTAGCCAGGTTTTTCCTACGTAACCAAGGTTTTTCTGCAGCCCTAGCTCAGTAGAATCACATCCACTCGATTCTGGGCTTTTTTCCTTTCTGGCAACCAGCAAGTTCCTGCTGCCAGGTGAGAGACTTATATAGATCTATTTCTAGCTCGTTAGCCTTCATCAGTAAGCCACACCCACATCTCATGTATCCTCCCTGTAAAGGTATAATATCTATTTTCTTACTTCTTCGTAGGATTTATGTGTGTTTTTCCTCTACTCTGTGGGAACTTGTGGTTCTCTGTGGCTACATTTCCACCCATGTGATGGCCTGTTGCTCAACCTGGAATGTGTCATCACAGAATTAAGGATTCATGACATCAAATTGCCATGAAGAAGCACAAGAGAGACTCTCGTGCAAAGGCCACATGACATTACCTCTTTATAGCTGAGGGCCACTGAGGGCCTGAGAGGAGGTGCTGGGCGGAGGCAACTCAAGGTCCAGGGTTTGAGGATCTGGGGTGGTTCCAGTGGGCCACGGAATTGTCCAGTAGAGCTAAAAGTCTGATTAAAAACAACAACAACAATCCACTGAGTTCCTTACTGTCAACCTGTCTGATCACCTCAGAGCTCCTCAACGAGGACATCATCCCTTAGAACAGGTGAGGAACATTCAGCTCATGGTTTTCAGGTAGCACCATTAATGGCCTCCCCATTGGTGGCACCTTTGGATCAAACCACCGCAACATGACAGCAAAACATTCTAATTTTCCCCTCTCAAAATAGGGACCACCTTTGGTGGGAAGGGAACAGCATTCTGTGCGCCTTTGGCGTTGAGTCATGCCGGCCACATGACCACGGAGACATCTTCGGACAGCGCTGGCTCTTCGGCTTTGAAACGGAGATGAGCACCGCCCCCTAGAGTCAGGAACGACTAGCACATATGTGCGAGGGGAACCTTGACCTTTACTTTAACCCTAGAGAGATGGATGGGGCCCCCTTGAAAGAACAGAAAGAAGGAAAACGGAACATTTTCTTCTTCTTCTATGGTCCCCTAAGATTAGAGTCAAAGTGGATATGGGCATGACTTGCAAAAAAGAAGTTTCCACATTTGCTTGGAATCTCAGCTTGATTTAGTTGTGGAGTTACTCACCGAATGGGAACCCCAAGATTGGGTTTTTGAGAGGGTACCACTGAAAGTGGACCCTCTGGTCAACCTTTGGAGGTGGTCGAGCCATTCGTGCAAATCTTGGCTGCTACCGCAATGTACCGTCAGCCGGTCTCCCATGCTCCCTGCCAGAAGAAGACAAACCAGGTTACTTGACTGAAGACGGGTTCAAAACGTGGGACAGAAAGAAGAGCAAAAGGGAGTTAGTGCCGATATAAGTGGGCTTCCTGCAACGAGGTTGCCCTTCACCAATCTTCAAACCTTCCAGATGGTTTAGATTTTATTTCCCCGAATTGCCAGCCCTCATCAGCCCTATAGAAATCCTCAAAATTATAGCCTGCATCATCGAATAGGAGCCAGATTAAGGAAGACGTAATTAGATAAATCCAGCAGGATAAATTTAGAAGGGTCTCAGGGTGGTGAGATACCACCTCCAAGTGTGGAAGTAATTCACTGCTGAGGGTTAGCTTCCTGTGAAGGAAGAAAAGTGGACTAACCTTCACATCATGCTTTTGGACTTCCCCAAGGTATCCAATTGCCAGTCTAGACTAGAAGGGACTTTGATCAGAACCAACCAGTGGTGAAATCTGAACCGGTTTAGTTGCGCGCTGAGTGTTCATGCACACTGCACACCAAACACGAGCCAAACACCAGAGAACTGGTAGTAAAAAAATGCTAAAAAAGTTTTTTAAAAAAGTTCCGGCTGATCGTCAGAACTGTTTTTTTTTTACATTTTTTACTACAGGTTCGGCGAACCAGCAGCATTTTTTACTACCGGTTCGGGCAAACCGGCTCGAACCGGTAGCATTTCACCCCTGGAACCAACCCTCATCAACCATGACTCCATAAATCATTTTTCTCAATCTTGGCAAACTCTAAGACGTATGGACTTCAACTCCCAGAATTCCCCTGCTGGCATAGCTGCTTTGGGAATTCTGGGAATTGAAGGGAAGACATGTTAGAGTGGCTAAGGTAGAAAAACATGGCGGACTGGCCTGGCACACCTTTGTCCTCTGTAGGTTTTTTTGTCCTTCATCAATTGCCTATCAAGCTCAATCAAGCTCAGCATTCTAAGGATGGCCTAATGAAACTTTTATAGGGGACTAATAACATTTATTAAGTATAAATAACATGATTATTAATAGATTCTCTTGGACACTCATCAGTTTCTAATCTTAGTTTCATAAGTACTGGTTTGTACCAAACACGGGATGATATCTTTATCATAATTGATACAGTTAATCTAAGAACATGATCGCCAACGCCCAATGATAGATATGGCACAAGAAGGAGAAGAATCTAAGAACACTGACCTGAGATATCAAAAGCGTGATCATTTCCTTCCAGATCTTCTAATTTGGATACCAGCATTCCTATTAAAGGGAGTCTCCCCTGCTCCCCCAGAAAGAGGGGAAAAAATATGATATGAAAATTATTCCGAGCAATCTTGAGCAAGATTCAAACAATAAAATAAAACCATGATTTGTAGCTTAAATCTGCACCATTACCCTGAACTAATTCAGGAAGAGGATGAAGAGAAGAAGAGGAGGAGGAGGAGGAGAAGAAGAAGAAGATACATCCCACTCACCTTATACATAAATCCACTCATACAAGGACTGGCTGAGAGCATCAGCAGAACGCTTGGAAACAACATGAGATATCTTTCCTCTTTCTCCTGGGATAAAGGAAAAGAGGCAACTTGCATGAGCAATGATAGAAAACACCATTTCTGCCATCCCCCCCCCCCGTCTCTTGATGCTCACAATGTGTGTGGTAACCAAGACTGGAAACCTCTTCATATATAGAGCTTCTGTAGGCCCCACGTTGGTGGAACCAAGAAGAGGACAAGGGAACACCATGAAAAGAACATCTGGTTCTCGTGGTTCTCACCTCATTCCCTCCATGTTGGACCATGGTTTGGGACATGTAAAGGACGCTGCCCATGGATCGGATGTCTTCTCCTTCCCAACCTTGGATGGTTTCTGAAAGGATCTGCAGTTCTAGCTGCTTCCTCTTTCTCATCTCTTGACATTGGGACTGTCAACAAAGCTTGGGTTACAAGGAGGATCATAGAGAAGACCAAGTTCTCAGGGGTTCGGGAGAATCTCTAGCTAAGATTCTATGCAGTTCGGAGAATACCCAAATCCCACTCCTGGCTGGCCCCGCCCACCCTCCCCCCCCATGCCCCTCCCTGGAGTTCCCACACAGCCCTTTCGGATGCAGGTAAGTGCAGGACGCGCACAGAAGCTCAGGGAGGGTGAAAATCAGATCTACCGGAAGTTCAGGAAGGCCAGAAATGAGCCTGCTTCTGGCCTCCAGAGGGCTTCTGGAGCCTGGGGAGGCCGTTTTCACCCTCCTGGAGGCTCAAGGAAAGCCTCCAGAACCTGGAGAGGGCAACCCCCCCGCCATGTGCAGGAGGCCGACTAGGCCACGCCCATCATTGCCACGCCCACCCAGCAATTGGGCAGAGAACCTCTTATAAACTTTTTGAAGCCCACCCCTGCTTACAACCCACTGGTCCTCGCGTGTATGACCATCACAGAATCCTCAAGGTCCACATGGTCAAAACTTTGGACACTTGGCAACTGGCATAGGTATTTGTGACAGTCCAGAGGTCAAATCATTGCCATTTGCAACCTTCCCACCACAATGCTTCCAAAAAGCAAAGTCAATGGAAGATGTCGGATTTGATGAATAACCTTGTGATTTGCTTAACGACTGGGAAAAAGGTCATTCAGTTGGGCCAGCAGTGGAAATGCTGTCTCCAACTGTGGGTCAGAAACTACCTGGATACACATTTGAATCAGTGGTGAAATCCAATTTTTTTTACTACTGGTTCTGTGGGTGTGGCTTGGTGGGTGTGTGGCTTGGTAGGCATGGCAGGGGAAGGATACTGCAAAACCTCCATTCCCACCCAACTCCTGGGGAAGGATATTGCAAAATCTCCATTCCCACCCAACTCCTGGGGAAGGATATTGCAAAATCTCTATTCCCACCCTACTCTGGGGCCAGCCAGAGGTGGTATTTGCCAGTTCTCCGCTACCGGTTCTCCGAACTGCTCAAAATTTCCGCTACCGGTTCTCCAGAACCTGTCCGAACCTGCTGGATTTCACCCCTGATTCGAATCTTATTTCAGATCTCTGCTATCATTTTCATGAGTTCGGCTCATCAGGGAAAACATTGGATCCCGGATGCTTTCAAGTCAAGAGCTACAGCTTCCTCCACGCTTCCATTTCAATGATTCTTTATGCTGCTTTCACAAATATTTTTTTCCTCCCTACTTCCTTGGCCTCAGTTCTCCCTCTCTCACCCAAAAATGTCCCTCCTTAATGGAGGAGGAGAAAAAAAAAAGCTGATTTTTGTACTTCCGGCCTTACAAGGAGAACAACAGAAAATAAAATAAAATCACTTTCTCAAAAAAAAATATGAAAACCACATTTGAAATCTTGCTTTGGACAACAGTGCCTCCTTGAGGGCTATTTAATGGCTGCTCGGAGACCTACCACAAGAGACTTGAAGGCCCCTATCGCTTTCAAAATGTCTTCATGATCAGGATGTGCCTCCTAGAGTGGGGGGAAAGATAGATAAATTAGAGGAAGAGAAACTGTTTTCCCCCTTCCCAAAATACTAGAACCAGAGAGAATGATGGTTAGAAAGATGTTAGTGCAATAAGTGAGGTAAAAGCTAAAGGTAAAGGTTCCCCTCGCACATATGTGCTAGTCGTTCCCGACTCTAGGGGGAAGTGCTCATCTCCGTTTCAAAGCCGAAGAGCCAGCGCTGTCCGAAGACGTCTCCGTGGTCATGTGGCCAGCATGACTCAATGCCAAAGGCGCACGGAACGCTGTTCCCTTCCCACCAAAGGTGGTCCCTATTTTTCTCCATGCATTTTTTACGTGCTTTCGAACTGCTAGGTTGGCAGAAGCTGGGACAAGTCACGGGAGCTCACCCCGTTATGCGGCACTAGGGATTCGAACCGCTGAACTGCCGACCTTTTTGATCGACAAGCTCAACGTCTTAGCCACTGAGCCACCGCGTTCCCAATAAAAGTGAGGTACAGAGATCCAAACTGAGTCATCGGTTTTAGGAAACGGTGAGAAGGAAGAACTTCCTTCAGATGCAGAAGAAGATGTTCTCCTGGAACTGGGCCTATTGTGGTCAAGGATGGTTCACTGAAGGAAAAACATTTTGCTCTTTTTTGGGGAGGAGGGAAAATTTCTGGATTATGCTCCACCCTTGAAGCTTGGTTCTTGTTTCCTTTAGACCATCACAAGAGTTGGGCAAACCATCGATTTGCAAGGGGTCCAAGAGGGGTCTAGAGAAAGAGGCTCCTTCTAGGAGCTCACCTACTAGGATGTAGACCCAGGAAGACCCTTGGTGACCACAGAGAATCATGGAAAAAAGCCAAACGCAACCCTGAGAGGAAGAGTCCGTCACTGAACAACGGTGGAAGAACCAACCGATACGGATGACTAGTCTTCCATAAAAGCTCACCTCCATGTGTCTCTCAAGCTCCTGCAGGAGGGCAATGTATTTGTCCAGCCGTGTGAATGGTTTGCTGAGACTTGTTGTCAAGATCAATATCCCAGAGGAGGCCATCCCTTGGTTCTCCATGAACTTCTCCAATTCATCGCTGGAAGAGAAGCATCCATGACGATAGAGAAGCAGACCAGCTCACTGGAGACGTCTTATCTTTCCCCAGGGCAGTGTCCTGACCTAGGCTTCCCCAGTAGCATGAAGCCGAGTCCTCATCCCGATAAACCCATTTTATTTAATTTACAGTGAATTCCTCTCCAGCAAAATCTTTCCTCTCCCACAGTCTTTCAAGATAGTTCACAATTACCGACCTTTATCAGGCTTGGACAGTGGCCAGGCCAATATCTTTCAGACGCCCGCAATACTTGGCAAGAATGCAGGAATGAACTAATTGTCTCCTGCAAACTCCACTCCCCTTTCGCTCCTCTTTTATTCCCTCTGGGAGGGACCATTCACCGTCCACCTGTGGCTTTACTCCTGAGTTGACCCTTGTTCTTTAGCTGTTCCCTTTGTCTGGCAACTCTGCACATGCGCACACTGGGAACAGGCTCCAGCTGTTCGTCCGCCTCACTGATGTCTGACTCCGAAGGCAGCTGATAACTATTGGACGGCCCTGACTCCCTCTCTGCCTCCAACGCAGAGCCCTCATCAGAGCCCTCCCCAGACTCCAGGACTGGCCCATGTTCCTCCCCAACCTCCTCACTGTCCGAATCTGCTGCCAGATCCGCTGGCTGCTGGCGGGCCACAACAGGCAGGGTTTGGTGCGTTCTTTATTTTTACCTGTGATGGGTCAAGACGTTGACCGCAGATGGATGGTTAGTGCAATAAGTGAGGTACAGAGAAGCAAATTGGGGCATCAGGCTTAGGAAGCAACCTCCGACTCGTTGCTGGTATTCAGGGAGTCTGTATGGAGACACACGCAGGTCAAAGATGGATGAAATGAAGCTGTTGGTTGGCATTTAAAATTTTATTTTTATCTGAGCCAAGAGGAACACAGACAGAGGGAAAATAACTTTCCTGCCAACATTTATTTATAGAGATGTACAGTAGTGGCCAAAATTGTGGAAACCTTTTGGGAAAAGTGTATTTTTGAGGTTGGATGGCTAATAACACCACTTTTTTTTGGAGTTTCAAGATAATCCTATTCCACTGCTAGAATGGCCCTTGGAAGAGCCCAGACCTTCTTAATCCAATGGAAAATCTATGGAGCTGACCAGAGGTGAAATCCAAATTGTTTTACTACCGGTTCTGTAGGCACGGCTTGGTGGGTGTGGCAGGGGAAGGATACTGCAAAATCTCCATTCCCACCCCACTCCAGGGGAAGGATACTGCAAAATCCCCATTCCCATCCCACTCCTGGGGGAAGGATATTGCAAAATCTCCATTCCCACCCCACTCTGGGGCCAGCCAGTTGGTGGTATTTGCCGGTTCTCTGAACTGCTCAAAATTTCCGCTACCAGTTCTCCAGAACCTGTCAGAACCTGCTGGATTTCACCCCTGGAGCTGATTAAAGAAACATGTTAGTCAGAAGGGACTCAGCAATAAAACCCAGTTAATAGAAGAAATCCTTCAATCTTGGTTTCACATTATAACAGCTGCAGAACTCAAAGACTTGGTTCACTCCGTGGGAAGACGTTGTAAGGCCATCATTCATGCTAAAGGTTACCCAACTAAGTATTAACTGACATGCTTTAAATGCTTTAAAAAATAAAAAAAAAGTTCCGATGATGTGCATCGTTCAGCTGATTGTCGGAACTTTTTTTTTTTTTTTTTTTTTTTTTTACTTTTTAAGCATTTTTTTACTACCGGTTCGGGCGAATAGGTAGTAAAAAATGCTTTAAAAGTTTTAAAAAAGGAACTGACAATCGCATGGCACAGCTGTGATTGTCGGAAATCTTTTTTTTTAAAACTTTTTTAAAGCATTCTTTACTACCTATTTGCCCGAACCGGTCGTAAAAAAATGCTTTAAAAAAGTTTTTTAAAAAGGTTCCCAAGATCGAGCGCCACAGCTGATTCCCCCCTCCGCTGTTCTACTTACCTTCCCAAGCCTTCTTTTGGCGCGCATTGTGCATGCAAGCCCAGTGAACCAGTAGCAAAACGGTTCAGATTTCACCACTGTCTAAGACTCAGTTGTGGTCATAAGTTGGGGACTATCTGGACTGCTTACAAAATGCAAGAACACCTACTGATGAGCATGTGATCAGGAAAATATTAGAATGTGCAGAAATGAATAGATTAACCCTTGCAATTAAGGAGAAAGAACAAATGGAATATTATATGATATGATTATATTATATATGATTATATTATATGATTATATTTTATCGATGGTTAGAGAATAAAAACGGGAGTTAGAAATAGGGAAACAAAAGAAGAAGATCAGCAAAATATACAAAATGTGTTAAGAGAGAGAAGTAAACACTATGATGATGATGATGATTATCATGGCTATTAGGACTATTATGTTTAATATTATTATTACTATATTCTTGTTAGAAGATATGTCAAGAGGGAGGAGTGAATATGCTTATAATGTTCAATATTAGTAAACTCAGAGAAGTAATATTAATGTAATGAATACTGTTGTAAATTTTGATTACTACCGCACAAAGATACATGTACCCAGATGACACGCTCTTTCATGGAAGATGGAACTATTATACTTAAAAAATAAATAAATGCAAGAACACCATAACAACACAGAACGTTTTATCCAAAACAGAGTCTGGAGAAAATCCATGAAGTGATTTAAGGGGGTCCCACAGCTTACCTGAAACCTCTTCCCGCTGTACCTTCCAAGGAGAAGATTTTAAATAAGAAAACTTTCTGTGGAGAACACGTTCAGGACTTACCTAGCACACTCCTCCAGCGTCTGGTTGAGCGTCTGTTGAAAGTTGCAGATCTCTTCCACATTTCCAAGCAGAGAGGCTATGTCCGTAGTGCTCAGCCTAGAAATATACATACAGTATATATTCTAGGCCAAAATTAAGACCGGGTCTTATATTAATTTTTGCTCTAAAAGACTCGTTAGGGCTTATTTTCTGGTTAAGTATTATTTTCGGGGAAATACAGTACTAAATACGTCCATGATGGTTGATGATGTTAACTGGGGCTTATTTTTGGGGTAGGTCTTATATTATGAGCATCCTGAAAAATCATGCTAGGGCTTATTTTCCAGTTGGGTCTTATTTTCAGGGAAACACAGTATCATGGAAAGACTTTTCCTCAGTGAGGAAAAAGAATCTTGGCTTTGAAGATTTAAGAATCTTAAGTGGCATGTTGAAGGTTAAATATCTATGGAGATTCTCAGTCATCCAGGTCATGGTTGTCCCAAAGGTGCTTTTTTCAAGAGGCCACTGGACTTCCTGGTTTTCCCTTGGAGATGTTTCGTTTCTCATCCAGGAAGCTTCTTCAGCTCTGAGAGAAGGTGAAGAAGCTTCTGAGGGAAGCCGAGGAAGCTTCTTGGATGAGAAGCGAAATGTCTTCAAAGAAAAACCAGAAAGCCCAGTTGCCTCTTCAAAAAAGCACCTTTGGGACACGTTGAAGGTTGAAAGTGGTCTTCACGCCATTGTAATGACCATTCTCATGTTCTCATCACAAACCATCTATTCCTTAGTTGTCCCAACTACTATTATGCCCTTGAGTGTGGATCTTTCCTTAGAGAAGCAAAGCAAAAGACCAACCCCATCAATTAAAAAGGCATTCAAAACTGCCAGTATCCAAAGACTGCCAAGTAGAGTTGGAAGTCATCAATGATCTTTTGAGAAGTCGCATCTCCCCTCCTCCCCATTATTAATGGAGATCATCCCAAACAATCTCACTTACTTGTCATAAGACTGGAGTGACTTCAAGTACGTTCCTAGAAGGGACTGCAGTTCCTTGGCGTACTCTCGCTCTGTTTCCAAAATATTTTGAAGCACCTGAAGCAGGTGAAGATAAGCAGGAGATACAAAGGATGCTAGGAACGATCCAAATATATCTTGCTTATGAATGATGGAGTCCATGAACATACTGTATCTAGGCTCATAGTATGACATTCTTCTCCTCACGTGTTTATAGACACGGATAGTGCCAAAAATAAAGTCTCCCTCGAGTCAGCTCAGCTGCTGGTGACTTCATATAAATATCTGTGCCGTTTCTTGGCAACTAGAAGTAGTTTATCATTTCATGCTTCCAAGATATGGTTTCAACATATCTCAGTTTAACCTACAATCTTGAGCCTCCTATTCAAGTATGGACCATACCCAACTTTGGTTGGGCTTAGCTTTTGGAAAGAAAAGTTGAGTTGAGGTCAACTTTTGCTGTTTATGTTGTTTTCTGGGCAACCACATTGTTGCTTCCCAGGATGAATTATAAAAATGAAAAACTTTAAAAAAAGAAAAAAAGAAAAGAAAACTGAAATGGAGAAGAGCTGCGTAGTATTTCAGACAATTCGCATAACCAGATCTTGTAGCCTCATTGCTCAACATGGGTTTCGCTTAATCTTGGCTTGGTTTTTATGTGACTGTGTGTGATGTTAATAGTTCACAAGGATAGATTTACAGCAGAGGTCTTCAAACTTGGCAGCTTTAAGACTTGTGGACTTCAACTCCCAGAATTCTCCAGCCAGATGGCTGGAGAATTCTAGGAGTTGAAGTCCACAAGTCTTAAAACTGCCAAGTTTGAAGACCTTTGATTTACAGGCATCCTTTCGGTTAAGAAAATTCAGGAATAATAAGAGACTTCACAGGCTTACCACAGTATAGTAATTCTTCGTAAGTTGAGGACTTTCGGCCCCTTTCAAAGCCTTAGGAGAGAGCAGTTTATCTGGAGGAGAAACAGTAGGAATGGTTATAGAGAAGTGCTCTTACTGTGTTTCCCCGAAAATAAGACCCTGTCTTATATATATTTTTTGTCACCAAAAAAAAGCACCAGGTCTTAGGAAGGAAAGAAGAAAGGAAAGAAGGAGAAGGAGAAAGAACAGGAGAAGGAGGAGAAGGAAAATGAGAAGATAGGAAGAAGAAAGAAAAAGAGAAAGAAAAGGAGAAAGAAAAGGAGGAGGCAGAGGAGGTGGAAAAGGAGAAGATAGAAAGAAAAGGAGAAAGAAGAGGAAGAGGAGGAGAAACAAAAGGAGAAGGAGTAAGGGGAGGAGGCTGAAGTGGAGGTGGAGGAAAAGGTTTTTTTCACAAATGCAGAAAGAATCTAGAACGCATAAAACTACCTATGGAAACCATACTATGCAACCCCATATAGGCTGCTCTGTATTTTAAAGAGCCTTGGTAGTACAGGGGTTTAAGGCACCCTGTTATTAAGCTTATTAAGACCAGCTGCCTGCAATTACTGCAGGGTTCGAATCTCTCCAAGGCTCAAGGTTGACTCAGCCTTCCATCCTTTCTAAGGTAGGTGAAATGAGGACCCAGTTGTGGAGGCAATAAACTGACTTTGTATAAATATACAAAAAGGATGAAGGCTATTGCTGAGCACATTGTAAACCGCCCTGAGTCTTCGGAGAAGGGCGGCATATAAATCAAATTAAAATAAAATAAAAAAATAAAAAATAAAAAAAAATAGACCTCGCCAATCTATCTGGGCATGCAAATCAAACACATCCAAGCAGATGCCAGATGCCAACAAAGACACCTGAATGTCAACCTCAACAATGATAGGAAGGATGACAGCAGATCTCTCTTACCGGTGGATTTAATTTCTCTGACGTAGTTGCTGGGGAACCAGCCCGTCTTTCCGTTCAGGGTCCCTTCCCACCAGCCCCCTTCCTCAGTGCGGGTGACGTAAATGATGTCCCCCTTGTTGATGGTCAGCTCATCTTCGTTGGTCTGCTTAAACTGGAAACGGGCCTTGACCACCAGTTGATGACTGCCATTTTCCGTCATCTCCTAAACGCAAAAGCAAGATCAGGAGGACGGTTGGTTCCGGAAGAGAAAGACGAAAGAAGAAGCGAGAAAGGGAATCATCCATTCCAGACAACTCAATGAATGTTTAATGCTTAATTATTTTTTAAAAAAGGAGTGACATGATAGCAGTCTTCCAATATCTCATGCGCATATATCTCTTATATATGCATTTGTTTTATCTTTGGCTGTACACCGCCCTGAGTCCTTTGGGAGAAGGGCGGTATAAAAATTAGATTAAATAAATAAATAAATAAATAAATAAATAAATAAATAAATAAATAAATGGGCTGCCCCAAAGAAGAGGGAGTCAAACTATTCTCCAAAGCACCTGAGGGCAGGTCAAGAAGCGATGGGTGGAAACTCATCAAGGAGAGAAGCAACCTAGAACTAAGGAGAAATTTCCTGACAATTAGAATTCAATGGAACAATTTGCCTCCTGAAGTTGTAAATGCTCCAACACTGGAAGTTTTTAAGAAGAGGTTGGATCACCATTCATCTGAAATGGTGTAGGTTTTCCTGCCAAAGCAGGGGGTTGGACTAGAAGACCTCCAAGGTCCCTTCCAACTCTGTGATTCTAATGTCTGAATAGCAAATACGAAAGCTTTGTTAGGAAGAAACGAAAGAGAGATGCTTCATTGCTCAACTGATGTCAGGAAGGGATGAAACTATGAAGCTGACAGCTTCTCCGAAAACGTTGAGTTTGAACGAGGAAATTCCTGCTTCACCATTCAGCTGTACAACTATTCTTCTACACCAGGTTAACACCAGGCCTTGGACCTCTGCCTGCTATTTCCTGTGCCAATCCAACGTATTTTTAGGATGGCGTATTATTCTTGACTTGGCTTGCCATGGCAGGGCCAGCCTCTAAGAAGGAATAGGCCAGGAGAAGAGGGATAAATAAACAACTAGAGGACAGAGAAAGCCAGCTCAAAATCTAAACTATCATGAATGTCAATTAAAACAACATTGAGTTAATTAAATCCAATCCCTAAACCATTTTTTCATATGTCCCCCACCTTCTGAGATGGCAGAAAAATGGACCTGAGAAGGCAACACACCCAAAGGTGCTAGGTACAAATTGGGCTTTCCTGCTTTGAGTGAGATTGCGTTGAAAACATACCCCAACTCTTGACTGTCTCTGCAACACTCTGGATGGCCGAGCGGAGGCCGCTTGGGTCAGGGGCTGGCAGTCACCGGGGGCCGGAGAAGGCAGCTGAGAACATGGCTTCCTGGTAGAACTTCCTGGATCTGTTAAAAAGGAGAAGAGGTCAAAAGCGGAAGGAAATAACCCTTGCTGGGCTGAGGCTAGAAAAATAGCTATAATGGGTCAAATGAAAGCCCCACATCCTTTGAACTCCAATTGAAAACTCCTTGAGGGGCGTTTCTCAACTTTAACCATTTTAAGAGGGGTGGACATTAACTCCCAGGATTCCCCAGCCAGTAGATCATAGTTTCTTGTTAAACAGGGCTTGATTCCTGGGCCACAACCTCACACTAAGGTAAAGGTAAAGGTTCCCCTCGCACATATGTGCTAGTCGTTCCCGATTCTAGGGGCAGTGCTTTCAAAGCCGAAGAGCCAGCGCTGTCCGAAGACGTCTCCATGGTCATGTAGCTGGCATGACTCAACGCCAAAGGCGCACGGAACGCTGTTCCCTTCCCACCAAAGGGGGTCCCTCTTTTTCTACTTGCATTTTTTACGTGCTTTCGAACTGCTAGGTTGGCAGAAGCTGGGACAAGTCACGGGAGCTCACCCCATTCCACAGCACTAGGGATTCGAACCGCCGAACAGCCGACCTTTCGATCGATAAGTTCAGCATCTTAGCCCCTGAGCCACCGTGTCCCACTTATCTCATGTTAGGGTCTTCCTAAAGGGGGAACAATATTCAGAACCAGGTATTATGGCCCTATCGGATCCTGGTTCGGAGGAGGAGGAGTTGGAATCAGGACCCTCCGACGGGGATGGCACGTCTCCCTTGGCATTTTGGAGAGTCCAGGGGCTGAGGATGATGCTGCCCCAGCCCCTCAAGCATTGGGGGAGGTGGTGAGCTGGATAGAGAGCTGCCTGCCCTCACAGACATGGGAGAGGATCGGCTGCAGACACTCAGGGGTGTCGAGAGGGCAGCAGATCCCCTCTGATGAGGAACAGCTGCCTTCCCCACTGATCTGAGGACACGGAGAGTAGAGCGGAGGCGAGGAGGTCTGCAAGGTTGCTCGGGAGAAGGTTGCTACACCTCTCCTCACAAGGAAAACTGGTGTGTGTTGACTTAAGTAGAAGCTGGGGGATTTTGCCTTTGTTGGGAACAATTGCTTGCTTTGGAACAACTCGGTTTGTGTTTCTGCCTTGACTCTAGACCTTGCCCCGTAAGCTCGGACCTTCTCTTTGGACTTCCTTTCTGCTTTTGTTTTGTTGTTCCCTGGTTTGGGGATTGAGGCAGGGGTGGGATTGAGGCAGGGGTGAAATCTATATACCTTCCTTACCGGTTCATCACATGCATGCACAGACCTTCTGCACATGCGCAGAAGGTAAAGAACGACACCCAGGCGGGTGGGCAGAGCTTCGCTCCGCCATCGCTACCGCATCGCCGAACCACCTGCCATGATCGCTACCAGATCGCTCGATCCAGTCTGAACCGGGAGCATTTCACCCCTGGATTGAGGTCAGCTGTCTTCAGGAAAGCGTGGGGTGGAATCTTCGTCTACATGACCTGGGCAGCGGTGGATTTCCAATATTCTTACCACCGGTTCGTTGCGCGCATGTGCACTTCCATGCAAGCACCCGGCCTTGAAAACATGCCTAAATAGGATGGCATAGAGCCTGGGCAGGTGGGAAGTCCACCCGCAATCTCCGCTACCGGTTCACACAAACCGGTACGAACCGGCTGAATACCACCTCTGGACCAGGGTCACAACACCTGGGCTTAAAAAAAGCCTCTCCCTGTCCCAGCCTTCGGAAGGGGAAAAAAATGTGTGTTGCTAAGTAGAACAGCTTTCAGCATCATATGGTGAGCCATTTCGGAAGGAGGGAAGTGTGGGTGGTTTATAAGTGTGGAGTCCACGTGTCATCCTCTCCGTCAACCAGATGGTCTCACAGATTGCGTGAGTTGGAGAGGTATCTAGTCCAGTCCTGTTCCGGGCAGGAATTCACTAAAGCAGCATTTCTCAATTTTAACCATTTTAAGATAGGTGGACCGATCATCCATCCATCCATCTATGGTATCTGTGCCTCCCTCCCCCCATCCATGTTATATGTCTATCTATCCATCTATCATCCATCCATCAATTCATCAATTCATGTTATCTATCTGTCTGCCTGCCATCCATCCATCCATCCATCCATCCATCCATCCATCCATCCATGCTATCTGTTTGTCTCCCTCCCTTCCCCCATCCATGTTATATGTCTGTCCATCCATCTATCCATCTATCACCCATCCATCAATTCATCCATGCATGTTATCTATCTGTCCGTCCATCCAAGAAATGGACATCAGAACACATTGGCCAAGAAATAAATCAGCACTTGAGAAAGAGGCCCATTCAGCTTTATCTGTTTCTGTTTTCAGGTATCAGATTATAACCTTCAACATTTTTCATTCAGTGTCACAGGTGTTCTTGCCACCCCCAGAGGTATCAATATATAAACCTCAACTGGTGGGACAGGATGGGGCCCTCTGGAAGGTCTGCCATCTGTTTCACACCAAGCAGGACAACATAAAATCTATTCAGATACGCTTAGGAAGCCTCAATCCTTTCCTATATTCTTCAACTCGCTCTGAATCTTGTTAAAATCTAGCATCTGTTCAGTAGGATTCCACTGTTTGCATCTCCTAACGCTTTTAGCTTTAAATAAAGATTTCATTGTGCATTACCAGCCCGACCATATCATGTTAAGCGGATTCTTGCCAAATCCTCCAAGAATGATCTAAACAGTAGAGAAACAGTAGAGAAAATACTGACACATGCATTTTACTCATGCATTTTACATTAGCAGTCCAATGCTGAGAAAGGAAGGAAGGAAGGAAGGAAGGAAGGAAGGAAGGAAGGAAGGAAGGAAGGAAGGAAGGAAGGAAGGATGGGAAAAAAAGAAAGAAAGAAAGAAAGAAAGGAAGAAAGAAAGAAAGAAAGAAAGAAAGAAAGAAAGAAAGAAAGAAAGAAAGAAAGAAAAGATTCATTTTGACAAAGAAAGAGGAAGGAAGGAAGGGAAAGAAGGAAGATTCATTTTGAGGAATGAAGAAAGAAAGAAAGGAAGGAAGAAAAAAAGAAAAGATTCATTTTGACAAAGGAAGGAAGGAAGAAAAGATAGACACAGAAGGAAGGAGGGAAAGAAAAAAGAAATATTAATTTTGAGGAAGGAAAGAAGGAAGGAAAGAAGGAGAAAGAAAAGAAAAGAATGAATAGGATACGAGAAAAGAACAAAACTGGAACATACTTTCATCTTTGAAAAAGAATGAGCAGCAGTTTCTATAGGAACAGCCGCATTTTTCTTCTATTGTTCTTCTGCAAATAGATGGGGCTGGGAGGGGGGGGGGTATGTGTAGATGCCCCACATTGTCAAGATAAAGTCTCTTTCAAGCCTCGCTTGTCTCGTGAGTCCTCTGTGGACATGTCCTTGGCTTTTATTTAGCAACAACATGGAAAGTTTGCCTCTGTCTTCTCTCAATGTTTTCCCCGCCTCCCAGAGCTGGCCCACAGCCCCGAGATATTGCGGCCGCATGCAAACCCGGCTTAGCTTTTTGAAACTAGCTACGGTTGGCTTCAGCGAGCTGCCCCACCTGGAGAAAAAAAATCTCTGGAGCTCAGAGCAAAGCTGGGAAACGAAAGGCAAGAGACATTTGCAGGAAAATATTGTGACATCCTCTTTTTTTTCTGCCTTACCTTCCGTGGCTTTGTTGAGAGACGAAAGGGCAGTCAATACCTTGGTGAAGTTTTCTCCGGAGTAGAGATCGTGGGCATCAAACAGCTGAGAGAAAGACGACAAAAGAAGAAGAAGAAGAAACATCATGGCAAAGAAACCTTTGCAGTTTAAGAATATCGTGTTTCCCCCCAAAATAAGACCGGGTCTTATATTAATTTTTGCTCCAAAAGACGCATTGTGGCTTATTTTCCTATTAAGTCTTATTTTGGGGGAAATACAGTACTAAACGCCTCTGTCCATTGATGATCTTAACTGGGGCTTATTTTTGGGGTAGGGCTTATATTACGAACATCCTGAAAAATCATGCTAGGGCTTATTTTCTGGTTGGCTCTTATTTTCAGGGAAACACGGTAGAATAGAATATAATTCTTTATTGGCCAAGTGTGATTGGACACACAGAGAATTTGTCTTTGGTGCATAAGCTCTCAGTGTATATAAAGAATACATTCATCAAGAATCATAAGATACAACACTTAGGGATAGTCATAGGATATTAAATAAGCAATCAAAATCATACTAGGAAACTAAATAAAACAACATAAATCGTAAAGATACAAGCAGCAAGGTTATAGTCATAAGTAGAAGGAGATAGGTAATAGGAAGGATGAGAAGAATGGTAGTAACACAGTCTTAGTAAATAGAATTTATGAATGTAATTTAGGAAACGCAATCCAAACATTTAGAGTTGTTTCAGTTGCTGTGAGTATGCAAAGCTCCATGTTTAGGGGCAGTCTACTTTGCAATTCCTGTTGCTAAGGCCGGAGGCTACAGAAAGAGCCCTCTTGGTGAGCTTGTTGTGGCCTGTCAGCAGCCAGCAGAGCTGGCAGCAGATTTGGACAGTGAGGAGGTTGGGGAGGAACGTGGGCCAGTCCTGGAGTCTGGGGAAGGCTCTGATGAGGGCTCTGCGTCGGAGGAAGAGAGGGAGCCAGGGCCGTATGCCAGTTATCAGCTGCCTTTGGAGTCAGACATCAGTGAGGCAGAGGAACAGCTGGATCCTGTTCCCAGTGTGTGCATGCGCAGAGTTGCCAGACAAGGGAACAGCTAAAGAACAAGGGTTGACTTGGGAGTAAAGCCACAGGTGGACGATGAATGGCCCCTCCCAGAGGGAATAAAAGAGGAGCAACAGGGGACTGGAGTTTGCAGGAGACAATTAGTTTGCTTAATTGGTTCGTGACTCTCCGAGACTCCTTGCCAAGTTTTGAAGATATCGGCCTGGCAGCTCTCCAAGCCAGATAAGGTCTGTGACTGTAAATTCTCCCTTGAAAGACTTTGCTGGATGTGAATGAGAGAAATTCACAGTAACTTAATAAAAAGGGTTTTTTGTCGGAACAAGGAGTCTGCTTCGTGGTTTGGGGAAGCCTAGGTCAGAACAAAGCTTCCTAGAGATATTGGCTAGCAACAGGGGCTACTGGGCCACCCCAAACCTTCACTTTCTAATTATCAACCCAGCTTTCCCAACCCTCCAGATGTGCAGACTTCGATTCCCAAAATCCTTGACTACAGGAGTGGAGAATGCTGGGATTTTCTCAAAAACAACTGAACAGCCACATCAATCAGCCAATCCCAATACTTTTAACACAGAACCATTCTGGCTTTCATTTTGGGGTGGGTGGGTATAGATTTGTTTGAATTTTCCGCATTTTTTTCCCCCTCTGTCTGGTAGCAACCGGTTGGCTTTGGTGCATTTTTGCTCCTTAAAATAGAGGTATGCAGAGTTCATTCAAGCAAACGGCTTCTCCCCCATCTTCCAGAAAGACTGTTTTACTAAAGCGAGTTAAATTTTAAAAGTAACTTTTTTTTCCCTTTACGTCAGCTGTTTTGCAGCTGACCCCCACCCGCCCAAAAAACGCTATGCTTCTGTGGTTTGCTTTACTTACCCGGCCAACCCAGAGCTATTCTGTGGCCTGAAGACTATAATTTAGAGTTCTAAAGAAGGGAATAGGAGTTTGTTTATTCGAACAACGGTTTGCAAGGCCAAACTATAATCTGTGCCACTCCATGATTCTGGATTGTGGTCCATATCTTCTCTGGAAGTTTGAGTATCGGAGGTATCTGGGACTTTATTATCAGAGGCAGCATTTATGGCCGATTTATGGCAGGATCGGTGCATGGTCTGGGAGGGATCCATTTTGTTCTTGCAAACAAGTATAGTCCGTTTTTCCCAAGATTATTATCTACCCAAGACAGCACACCATTAAATACGCACTCAGATACCGATGCAATCAGAAACAAAATCACAGAGCAGTATTCCAGGGTTTGAAATAATCACATGCATAGTATTTGAGGGGCTGCCACAAAGAAGAGGGGGTCAGCTTATCCTCCAAAGCACCAGAAGGCACGAGAAGAAGCAATGGATGGAAACGAATCAAGGAGAAAAGCAAACCTGGAATTAAGGAGAAATTTCCTGACAGTGAGAACAATTAACCGGTGGAACAGCTTGCCACCAGAAGTTGTGGGTGCTCCAACACTGGAGGTTTTTAAAAAAGAGACTGGAGAGTCATTTGTCCAGAATAGTATAGGATCTCTTGTTTGAGCAGAGGGCTGGACTAGTAGACCTCCAAGATCCCTTCCAGCTCTATTCTATTCTATGATTTCTCCTGTTAAGACGGACCAGGGATAGAATGTGCAACAGCAGTAGAAATGACTAAGGAAAGGCCTTGGGGGGGGGGGAACCTTTTAAAACAAGGGGGGAGAGGAAGGGACACCATCTGTGGCAGCCAGCATGGCATGCATCATTTCATAAGAGGCATTCCACCGTGTGCACAATTGGAAAAATTTCCTTTTTCTTCTCCCAAAACATATTATTGGTAGCCTATATTTATGGAAGAATCACCGCCCCTACAGGAGATTAATCATGCTCAGGTTATAAATGGCATCACGTCTACCATCCAACACAGATCCCATCCCACCCAACCCAACCCAACCCAGAATGCCTGGATAGCTCAACAGACAGAGCACTGTAATTTAACACCAGCTGCCTGCAATTAAAGTAAGATCGAATCTCGCCAGGCTCAAGGTTGACTCAGCCTTCCATCCTTTCTAAGGTAGGTAAATTGAGGACCCAGTTTGTGGGGGGCAATAAGCTGATTTTGTATAAATATACAAAAGTATGAAGGCTATTGCTTAACGCATTGTAAGCTGCCCTGAGTCTCCGGAAAGGGGCAGCATATACATCAAATTAAAAAAAAAAAAAAAGAATTTATCTTCATTTATAGTCAGAAAGGTCCTCGCTATGGATCTAAAGACATTTTGCTGATTTACCTGTCTGCGTAAGCAGCCAAATTCCCTTAAAACCAACCAATTTCTCTGTTCGACAGAATGCTTTCAAAAGCAAGCAAAAAGAGAAGCAGCAAATGATCGTTTTAATCCTACACTTTGCATTCGGGGTTTCCAGAAGTGAAAAAGAAAGATTAGGCAGTCGGGGGGGGAGACAAAAATGGCGATGCCTTCTTGGAAGGAAAGCAACGTGGGTAACAGAGAGTTGGAAGGGACCTTGTAGGTCATCTAGTCCAACCCCCTGCCCAAGCAGGAGAGACCCTACATCTGCCTCTACCTAGGATTGAACTCACAACCTCCTGATTGTGAGGCAAGAGCTCCGCCTCTAGAAAAGAGATCTCGTGGGGAGGGAGGGGAGAGTGGCAGATTGGGACCTAGAGAGCCACAGAAGGAAGAACCTCGTGGAAGGAGCTGCTAGGCCTCACCCAGGCCCACCTGGAAGATCTTCTGATGTCCTCCAGAACTTACAAGTCAATCGAAGAGCATGTAGGCAAAACTGAAACCATGGTGGATCTTCCCCACTTGAATGTGTGGGCCTGCCCCCTCCCTCTCTTAAAGAAGCAAGTTCTTCCTGGTTTAAGTGTCTAGAGCAGGGGGGGGGCTCCAAACTTGGCAATTTTAAGACTTGGCTGGCTGGGGGATTGCGGGAGTTGAAGTCCACAAGTCTTAAAAGTTCCCATGTTTGGGCTTTGAATAGCTCCTCTTTCTGCAACTTCTTCCCTCCTCCCAAGAAAAGACATTATTTATTTATTGTTTATTTATTGGTTCGATTTATATGCTGCCTTTCTCCAGAGACTCAGGACGGCTTACAATGCGTTAAGCAATAGCCTTCATACTTTTGTATATACCTGCTTAGTAGGGCTTTCGGCCCCCCCCCAAAGCGGTGTTCTTTTTTTTATACAAAGTCAGCTTATTGCCCCCACAATCTGGGTCCTCATTTCACCTACCTCGGAAGGATGGAAGGCTGAGTCAACCTTGAGCCTGGTGAGATTTGAACTCTGCAGTAATTGCAGGCAGCTGCTGTTAGTTAACAGCACTTTAGTCTGCTGCGCCACCAAGGCTCTTTTGTGCAACTGTTCCAGTTTTTTCACCCTTCAAGGGTCCCAAATGCCCCTTCCGGACTTTTGATTGCCAATCACCTTGCCTGCTCTTACAGCGAGATCTAGCCCCCCCCCCTCCCCGCAGCCCCTTCCCTCTATTCTCCCCCTTGTTTCTTCTGCCTCTTGGCTCCCAAAAATGCAATTTTGGGTTAAGGCGGAGAAATCATTAAGCTGTTTCTGGACCCCGACAGCAGAATTCCCAACTTGACCTCTAAGAGGTGCAGAGTCAGACTGACCGGATGGATGGCAGGTCATTAAGCAAGGACCAAGGAGCCCTTCCAGCTGGAAGTCCCCCTCCAACCCCCAACCCCCCCCATGGATGGAGAGCAAAGCGGAGGAGGATGGGCCTGGAGGTTAAACCACCCGGCAAATTGGATCGGGAGGCACCCCAGGACTACGGCACAGCTGCATCCGGCAAGAGGACGCCCTCCAGATGTGGAAGAGGGGGGGGAGGGAGTCCCCGCGGCTGCCCTCCTCGGGCTGCTGGGGCTCGCCTTGCAACATCTGGAGGGCATCGCAAAAAGACTCAGGGGACCCTTCCTTGGGGAAGACACGGGACAAGAGCTCCGCCGCAGCCGACTTCTTCTCCCTTGGGACCCTCGGGGGAGGGGGGCGCCCCCCGAAAACCGGCCCAACGGAGGGCCAAAGGAAAGGAAAACTTGGCAAGGAAGGAGGGAGCGTCTTACCTGCGCTGGGGAAAGCAAGAGCTGCAGGCCCCGGGAAGGAACGGAGCAGGGCCAGGGGCGCACCGGGGAGCCCCTGCGCGGGTCGAGAGAGGCGCGGAGGGGATGCGCAGCTGGAGGAGGAGGAGGAGGAAGAGAAAGAGGAGGAGGAGGAGGAAGAAGACGGGAAGGAGGAAGAGGAGGAGGAGGGGAAAGAAGAAGAAGAGGAGGAGGAAGAGGAGGAGGAAGAAGAAGAGAAAGACTCGCCCGTCCGTCCGGTGGCTCAAGAGCTGCGCTGCGCTGCGCTCCGTCTGCCTGCCTGGCTGCGATCGCGGAGCCCCGTTGGGCAGGGACGGCCTGACCCGGAGCTGGATCGCAGGCGGGCGGCGCAAAGCAGGGGAAGTGACAGGCGGCGGGAGCGGGAGGCAGCCAGCCAGCCAGCCAGGCAGGGGTGATGCTCCGGAGCGCCCCCTCCGCGCCGCTTGCTTCGACTGCCGGGCAGCGCCCTCGCTTGCCTTCTCCGGAGCCGGCCTTTCCCCCACCCCACCCACTTGCGTCAAGGCGGGCAGGGGGCTCCGCGGGCTCCCGTTCACCTCCCCCAGCCCGGGCGGGGTGATGATGATGATGATGATGATGATGGTAGTAGTGATATCTGCGGGGACTTGGATGGGAAAAATGCCCCCCACCCACCCCCAAGTCCCTGCCGCTCTGCCAAGCGAGCAAAGCTGTTTTACAACAACCTCGCTAGGTAGGACAAGCAGGGAGAGACCCCCTCCTCCCCTTTCCAGGGCGCCACGAACCCCCCCCCCCGCTTAGAGACCAGTCTTTCAACCGGGTCGTTGCCCCGGATCTGCAAACACGGACAGCCCGGGGGAGGGAGGGAGGGAGGCAGGGGATCAGGCTGCCGGCCGTTTAGCAATGAGCAGCTGGTTTCGGCCGAAACTCTCGTTTCGGCGGCGGTTTGGGATTGTAGAGAGAAGCCCGAGAAAGGGAAGCGGCTCCGGCGTTGCAAAATGTCATGTAACGTTACCCCTCCTGGAGGTGCTCAGTCCGGCAGAAGCGAACTTCTGTTTGTGGGGTGGGGGGTGGGGAGATCTCCGTTGGAACTCCCTGCCACTCGACTCAGCTGCCTGTTGCCCAGCCTGGCAGGCAATCGGAGTTTTTTTTTTTTTTTTAATTTGATTTATATGCCGCCCTTCTCCGGAGAGTCAGGGCGGCTTACAATGCGCTAAGCAATAGCCTTCATATTTTTGTATATTTATACAGTCAGCTTATTGCCCCCACAAACTGGGTCCTCAATTTACCTACCTTTGAAAGGATGGAAGGCTGAGTCAACCTTGAGCCTGGCGAGATTCGAACCTGCAGTAATTGCAGGTCTTAATAACAGGGTGCTTTAGACCACTGTACTACCAAGGCTCCTGCAGGAGTTAGACTTCTGCAAGGGGGGGGAGGGGAGAGGAGGGGATTCATGATCTACTTGGCAGCCGGGAAAGTAACTGGGTGGGTGGGTGAGATACAGGCGGTGCCCCTTGGAAGCTGGTATTTTTCACCACGACCCCCCCCCCCAATTATCTCGCCTAAGCCCCGGCTCAATGACAACCAGATGGAATCCAGACATCTGCTTCGGCTTTGCCCCTCCTGGCTCTGGGGCAGGAACTGAATCATTACCCAGACACAATCTGCCGCCGGGAACAATGGGAGTGGGCTGCGAAATCCCCTCCCCAGACTCACAAATGACACCTGGTGGGAGTTGGCAGTGCAGAGAGAGCTGCAACCACCGGATTTTTCTATTGTGGTATTCCTCTCTTCCATGCCCTCCCACCCCAACCGACCCCCCCCGTGTCTCCCCCTCCCCAGATGTGTCTGTAAACCCAGGAAGCGGAGCGAGGACAGGGAGGGGGCAGGGGGAAAAGAAAAAAAGCCGCCTTAAAGATAAGGTAGACAGAAGGAGACAAGACCGGGAAAAGGCGGCTCGCCCTTGGGAAGCCTAAAACCTGACATTCTGGTTCTTGCATTAGCTGGACTCCGGAGAAGTGTCGAATTGGTGCCACGGCAGGGAAGAAGAGCCTGGGAGAATGTCTGAACTCGGAATTGGCCTGGCTACGAGAGAGTCACAGGACTGGGGAGCTGCTTCCGAGGCTGGAGATTGTCCGGGTTCAGAGAAATCCTCCCCAGTCCCAGCTCTCTCTTGTCCATCCATCCGTCCATCCGTCCATCTATCTATCTATCTATCTATCTATCTATCTATCTATCTATCTATCCATACATACATACATATCTGTCCATCTGTCCATCCACATCTATCTATCCAGGCATCCATCCATCCACCCACCCACTCATCCATATCTATATCTATCTATCTATCTATCTATCTATCTATCTATCTATCTATCTATCTATCTATCTATCTATCTATCCTGTTTCCCCTAAAATAAGACACCCCCTGATTATAAGCCCAATCGGGCTTTTGAGCACATGCGCTAAAATAACACCCCCCTCCGAAAATAAGCCCTCCCCGAAAATATTTACATGCATGCACAGCTGGTCCCCACCATTTCCTCTGTTTAGGGTTAGGGAGACAGAGCTGGAAATCAGGTAAGACGGCAAGAGGAGCCCCGTCTTGTTCCATACACCCCAAAATAATAAGACATCCCTGAAAATAAGGCCAAGCACTTATTTTGGGGTTCAAAAAAATATAAGACAGGGTCTTATTTTCGGGGAAACACAGTATCTATCTATCTATCTATCTATCTATCTATCTATCTATCTATCTATCTATTATCTCTATCAGTATCTATCTACCTACCTACCTAACCCATCTATCATTTCTCTCTCATCTATCTATCTATCTATCTATCTATCTATCTATCTATCTATCTATCTATCTATCTATCTATCTATCGGTATCTATCAGTATCTATCTACCTACCTACCTACCTACCTAACCCATCTATCATTTCTCTCTCTCATCTATCTATCTATCTATCTATCTATCTATCTATCTATCTATCTATCTATCTATCTATCTATCTATCTCTATCAGTAACTATCTACCTACCTACCTACCTAACCCATCTATCATTTCTCTCTCATCTATCTATATCTATCTATCTATCTATCTATCTATCTATCTATCTATCTATCTATCTATCTATCAGTATCTATCTACCTACCTACCTACCTAACCCATCTATCATTTCTCTCTCTCATCTATCTATATCTATCTATCTATCTATCTATCTATCTATCTATCTATCTATCTATCTATCTATCTATCTATCATCTATCTATCTATCTATCTATCTATCTATCTATCTATCTATCATCTATCTAATCTATGTATCTTACTTTGCAAAACGTATTGGAGTCAGTTGCTGGTTATTTCCAATGAAAGGCCAAGGCTGGGAATAAACTCCTTTTGCAAACCAAAATGGACTTATATAATTTCGCAGATGGAGGACAAAGCATGGCTGGCCCTCTACAGCAGCCACACACACAATCCTCCGTCTTTCTTCAACCCAAGGAAGACACCCCTCAAGGGGTACCATTGGGTCAGGGCATCCGGTTGCAGCAGCTCTTCCTTACCACCTCCATGCCCACCCACCCACCGCCTATCCATCCAGACCCTTCCCGGCGCTGTTATCCGTTGCCGCTTACCTCCACTTTCAACGCTGCACACCCATTTAAAAACTGTTGGATATTGCCAAGGCAGTCGGCTTCCGTCTTGGGCTCTAGGCAATACTAAAAAAGAATCAAAATTTGACAGTCAACAGATTTGGAAGCTTGTGACAACTCCTGTCAGCTGGTTCACTTTTGTTCTCAAAGAACATTACCCTAGTGTTTGTACGAAGGAAGGAGACAGCTTGGTGCTCACTGGATTTTCACAAGAAGATGGGCTGTGGGTGGGCGGGGGAAGGGGGGGGAAAGACAAGCTGTCAGCTCAGGAAGAACCGTGGAACAAATGAACCCAAAGCCACCCAGCGATTAGGACTTGGTGCTGAAGGCTGGCCCCATAAGATGCCCTCTTGCTAGGAAGAGAAAGATTGTTGGAGATGAAGACATGTGAACTGGAAGGACAGATCCCTCTGCAGAGCAATTCTGGGAATCTTTATGGGTGATGGACCAAGTGGATTCAACCTAGAAATAAGGAGAGATTTTCTCACCGTGAGAACCATCAACCCATGGAACAGAAGTTGCCTTCGGAAGTTGTGGGAGCTTCATCCCTGGAGGCTTTCAAGAAGAGATTGGACTGCCATCCGTCAGAAATGGTGTAGGGTTCTCCTGCTTGGACTAGATGACCTACAAGGTCCCTTCCAACTCTGTTAATCTATCTATCTATCTATCTATCTATCTATCTATCTATCTATCTATCTATCTATCTATCTATCTATCACCTATCTTTAGCGTTAATGGAGAAGGTCTTCTGCAGAGAGCTAGCCAAGACAAGTGAGAACCTGCAAGTCCTTCAAGAAGGAGAAGGATCCTCTCAAGGGAAAGAGTAATTTCTTAGGTGGCTTCTGACCTGCTTGGTTGATTCAGTTGGGCTTCTTGGAAGCCAGTTGGATAGATGCTACACAAGAGACTTTGTCTCTGCTGCACCAGGCTATTGCTTAGCCTAATTTCAGGTGATAATGGCAATCTTTAAAGCCAGGTATGGAGTCTTGTATTTCAAAGACTTGCTCCCATGCAAATGTGATCCTTAAAACTGTTACAGCTGCATTTGGACGAGGGTTGGCTAACCTTCCAATTATAATTCTGGTCTTTCTGGTTTTGTTGCTCTGGTGGATTTTCTTTTTCTTCTTTTGTTTTCTTGAGAAACGGGGAAGTTCTTTGAAGAGAAGAAATGCGCATAACAACTCAACTCAGATGGAATAAATCACCTGAAACTGTCTTCCGAAGCCCACGAGGACCTCTCGGAACCTGAAAAACATCCTGCTTCCTTTGCTAGGATGCCGTTTCTGAAAGGCATTTCTGAAGAACTGCCACGAAAGGGAAAAAAAAAAAAGAGGTTGAGTGAAGGCTGTTTCGTTTATGGGGAAATTGTGTTCAATTCTTTTGCTTTGTTGCTGCTCTTAGGATTTCCTGCTTTACTGATTGAAGCACCGATGATGGACTTGCCTCTGGCCATAACAGTCATGGTTTAGAACAGCAGTCCCAACTGGTGGTCCGTGAGAAAATTTTGGTGGTCCACAGAAAAATTATTTGCATTTCACTAAATCAGGGGTCCTCAAACTACAGCCCCTGGGCTGGCCGGATACATTCAATGAACGTTTGTGTTGCTGCAGAGAGTCACCCCCTTTGGGGTCTTTTTGTGCGGGTCGGAGGGGGGGGGCAGAAATTCCGACTTGGGCTCAGCTTCGGCCTCCTGGTGGGGCTTTGGGCAAAGGCTGGAGGGAAGTGCCACTGGTGGCGAAGAGGGACAGTGGGACAGTTCCAGTGGGACTGCATCATGGCCTGGAACTGGCTGACTATCTCAGCCTGCTGAGCCTCCAGGTGCTGGTACCTGGCCTTGCACTCCCGCAGGACTTCCCTCTGCTTGGAAAGCCTATGCTCCTAGTCCTCAGTGAGGTGCTTCTGCTGAGCCTCCTTCTCGGTCAGATCCAATTTGACCTGTTTTGCCAACTCTTTCTCCTGGTGGCTGCTTAGCTCCAACAGTTGCTTCCTGTTGGGGCTCTAAGGAGCCTGGGCAGGGAGGCGAGGGGTGAGGGCGCTGGCGAGGTGCCTCTCGAAGTGACATTGAGGTGGCCATGCCCACCCAGTCACGTGACCACCTAGCCACACCCACCCAAGCGGTCATTAGGCAGATCATATTAGTGGTCTGTGGAATTTAAAATTATGAATTTATTGGTCCCTGAGGTCCGAAAGGTTGGTGACCTCTAGTTTAGAAGGATGTTTTCCAAAAGACGGACATAAGATGAGTTAAGACTGTTTCAGAAATAAATAGATTTACATTAAGCCTCTGCATTTGCCTAGCTTGCATATTGATCTGTCCAAACTGCAGATATGTTAAAACTCCAATTCTCACACAGCCCTCCATTATCTCTATGTTGGGGTTTAGATTCACGGGGAGCTCAGCTGACATCACTGTCAATCATCCGGGCAGAGGAGTTTCTCACATCCAGTTGCATCACTGCGTGTTTTAAAACGCAGCTCCTTGAATAAAATCCCCCTTTTTGCTAGCAGAGTGATGCCTAAAAACTCAGTCACTGTTTACAAGTCACAGGGGACTTCCCAGGATGGCTAACCCATAATTTCTAGATATAGATTCACATGCTGAGACTGGGATCCAAACGCAACAGCTTCAGGGCAGCAAACGTGAAGAAGAGGGATCGATTTGCAGCAGGCCTGAGTCAGCGTTTTGCAAACGAATGGCCCCCCCCTCTAACGCCGAGCTTTTCTGCTAAAAATAAAAAGGAGATTTTACTCTCAACGATTCTGGTTCAGCAGATCCAAAGGAAGATGGCTTGTCTGAAGTCAGATAATGACTCTGTCCTTCAGGAGCCCTTGAGCACTTCAGAACTGTCACAGAACCAGGGACGTCGGATTCCCAAATCATAGTTCCTGGTTTTCGAGCAGAGCTCAACGTAAGAAAGGACTTGCGAAGTGCAGGGATGAGGAGACCGAAGGAGACAGGGATTGTCCTTCTGTGCATTACATACTTTTTTTTTTTTAAAAAAAGCTTTTAAAATGATTGTTTATATCCCACCTTTCTTATGCTGGTTCTAATGACCGCAAGGAAGATTGAATGGATTGAGCTGCGCAAGTAAATCTGGAATCGAAATAGAATCACTCTGTGTGCTGTGAGGTTCCATTATGGTTTTTTTTTTATCTTTTTGGGAGGAAAAATAAAATAGCTCTGAAGTTGCCCAAGGGATGCCCAAACTTTTCACATCAAGTCTGCAAGCAGCTGTCTCGTTGAGATTCCTCAAATTCCAGGCCAGGAGTGCACGGCCCTCACCATCGTGCACTTCCTGCCCGTAGATCTTGCTCTTCTCTGCCCCGTGAGAAGCAACATCAGCAGATCTTCCACAGCTAATGAAGCAGTAGCTGAGATCAACAGTCATGTGTGCAGGATGTGGCTGAAAACACAGCAGCGGATTTGAAGCTCCAGGCGGTCAAATGTTGGAATAATCTGTTTTGTTTTTAAACCCAGGCCAATAACACTACAGTACTACTACTACTACTACTACTACTACTACCAGCAGTGCCCCCATCACAGCAGTACATGAGTCCTGTCTTCTTCTTCTTCTTCTTCTTCTTCTTCTTCTTCTTCTTCTTCTTCCTTCTCTTCTTCTTCTTCTTTCTTCTTCTTCTTCTTCTTCTTCTTCTTCTTCTTCTTCTTCTTCTTTCTTCTTCTTCTTCTTCTTCTTCTTCTTCTTTTCTTCTTCCTCTTCCTCTTCCTCTTCCTCCTCCTCCTCCTCCTCCTCCTCCTCCTCCTCCTCCTCCTCCTCCTTCTTCAGAATTGGCTCATTTGGAGTGGTAGGGGAGGAGATCTAGATGGTCGAAGGAGTCTTCTAAATCAGGGACCTTCAAATGTGACAGCTTTTTTTTTTTAAAAAAAGACTTGTGGACTTCAACTCCCAGAATTCCTCAGCCAGCATGAGGAATTCTGGGAGCTGAAGTCCACAAGTCTTAAAAAGTTGCCAAGTTTGGCGATCCCTACTTTAAGCCCTTCTATAGGACAATTCAGAGAGGGAGGCGGTCCACGCAGGTACCCCAAGAAACGCTTCCTTTTTCAAGAGAAAGAAAGGGACTTCCAAGGCAACGCGAAGAGACAACAAACATGGGTTTATTTCTTCCTTCCTTTCTTTCTTTTTGGTGTTTCCCATTTGCCTCTTTCACGTTCCAAATGCTTCTCGGTGGGTCTAAAAGTTCATAGTTCTTCCACTTCTCATTTTCTGCGCATGGATTTCTAAATCCATGTTAATATCCTCTCCCTTATGTCATCCCTCCTTTGAAATCAATAGTCTGGATACAGGAGTGGAAGGAGAGGAAAATATATATATATATATACTGAAATAATTTTTAGGGTCCTGTTTGAGCTGGTGAGTTCTGCCTTGAGCTGTCCTTGAGCCAACGCTTTCAAGAAAATTAATGTTTTGGGTTGGACCCAGGCATTTTCTCTCTTCTTCCCCCTCTAAAAAGGACCTTTTTATATCTCTTGTTATAAATTGGAAACCTCTTCGATTTTGTCTTTGTTATATTCCAGAAACTGGGCAGGCTCTTCCACTAAAAGATTTCTACTGGATTGTAGAATATTTTTGGTTTCTTTGCACCGGTCCAAGATCTTCAAGGCTTCTTACGATTCCCGTGTGATATGAGATCCTGTCCCTACAGTGTTCGGAAGCAGGATATTCCCCCCTACCCCTCCCGACTACATGCAATTAAAATTTACCCCTCGCCACTGAAGAGCAAAATGATTGAAGAGCAATTCTAGCTGGTCTCCAAAAAAGTCCATCTCTTAGCTACCCTTCTTTCTAAAGCAAGCAAATGAAGTCGCGGACTGTCATACCTTTTCGATAGAGCCGGGCAGAAGTCGGAGAAGGAGTTTGCAAAGGACAACTCCGTCTTTCAGAGACGTCTTGAGGAATTGCACGGGGTCCTCAACCATCATTTTGGGGGAATTCAAAGCCCCCAGAGAAATCAACCAAGTCACCGTTCGCTCCTCTGGATTCATGACCGGAGCCTGTTCTGTTCTTAAACTTCTTTTGTGCAACGGTAAAGCCAAACCCACATCCGTGGCTGCATCTTCCTGCTTCTTCTGTGGTGGGTGAAGGAGCAGTTAAAGAGGTTCCCCTATTACCTTCCACCTATAAGAGGACTTTTTTTTGTTGAATACTTTAAAAAAAAAACCAAAAGAACCCAGCAAGAAAGCAACATTTTGAAGTGGCCTGGACTGGAGGAACAAGTTTGTTGCATTTACATCCATCGCCTTATGCAATTACTTCTGCGGAAGAACAAAACAGAACATTCCCACCACCGTCGCAAAATAAAGCAATTAAATTTAACCTTGGACTTCGACTCCCAGAATTCCCCCAGCAAGCCTGCTTGAGGATGGGTAGACTTCAGCTCCCAGAATTCCTAGTCGCCAGGCGTGAGAAAACACTGCCTGCAGTTTGCAATAAATAGTAAAATTTCTCCTAATTCTGTGATGGGTGGTGAGCGGATACTGGAAGTGTGCGAAAACTGGAAGGTTAAAAAAAATTCCCTGCATGAGGAAAATTAAGAATCTTATCAGGGGATAAAGTGTTGTGGCTTCATTTAAATCTTGGTATTTTTTTCTACTGGCAGGGATGGTTTTAAATGTATTAAGAGACTTTTACTGAGCTGTATACATCAGATATCTCTGAAAGATGCATTTTAAAAAAGTAATTTACTTTTTAATGGGGGGGGGGGAGAAGGGAATTATCCACTATTTTAAGTTGCCATCATTCAACTTCAGACTGTGTACAATCTGTGACAATACATACAGGCCAGTCAAGGATTAGAATTCAGTCAAGGATCTGTTAAGGCTTTGAGACTTGTGGACTTTAACTGGGAGTTGAAGTCCACTAGTCTTAGAGGTGCCAAGTTTGAAGACCTCTGTGTTAAGTCATCAATCCATACAATGCCCAAGTAAATCAAATCAAGGTTAAATATTTTAAAAGGTTTACATCTTTTAAGTATAAGATATGAACACTCTTTCAGTGTTATGAAAAGCCCTTCCACATTTGACTGTTTTGTATGTAAAACAATCACAAGCACATAATTTAAAAAAAAGGGAACAGAGTTCACGGATACAGCTGGATTCACACCTTTTAATCCAAAAAGTAGCATCTTGTGATTTTTGAGCCATGAAGGCCAAAAGTGGGCTAACTCTTGGTTTCTGGGAGTTGTGCTCAAATTTCTTTTTTTGGGAGGGCTGTGGTTTGCAGCCCCCCCCCCCAATGATAAAAACTGCAGGGCTTTGGAGTTGTGTTGGTGGATGGCTGCCTTTTGCAAAAGATAAAAAAGGGAAGCCCCTTTATTACTCGCCCTCCTTCCTGTCTTGAAACTGCCACTTGAGCCACTCGAGAGGCAGCTGTGCTGAAGCTTCAAGGTTTGTCTATTTCTGGTTTGTGGTTTTGTGCCAGGCTGCACCCCTCCTCTGAGCCCATGAGCTTCACCAGATGCTGCAGAGCAGGCCAAGAACTGAAAACTGGGTAGGGTCTGAAACTCTGTACAAATTTCACTTTCAAAATTGTTGGGGCTTTTTTAAAAAAGCACTTTGAATACCCGTTTCCCTCTGTGCAATGCTGCAATTCGAAGGGTGGCATAAAATGTTCTGAAGTAAAAGCCAGGTGTCCAGGATGGTGGATCCCCCAGCATATAACGTACAATGTAAGCAGACCCTTAGCTGTTTCACCAGGAACGATTGCACTTTGCCCCCTTTCTGGGCAAGCTGGCCAACTGGCTGAGCAAGAAACGTCCCTTTCACCCACATATTTGTGGGCCAGAGCAGGAAGAGATTCCACCAACGCTTGAGCCCCACATCCCTTCCCACTGGCTTAGGTCTCCCTCTACTGACAATTCTGTTTTGCACACTCCACAAATGCTACGCAATCTTTTTCATTTTTGTTGCAAGTTCTCCTCTTTTAAAATGGAACGATGGCTTTCCCTTAAAAAGATACTTGTTAGATGATTTTTCTTCTGTACATGTGGAATCATTCTGTGAATTTGCATTATTTAAAGCAAAGGATTGTGATCAGACACAAGTTCACCGAAGCAGTAATTGGGTGGGGTCTGGCCCCAAAATGCAGTGTTTTTAGTCACGGAGAAGCCCTAGGACCATACACTGCCCTAAGGCGACAAAATTACTCAATAAACAGGGCCCAATTATACAGAAGTTCTAGAACCTTTTCCTGGGCCATTTCCTCTGCCCCCATCCTTGTGCATTTTGATTACTCCGCAATTGGCCAGAGTTAATGCCACAGTATCTTTCTCTGCCTGTTTTTGCCCATATCTCCAATCTGTTTTAACTGGATTACAGCACCTACCCAAAAGTACTGGCAGGCACATTGTTGGGTCGGCCTGTTCTTGTCTACCTCGTGAGCTTCTATTAGATTGTTTAAAAGCAAAAGGCAGCAGTGTCTACAGTGCAGTTCTATCTCCCTCGGTAGAAAAGCTTAGTTATATCCTTTTTGGAAACCCTTTCAAACTTTGTAATGTGTTCAAAACTACCCGTAACTTAAAAGCCTGCCAGTAAAGTTGGTAATCGAATCAGTAATATTGAATCCGATAAATATTCGAGTAGCCTTTGGCCACTCCTGCGCCAGTTCGTTCTGAAAGCCAGAACTGTTATCACAGACCACTTAATGGTCCACACACAGTAATGAAGAGCTCAGGAGGAAATCAACGCTTTATTGAGAGTTTAGTGAATACAAGGGTCCCAAGTTTCAGCTGTTGAGTGTCTTCCACGATGCGCCAGTTTTGATTTCACCAAAACGTTACCTGTTTCTTAAAATTTATGGCACTAGCTCCTTTTCACAATCGCTTTTCATGAAAAGGGAATTGGTAACTTTACGGACTGTATGAGGTCTCGTTCATATGAGATTTCCCCAAACCATTTATAGATGGCTGCGGCATTCTTGTAAAATCAAAAATTGTTGTTCAACTCATGGCTAAACATCATGCTGAACATGAGGGTTTAATTAATAGTTCTTCTTGGGGAAAAGTTCAGTATTGCAATTGGCCACGTTTTGAAAATCTGCCTCCTGCACTGCTGTCTAGTCTCTTGGCAGTTAAGGAAGACATACACTTCACCTCATCTAACTGAAGGTTTCCCCATTCTATCTCCCGACTCCCCCTTAAATCACAAGCCACAGCTTTTGTTGGATGTCTGCCTGCCAGGATTTCAATCACATTTGTAAGACAGAAATAATTTCCATCTGACATTTAAGACTCTTTATCTCACATACGACCCTTGTCTGTAGTCACAACAGACAATGGCATTTGACTTTCCTGCAAATTGCCTTCTTTAAACTTTATATCCATATTTTGAGTCTGCTTCTTTCTTTGGAGGCCTCCACACAATTCTGTACCTAGAATACAAACATTAGGAGACTGTCAGAACAGAAAGGCTGCCAAAACATGATCGTTAGTATAGACTAGCTAATGCCATTGCCAAAATGAAACAACTCCATAGCACAAAAAGAATCATTTTAGGATCTTTACTTTGTTGCACTTAAAACATACCTGGCTGCTTGCGGTTTCTGAACAAGCTGCCATAAATGACCACGACTCCTCCCTTGTAACACCTTCTCAAGTGACAGATCATCTCTTATGAAATGCTGGGCCTCAACAATAAACAGCTTTCAGCAAAAGCTTAAGAGCTGTCCGCTTACCCTTGTTAAGGTCAACGGAGATATTAGCCCACAAGCACATTAGCTCTCCAGCTGTTTAACAGTTTATATCTCCATTTTTTTTAAAAAAAGGAAGTGATTTAAGAAACTAGCTACACAAAACCTAGGTGCGCGATAATGTCCATTGGGGAAAACCAAGATACCGTGTTTCCCCGAAAATAAGACCCTGCCTTATATTTTTCTGAACCCTGAAATAAGTGCTTGGCCTTATTGCCATGCACTCAAAAGCCCGATTGGACTTATTATGTCTTATTTTGGGGGAAACAAGGTAGTTCCAAGTGCTATTTTGGAAGGTTTCTACTGAATATTCTTTATCCTGTTTCATATGTAACTCCCTCTTTAGAAGTTTTTAACAGAGCACACATCAGCACTTTAACCATATTGGATACAGTATTTATTTTTGACTTTAATAATCAATGTATTTGTTCCCTTTCGCTTGCAAAAGCAACCTTCTCATGGAACGGGGCGTGTTATCAGCCTGTTCAAACTGAACTGTAGAACTAAAAGTTGGGCTAATTCCACAAACCAGCAACGATGAATTTGTCCTACTTCAAGTTTTTTAAAAAAATTGCAAGATATCTGAAACAAGCCTCCCTTACCTCCAAGCTTACCTGCTGCTCTGATGCAGCTCACCGACGTGATGTTCATTCCAACACGTGCACTGCTTTCCGGGTCTCATCTTAAAGGGAACGAGCGTTCAGCCTGCAACAATTACAGACGGTGTAAAGGTTCCGGTGGGCCCAACCGCCCAAACCCACAACCCCCGCCCCCCGAAACAGGAAAAAAAAAACCCCTCAAAAAACCAACAACCTGGGCTTGCCGATTTAGTCTGTCACGATCTAACATTTTACACATTTGAGAGGTGGAAGGTTCATTGGACTGGAATGAACTGGAATGGCTTAGTGAAAAAGTCGCATGGCTTTATGGATTCTGATTTTCTTTCCAATGGTGCTTTTCTCATGGTAAGTCCATTTGACTGGCAAATGTGTTTGGAAGGTTTAGAGGAGGCACTTTTAGCTGGAGGTCTTCAGGTCTTACTACATTTCAACAGCATCTTTTGAACTTCCTGGCCGCACCTGGGTCATGACAACTCGGCCCAGGTACCAAAACTCCCAAACAAGACTACAGTATAAAGAAAAGAAGTCAGGCATCCAACTAAACATCAAGTTCGTAATCATGGCTTGCTTGACATTTCCCAAGCTGTTAACACAGATTTTGGCAATTTAAGCCAAGTTCTGATTGTATTACGGTTTTATATTTCTTAATTAAAAAAATACAAGTAGCTTGCTTTTTTTTTTTATTTTTTATAAATATCTTCATCGAAACATACTGGCCAAAAAAGCAACAGTCCCTCCCAACCCTTTATGGGGACGTTTTGTTTACAAGTTGCTTTCTTAGCATCATTTTCAAAAGCTTTGTGCCATACATATTTTCATCCAAGACAAGGTTATGATGAATTTAGAAGGCTTCGCCTAAGGCTTTCCAGCACAGGTATTTTTTTTTTTTTCCATTTGGCGCTTTCTTTAAAAGCTAGAAAAACTTCCATTGCCATGATGCACAGAATGTCCTACTGTACTACAAAGGACGATAGCTTTGGTTTCACGTTTTGACTTAGACCGAAAAACTAGTTTTTGCTTTGCTTACCATCTTTTGCTGTTTCACGGGCATTTGATGCTTTAAAGCTGTTGTGGGCTGCTGAAAGTTTTCACTTGTTTAATTGAAGCCATGAGCTTTTCAGAGGTTGGTGAGAAAGACTTCTTTGCTTATCTTACTTTTCTCCATTTTGCCTTTGGAGTCAAAGATGTTCCTTTAAAAATGAGACACTACAGGATTGCAAAAATTTGAAACAGTAAGAGCAAGTACGTTCTGCAGCTTCTTGGATGGAATGGGCCAAACCTTTTTTTTTTTTTTTAAACTTACAGAACTCTGCAGCTTGCTTGCTACAGGTTTAATATATTACTGAGGGGGGGGCGAGGTTCTTGCAAATTGCCTAAGGAAATGTGTAGAATGGCACCGTGTACATTCAGCTTTATCCACTGGTGGTTTTGACTTAAAAGGCTGAATGGCATCCTGAATTTTACACAGGACCGGAGACTGGTCATTATTTGGGAGCATCTTTGCATTTCAGAGGACAGTTAATAGTTTTAGGGTTGGCATCCATCCCCACCCCACCCTTCCAACAAATCATCTTGCCTCGACAGAAGGCATGTTTGCATGCGCAGAACGATCCACGGCCATTTTAGATGCATGGGGTGCCTTAGGCTGGCTGTTGCATTGATGAAGTGAGAAGTGTGGCATTTCAGGGTTAACTTTTACTTTGAAAAGGTTACAACACTAGTACATAGGCTCAAAACGGCATACATTAACATCTGCTTTTTGAGAGAAATTATTAACAATTTTGAAATGAAATTAAACATGTTTTTACTCTTTCCTCACAAAAAACATCAGTAATGAAGGGGAACTTAACAAGCAACAATTAAAAAAAAAGTTAAAAACATCGTTTCGGTAGTCCTCTGGATGGGAACGAGATAAAACTTCCACATTCCTTGTGTTGGGGGGAGGAGAAGGAGGAGGAAAAAACTTGATTTGGTCCATGAGTTTCAAAGGTTTTTTAGTATCGGCTTCTGCCTCCACCTCTTTCCGAGCGGCTCCCTCCCCGGCCGCCACCTCGGGGTGCTCCGCGGCTCGAGCTGCTGTAAGAATCGCGTGGCGGAGGGTAGCCCCGTTCCATAGAAGGGGGAAGGCCTCTGTCTTGTCTGCCCACATGGTCTCGGCCACTTGAGTAGACCTCGCTTCTGCTGCTTGAGTAACTCTCTCGACTTCCACCATACCCATCACGGGTGCTTCCGTAATCATCATAGCGACTGCTTCCACCATATGATGGAGGGGGCCCGCGTGCAGGGGGAGCGCTACGTGAGTTACCTGCAGGTTCAATGGTCAGGTAATAGGGCAACACTATAAATCATATCACCACAATTTTACATCTGAGTTTTTAAAAGAAATGCATCAATGGCTTCTCTGACTTTTTTTTTTTTTTTTGGATTTTTAAACTGAGGAGTAGTTTAAATATAATCTCACATTATATTTGGTAGGGGGAAGGATCGGGCAGAGAAGGAATTAAACAGGCTGTTTGAAGATGCTGGTTTTTCACAAAGTAGCTCTTTTTTTTTTGGGATTATTCCAGAACTGCTTGCTATTTTTATAGTAGAAACTCAGCCATTGTTTTTCCAGTGAGAGAGATGCAATTCAGAATTGTTGAACTTTGCTTCGATAGGTTAAGAGAACTGCAATTCAATCGTTTTGTTAAAATAAAAACATTTTTTTACATTTTTTTTCTTCCATTGCAGCAGAGAAACCCATCATGTTAATCCCACCCCCCAGGAGCAGCACTCTAGCGAGTCAAGGAAGAAGCCTAAGACATTCCTTAGAAGCCCTCAAAGTCAGCACTTACCGTAACTCTCATAGGAATCTCTGTAAGAGCCTCCACTGGGATGGTCCGAGTAATCCCGGTCACGCCCTCCATAGCCATCCCGATCGCTGTAGGAGGAATAACTACTAGGATTTAGTACCGAATGTCCAGTGATACCAGAGGCTACCAATAACCTCTCACCGACCAGTACGCTCCCATAGAGAGGGGCTCCTCAGGGTGCCGTCGGCCAAACTGTCGACTGGCGGCCCCCAGGGGGAGAGCCTTCTCTGTGGGGGCACCTACCATCTGGAACGAGCTCCCCCCAGAGATACGTAAGATCCTGGACCTGCGCACGTTTCGCCGTGCTCTCAAAACTTTTCTATTTCAGCAAGCTGGCCTGGCCTAACTCCCATCTTTTTAATTTTTAAATTTTTTAATTCGTGATTTTACAAATTGGGTGTTTTAATCTGTGTTTCGGCCGAAATATTTAATAATTTTAAGGGATTTTTTTAATATTTGTATTATCTGTATTTTATCTTGGCTGTTCACCGCCCTGAGTCCTTCGGGAGTAGGGCGGTATAGAAATTTGATTAATAAATAAATAAATAATAAATAGAAATGAGTTTAGTTTATTCTTGCTTCCATTGATTTGCTTTTCTCTGCATTTCTAAACTATGTTAACATTTTCTCCATCTCTCCTCTACAAAGCATGAGGTATAGCAACAGCTATAGCATTTAGGCTTATATACTGTCCAGGGGTGGGTTCTAAAATTTTTTACTACCAGTTCTGTGGGCATGGCTTGATGATCATGTGACAATTCTTTAGGATTTAGCAGAGGTACTTGTCTACCAGGCTTTTAACTGCTTGCAGAGCTGTACCGGTCTACTCATTTGTTTTTGGAGGCACCGGTCTACCACCAAACTGCCTTTTAACACTGATCAGCTGTAGGGTGGCCTTTTGAAGCCCCTCCGCAAGAGTTTAAAGTTTTTCTCCTTCTAGGCGATCAGCTGGGATTCAGGAGGCAGCAATAGATTGGGGGTGGGGCCAGATAAAAGAATAACCTTGAGCCCCGCCAGGATCAAACTCTAACCAATTCACCACCAGGTTATACAGATGTACACACTAAGTTATGCATGGTCTGCACTGAGATCTTTAAAAGGCTATCAAAGCCAAGCCTGCCATCAATATTTAATTCAAAAAGCGTACTGATCACCAAGTATAGGTATTTCCAGACTTGCAATAATGACGATTGGAATTACCATCCTGAAGTGTGACCCCCTCACTTAGTGTTGGCAATCCGTGCCATCCATGATTTGGTTATGTTGACTGCCTTTATTAATCAAATCCCATGGTTGTTAGGGGAGGCCAAAGACCACAATCCTGCAAGGCTGGAGCTCCAAAGCTTCTCTGTAACCACCATTTGTTCAGGGCTATTTTAACTTCGAAAAGACAAATGGTCCCAGGCAGAGGACTACTGGTAACCAACCCAGGTCCTTCCTTGTTACAGATGAGATGACTGAAGGAATTGATTTATTTTGGGCTTTTCTAGAGATCCTTACGGAGAGCCAACAATGTTTCTAAATAAATATTGCCTCTATAGAACATATACAGTCTCTATAGAACATAAAGAGATCAACACATACAAGGGAACTTTAGGTACCTGTAACCTCTTGAGGGATACTCATCACGGGAACTGGAATGTCCATAATCACGATAGGCATAATCCCTTGGTGGGGGGGCATAATCTCTGGTATCTCTGGAACTTGGATAATCTCGGCTTGAATAACTACAGAAATTAAAAATTAAGTTACTTTTTGATTACTGACAAGCAAAATAGCACAAAGTCCGAGAACATCTGCTTCAACAAGCATTATTTTACCTGTCTTTAGTACTGTAGCCATCATCTCTGGGAGATAAGTAGACATCTCTTCGTGAGGGCAAGGAGTCTCTTCGTGGAGGCCCCCCATAGCTGTCTCTGCCACGGGACAGGGGCGCTAAAATTAAAAAACAAACAAACCCAAATTGGAGTATTTTGGAAGCAAGGCAACGAGAAGCCATTTGTCCCTATTCTGAGTGGGAGAAATGTTATACTGAACTGTTTTTTAATGAAGGCAAAAGTCTATGCACAATTATACAAATTCTTCAATAGCAGTTAGAAGGAAGAACCACACATTAAGCACAATCTCATTGCAACTAGTGCAGGGGTCAGCAACCTGCGGCTCTGGAGCCACAAGCAGCTCTTTGGGCCCTCTGCCGCGGCTCCCTGTCCCATCACTGGTTCGCCCCGCCCCTCATTTCTTTTTTGGACTCCAGCCCGAAGCGGCAGGAAGTGAAGGCTGCCTTACACGCAAATATGGCGTGGAAGCAGGTACAGGGCAGCTTTGCTCCTGCACTCTCCTCCCCCCCTCCCTTAATCCCCTAGCTGGCTGTGGCTGAGTTGGGAGTGTGTGCACATGTGGAGAGACCCTCCTTAAGCGAGCCGCTGCCCGCTCAGCGTGCATCTTTCCTGAGCTTTGGTGCTCGTTTCAGGAGGATCTCTCAGCCCGTGCGCAGCTCCTGGCTCAGCCACAACTGTCCCGGGCATCCTGAGGAGGATGGGGAAGAGGAGACTGCAGGAGCGAAGCTGCCCTGTACCTGCCTTCACGCCACACGTGAACTCTCGCGTGTGAACGCTCCCGGCTCAGCCACAGCCGGCCAGGGAGTTATGAGAGGAGGGGGAGGACGGTCACCCGAAGGGAGGGGGGAGACAGAGAGAGCGAGCGAGCAACAGATACATACAGTGTGATACAGAGAAGGGGTGAGAGAGAGGAAGAGAGATACAGAGAGGAGGAGGGAGACATAGAGAATAGTTTTGTGGCTGGGTAGGCATGGCTAGGTGGTCATGTGACTGGGTGGGAGTGAGTGACATCGAGTTGGCCAGGCCCACCCAAGTTTTGTGGCTCCTGGTGTGTTTTTTTCCTGTAGGAAACGGGTCCAAGTGGCTCTGAGTGTTTAAGGTTGCCAACCCCTGAACTAGTGCAAGAATATTTGAAAGAAGGCAAAAGGTTCCATGTTACCCATAAAGATTTTAGTTGGAACTGAGCATTAAAGACACATTTACACGGTGGCAGCATCTTGTAAAGCCTGGAAGAGCAGAGTTGACCCAGAGCATTAGCTTGCTGGGCAAGGTGTATGTTGCAATAAAGTATTTTATATAGATTTGCTATTCTGTGCTGTATCCAGTGCCTGGAGAGCAAAGAACCCTCACACAAACAGCACTAAGAATTTAAAAGCCCCAAATTTTGAATGTGCCACAGCCCTCAAGTTAAAACTTTATGAGCAAACTAAAGCAACATTTGCACAAGGCTTACCTCTACCACCCATTCCGCTACTGCTGCGTACAGGTCCAGATGGCGCAGGTCTTTTGGGTGGTGGGCCCCCACTACGGGGAGGCGGGCCCCTTTTCATTGGAAGAGGGCCTCTAGAGGAACCTAGAAGACAGCATGACAGCTTCAGAAAGCATCATCACGATGCTGAAAGGCACCAGAAGTGAAAAGGGGTTAAGAACAAGCATGCTCAGGATTCCCTTTGTCCTGAGAAACAGTCAACCCTCTGGATCAAATAGAAACCTGCACAACCTGTATGACAGATTTATGCAAACCTATTTTATATGCAATGGCTGTGGCCACTAATAAAACAAGTTATAGAAAAGCAGCAAGCAGCTAAAACTGGTAACCTACACCCATCTTCTAACTGTAGAGCCTCTGTTCTTGTAAACTCAGAGCACAGGTGAGAATGCAGGTCAGCAGACATTCAATCATTTTTCAGGTACCAATGTTACTTTCAAGGAAGCTCACAAGCATACTTAGGATGACAGCTCTGTTCCAGAGGAATACCCTGGTTGTTGGTTGTTAAAGCTTGTTTACAGTTTAAGATGAGCTGTGAGAGATAGCAAATAGCCATCCATACCAGGAACTACCCACAGCCTGATCAGCATCCACTTAAAATCAAGAAACCTGCTCCTTGAGCATACAATGGCTAATGTTCCAGCTTCCTTCTGATTTAAAAAATTACCTGTTGATTATCAATATGAAACTGACATTTTTTTTTTTTGCATATTAAGGCAGGAATTTGTAGTATGGTGCCTTCTAGATATTTACTCTGGACCTGCTTTTGAAATACAAGTTCAGGCAAGCCAGACTTTAAAGACCACCAATCTCATCTAAGAACAAGAGCACATGGACACCCCGAAGCACTACTTGGACTGTGACTGGTTCTTTGTTTTTTGCATTTCAAAGTGTAATAATTCTTGCTCAGAGCACTTTACCTTCGGTCCAGCTATTTTCCTTCTTTCCATTCAACTTCTCTACGTCTTGTGTGCCGTCAATACACAGGAACTTAAACATACCTAAGTGACTGCCTCTTGAAGGAGGCCCTCGGGTTCCACTGCTGCCTCTTCCACCTCTAAGGCCTCTTGGGGGTCCTCTGCTCCTTGGAGGGAGGGGCCCACGTCTACCAGTTTCAAAGGTTGGCTTGGTAGCTTGTTCAACTTTAATGGATTTTCCATCTAAAGACTGAACAAAGGCATCTAATTCAATCTTTGTGAATAACGCCTGCCTTTAGGCTTATTACATTTTTAGACTTTTAGATTATCATCACCATCCAATCCTAGCTGGTTAGTGCACACAGAGGACTCAGAATGCTAATGTTTATTGATTGCTGGTTAGTTACCAAGGTTGTCACTGTACTTGCATTAAACCAGAGAATATTAAGTAGGATTTGCAAGTACATTACTACAGTGTTTTAAGCAATTTGTCTTTTTAACTTCAAATTGCAATACTAAAATTTTGGAAGTAAACATATGGCTGTCCTGTTTATATGGGACATCTTTTCCTCTTGTCTTTTGAGGAGCATCCAACAAACATTTATCATATATCTGGCATGTTTCTTATGGTACTATTACCACTGCAAAAACAATATCGTATACTAGGGTCCCCCCCCTTTTAAGAGATGCTGGAAAGCAACCTTTGCTATCCAATTCGAAAGACAACAATTTTCTTAAGATATCTCTTAGAAAATCAACAGACACTATCCTTTGAAACTATTTCAGTACTCTCCTTTTGAGTTTTACCACAATAAAAGCCAGACATTAATTCTTACCTTTCCATTCATATCTCTTGCTGCATCCTTAGCATCTGCTGGGCTCTCAAATGTGACAAAAGCAAAGCCTCTGGATTTGTTGGTTTCACGATCTTTCATAAGGAGAACTGAGAGAGATACAAGCATTATTTTGTTTGCTGATCTCACAGGGGTACAACCCAGGATTCACAGAAGCCTGCTCAGAACTTCTTAGAGGATAGGTAAGTTCTATCACTTCAGCCGATCAAAAAAGCTGAGTTCATCACAGCAGAATTGAAAACCCCACCAAGATGCCTTGCCCTTACCTTCTACGATACGGCCATATTTGCCAAAGACAGATTCAAGAGCTTTCTCATTCGTTTCAATGTTCAATCCACCAACGAACAGCTTCCCAGGCCGATCTGCTTCAACCATTTTGACAGGTTTTGGAATCTAGAACAATACAACCAACCTTCAGAAACCATAAAAAATATAGTCACATCCAACTGCAATACGATTTTTGGGATTTCCTGCATAGAAAAGACATCGTTGATAACATTCCATTTTCATTACTAGTCAATTACTTCATTCCTACTGCTGCACTAAAATGCCCTTTATAAAGAGTACATTTTCAAGTGGCCCAACCCTTTCCTACAATCAAGAAGGGGGAAAAAAACACAATATGACATGGTAAAATAACTTTCTTCTAGTTTAAGCATGAACCAAGAATGGCCATTAACAAACCACATTTCCTCATAATAGTCCTTTTAAGCCTCATTCCATAATTGTTTTTCTTAAAGCTCCTTTTACAAATATTGCTCAATCGTCCTAAAACAATGAATTTAATTTCTAACTTAAGTCTATCCCAGGGGTGGGCAAATGTGGCTCTTTCACAACCTGTGGACTTCAACTCCCAGAATTCCTGTGACAGCCCAGCTGGCTCAGGAATTCTGGGAGTTGAAGTCCACAGGTTGTAAAAGGGCCACAGTTGCCCGCCCCTGGTCTATCCAAACCAATCTCTCCAAACAGGTTCATTTAGAACCCCAAAACCTAAATAGCAACTAAAGTATTGTGAAATTTAGCAGTTATTAATATATTTCTTGACACTTCTATTGAATGAAAAGCTCCATTCAACTCTCTTCTGACTGTTTTTAATAGTTCCCTGCACAGTTCTCACTATTTTCCCTGTTCCAAAAGAACAAACCGTTGAAGAATACCCAGGTATTTCAACAGCAACAAAAAAAACCCTAATAAAAGCATCGAGCCTGCTGAAGGCCCAACCACATCGGCCAATCCATTCTGCAAGGGTTTTATTCCAAAATATAAATGGACTGTTTAAATTCAAAGGAAGAGGTAGAAAAGATATAACGCCCTAACTAAGGAACCTGAGCAAATTTCCAAGAAATTCAGTTTTCGAATTTGGTCGGTGCACCATAATAATGCACCCAACCTTTAACAATGATAATAATAATGAGGATGATGATAATAATAATAAAGCACACCCAACCTTTAAGAAAAGCAATAATAATAATAATAAAGCACACCCAACCTTTAAGAAAAGCAATTCCCACGTTCTGTTATAGCGAGCAACAAAAGCCCGGAGCCTTTTCGTGCAAATCGCGCATGCGCGGCAGCCGAACAGACCGCGCGGAGCGCATGCGCCCTCCGCAAAAAAAGGGCCTCCCGAAAAAGCGGCGCGTGCGCACTCCCGTCGCCCTTCCCCCTCCCGTCCCACGCGCCTTGAAGAAGGGGGCGGGCGAAGCATCGAGGCGCCTCTAAAAGCGGCCGCAAAATGGCGGCTCCCGCGACCCTCCCTCAGGAGCCCGTGTTTGGGGGAGGAGGAGGAGGAGGGGGGGAAAAAAGAAACAGCACTTCCCGCCACCCACCTAACTCCCCAAGCTTTAAAATGGCGCCTCAGCCACCCCTTGAGAAGAAGCGGGAAGGGTGAAAACCGTTGAGGGGTGTGAGGGAACGGAAAGCGAAATAAATAACGGCCTTGGGGGTCCGCTAAACGGTGTTGCGTGCGTGAGACAAAAAAAAAAAGCACATACATATCATATCAAAAAGGCCTCATTTAATAATAATAATAAAAAAAAAGCCTCCCTCATCCGCTACCTCGCATCCTTACCTCCTCCCCGCCGGCCTGCAACGACGCACTGAAGAGGAACAAAGGGGCTGAGGGCCTTTATATAGATGACGTCAGCGCGTTCGAACGGAGCTGAAAAGCCCGGATGAAAGCATGGCGAAAGGGAGGAGGCGTGGCCAAGGGTTTGGGAGAGCGGAGAAATGGGTCCGGGTAACGGCGGGTGGGGGTGTCTGCGCATGCGCGAGCCTCTTCTCCGATAAGGGCGTGCATGTGACTGTGTGCCTTGATTGAGTTGGGAGTTTGGAATAAAATTATAGGAAATAAATGAATACGCCTTGGAAGACGGTAGATTTGTTGATTGCATTTCAGCCTGAGATGCTTTCCTTCAAAGATTTGCCCACACTCTTCTTTGTGGTTCTCTAGAAGCATGCAACTCTGCAATAAATTAAAAAGCATGAATGTGTGGGTCATTGAAGAGTGCATCTTCATGGATCGATGCAAATACAACTTTGGACTAGAATCATAAGTACCATTCAAGGGGTCCTTGGCTTAACAACCGCAACTCTGACCAGAAAATTAGTTGTGCGGTCATTGAAGCATCATGCGACAGCACCAAATTTTATTTTATTAATTAATTAATTTATTAATTTAATTTGTATACCGCCCTTCTCCCAGAAGGGACTCAGGGCGGTGAATCTTTATGAATCTTTTTTGTTGTAGTTGCTAAATGAGACCATGATTTGTGACCTTCCGTGCCAGTTATTGGAAGTCGGCTAGGAAAGTCGCAGAACTAGAACTCCCAGGCTCCTGGTGATTGGCTCAAAGACACCCAGCTGACTTTCAGTGCCTAAGGCAGGACTAAAACTCCTAGGCTCCTGGTGACTGGTCCAGAGTCACCCAGCCAGGTTTATAGTAGTATAGCCTTTATGGTCATTGTACATCATGTATACAACGAAATTGGTTTTAGCCTCACTGGTGCAATCCATGACAAAAAATACAAACAACATAAATAGTATAAAGAATAATCCCTATGCAAATAATTAGGGGGGGGGGAAAGAAAAAGAAAAACTAGTCATACGTTTCCACGTGTGCATGGAGTAATTGTGGTTGTGTTTTAAGAGTCTGACAGCCCAAGGATAGAAACTATTTTTAAACCTATTTGTTCGGCTGGCTATGCATTGATGGTAGAAGTGCGACGAGACACTGACCAGGGTGTGAATCATCTCATGAGTATCTTCCTTACTCTGTTAGAGCAGCGAGACCTGGCGATGTCATCCACTGGTGTTAGAGGGCAACCAATGATTTTTTGTGCCGAATTGCTCACTCTCTGTAGTGCCTTCCTGTCCGCAGCAGTTAAACCAGCGTACCATACTGTAATGTAATGTAACACTCTAATGGCAGAAAGTGAAGAGGAACTCAAGAGCCTCTTGATGCAGGTGAAGAAGGAGAGTGCAAAAGTTGGCTTGAAACTCAACATTAAGAAAACTAAGATCATGGCACCCGGCCCTCCCAATTCCTGGCAAATAGATGGGGAAGAAATGGAGTGACAGATTTTATTTTCCTGGGCTCCAAGATCACCGCAGATGGGGACTGCAGCCAAGAAATTAAAAGATGCTTGCTCCTGGGGAGGAAAGCTATGGCAAATCTAGACAGCATATTAAAAAGCAGAGACATCACCCTGCCAACAAAAGTGTGTATAGTCAAGGCGATGGTTTTCCCAGTTGCAACGTATGGCTGTGAAAGTTGGACCATAAGGAAGGCTGAGCGCCAAAGAATTGAGGCCTTTGAACTCTGGTGCTGGAGAAGACTCTTGTGAGTCCTTGGACTGCAAGGCAATCAAACCGGGTCAGTCCTAGAGGAGATCAACCCTGACTGCTCTTTAGAAGGCCAGATCCTGAAGAGGAAACTCAAATCCTTTGGCCACCTAATGAGAAGGAAGAACTCCCTGGGGAAGAGTCTAACGCTGGGAACGATGGAGGGCAAAAGAAAAAGAATTCTATTCTATATTCCAATATCTAATCTAATCCTATTCTATTCTATTCTATTCTATTCTATTCTATTCTATTCTATTCTATATTCCAATATTCTATTTATTCTGTTCTATTTATTCTATTCTATATTGCAATATCCTATCCTATCCTATCCTATCCTATCCTATCCTATTCTATATTCCAATATTCTATTTATTCTGTTCTATTCTATTTATTCTATTCTATATTGCAATATCCTATCCTATCCTATCCTATCCTATCCTATCCTATCCTATCCTATCCTATCCTATTCTATTCTTTGAAGACTTTTCGCTTATTATTGCAGCTAATATTATTCCATCATTGTTCTACGTTGGCTTCACGCACCCAAACTGCTGGGATGCAGGAAGGGACCGCTGCCCTCAGCCAAAATGGCGCCGCCGGCTCCGCTCCGCCCCGGATCGAGCGCCGACCCTCCGAATCTGAACGGGCCCTCGAAGGCTGCCCTGACCCAAGATGGCGCCGCCGCGCTCGGGTCACGTGGGTGGCTGAGGCGAAGCGCTCCACCCAGGCCCGGCCGCGTTTCCTCAGTGCGAGGCCGCCGCTGCCGAAGCTCCTGCCGGGCGATTGTGACGACGCCGCCGACCTTGGAGCCCCCTCCGACCCGCAGAGAGTTGCCGCGAGCCAGGAAGCGCTACGATGGGGAGGCCGCGGCCTAGCCGCCTCTCCGTCCCGATGCTACTACTACTACTACTGATGGTTTTGGGAGGCCGCGCAGGCCTCGGCGCCGCCTTCTACCTGCCCGGCTTGGCGCCCGTCAGCTTCTGCGAGCCCTCGGACACCAAGCAGGAGGGGCCCGCCGCCGGTTGTTCGGTGGGACGCCGGGCGGGATGGGATGGGATGATGGGGGGAAGCGGAGTATCCTCCTGAGGAGCCGGGACTACACCTCCCAGCATCCTCTGCGCGGCCCTGGGAGTTGTAGTTCCCTGGGTGGGGAAGTGGGGGGGGGTTGTGTGACAGGTGTGTGTGTGAGTGAAGGGTCTGTGTATGTTTACACGACACGCTTCCTCGAGGGAGAACACGTGTCTCAAATTCACACGAATCCCCTCCCAGCCCTTCAGGGGAAACCCTTGAAGCGGGGGTGGGGTGGGGTGGGGGAGGAAATTAATGTTATTCATTTATTATTATTTTCTTTTATTATATTTCGTTTCTTATAGGGTGCTTTTATAGTTGTGTAGGCTGCCTTGGGTCACCCCCTGGGCGAGTAGGCGGCAATATAAATTTTCTACAAATAGATAGATAGATAGATAGATAGATAAATAGATGAGAGAGTGGGGGTTACGATAGCTAGATAGATAGATGAGAGAGAGAGAGAGGGTTAGGATAGATAGATAGATGAGAGAGTGAGGGGGGTTAGGATAGAGAGGGGTTTAGGATAGATAGATGAGAGAGAGAGGGTTAGGATAGAGAGATATTTAGATAGAGAGATAGATAGAGAGATAGAGAGATAGAGAGGGTTAGGATAGATAGATATTTAGATAGATGAGAGAGAGAGGGTTAGATAGATAGATAGATAGATGAATGAGAGAGAGGGGTTAGGATAGAGAGGGGTTTTTTGGATAGATGAGAGAGAGGGTTAGGATAGATAGATATTTAGATAGGGAGATAGAGAGAGAGAGAGGGTTAGGATAGATAGATATTTAGATAGATATTTAGATAGATGAGAGAGTGAGGGGGGTTAGGATAGAGAGGGGGGTTTAGGATAGATAGATGAGAGAGAGGGTTAGGATAGATAGATAGAGAGATAGAGAGATAGATAGAGAGGATTAGGATAGATAGATATTTAGATAGATGAGAGAGAGAGAGGGTTAGGATAGAAAGATAGATAGATAGATAGATAGATAGATAGATAGATAGATAGATAGATCTATCCTTGGTCTAATTAGTCTAATCATCTAATTAGGCCTCTTTGGGGGGGGTCGTTGTGACCCATGAAGGTTTTTCCTCTTTCCCCCCCCCCCCAGCCATTAATTTGCAGGTGAGAAATCAGAGGGACGTACCTGCGAAATGTCAAGTCTTTTTTTTGAACCCTGAATTTTGTGCGAGATGCCACAAATCCTGCTTGGGCTGGGGTGGGGGGTTGGACTAGATGACCTATGAGGTCCCTTCCAACTCTGTTAATCTGTTAAAATCCCCTTCCTTCCCTATTGCTGGTGAGCGAGTTCGGGGTTTGTCTTAGTATGCAAGAAAACTTAAATTATGTTGCCAACTGTTTTAAAAAAAATGTCTCTTTTTAATCCTAGCCCAAAATTGAGCTGTTTGTAAACAGGCTGGACTCGGTTGAATCTGTTTTACCGTATGAATATGACGCGTAAGTACACCTTGCGTCTAGAAAGGGGCTGGATACAGCTTTTCCAGCTGAGAGAAAAGAGATGAAGGGTCATAACTCCTAAACGTGATAACGTAAAGACTAAACCTTTCCTTTCTTCTTGCACAGTTTTGATTTTTGCAAAGACCAAACGGAAGAGAGACCTTCTGAAAACCTCGGACAAGTTCTGTTTGGCGAGAGAATAGCCTCTTCCCCCTACGAGGTGATCACAGACTTCCAAATGCTTTGGAGAAGCTGGTTTTGTGAGATTGTGAGATTCTTCGGTGACCCGCTTGTTCCTGCTTTTGACAAAAGCTTCACGGAAAGCATTTGGGGTCACAGATGCTGAATGGCTGTTAGGAGGACGTGTTTATGCAGAATATAAAGGACTATTTAGAAATTGTAGGCCAACTCGGTTTCTTTCTGAATGGAGCTGACTCTTGGTCAGCTGAAAAGAATTTCCAGAGCCAGGCTAGAAAGGAGATATAATTATTGCAGAATCACTATTGCTCCTATGTGAGTTTCCCAAGGGCATATTGCTGGCGGCGGCTGCTATCGCTGGAAATAAAACAATAAAACATTGATAAATTTGTGGGGCAGAGAGAAAAGGGTCTTGAATTTCCCAGCTTTTTTACTTCCAGCTTTTAATTCATTTGTCATTAGTTAATTTTATGAGGATAAGAAGTTGCCTTCTATCTTTCTCCTGAATGATGCCAAATTGTCTGCCAGTACTCTTCTAAGCAATATATTTTGAGTGTTGGAAAGAGAGAGAGAGAAGGAGGGAGGGGGAGAGAAAGAGAGAGAGAGGAAGAGGAAGAAAGTAAGGGAACACTGAGCAGAAAATTAAATCCTGGGGAATTTTTAGATAAGGAAGTATTAAATGACACCTTTTAACCTCTGGCTGGACAAAAAGATTATTTCAAAACCACAATCTTGCATGAGTGCCAGCTGAATCGTTTTAATGGTGTGGATCGAAACATTTGCATCTCTTTTGTCTTGTTGACAGTTTACATTTAAAAAAGATGAAGAGTGCAAGAAAGTTTGCGTGAAATCTTACGACCCACAGAAGCCAGAAGACAAAAACAAACTGGATTTTTTGAAGAAGGGAATGCAGTTGAATTACCAGCATCACTGGTGAGGAGAACATGTTCTCTAAAAATCACTGATCTGTGTAGGGAAGAATTAAGTGTTGTCCAGCCGTGTTCTAAAAATAGAAAGATGAAGACCATGGAAGAAGCGGTGTTAGTCTTCTCATTAAGAGTGCAAGTGTTTGAAGACTATTTTAAAAGCCTATAAATGCCATGCTATTTATAAAGATAGAATGATACAAATGTTTTTCTTATTCAGGATTATAGATAACATGCCTGTGACTTGGTGTTACAATGTGGAAGACAACCTTAAATACTGTAATCCTGGATTTCCAGTTGGCTGTTACATTGCATCTGATGGCCGGATAAAAGATTTTTGTATAATGAGTGTAAGTGATCAACGGTATATTTCTCCTAAATAGATTTCAAGAAGGATCAGGAACTGGTACAAGCAGTGGCTTTGTGCCTAGTTTGGGCTTGGAATATTAGTCATCCTAGCAAATTCTAGTTTATTCACTAATTACGATGAAAGTCTATATCAAGACTGTCCAACCTTGGCAACTTTTAAGACCCTATGGACTTCAACTCCCGGAATTCCCCAGCCAACCATGCTTTCTGAACTAACAACCTGTGTGCTTCACAATTCCTCCTAGGCCTAGTAGATTTCCAAGGTGCTGTTGCTGATGCCACAATGCAGGTGTAGTATGTTAGCCAGATATTTACTAAGATCCCCCATGTTAGGGGCTGAAATTTATATGCGTGCTGGCTGGGGAATTCTGGGAGCGAAAGTTTACGTATCATAAGGTTGAGAAACGCTACCCAAGGTTGAATTCATTTCAACGCTGGGCATTTTGGAAATATTGGGATGCCGTTCTTTAGCCAGCAAATGGGCATGCTGAAAGGCAGGTTTTAAAATAAGATGTTTACAAATTGCACGGAGAAGGAAGACATACCATTTTCGAAAGGGATTTTTATTTAGGGTTTCTTCCCCCCCCCCCCAGTAAATGCATAGAGATATATGCAGGAATGAGCTATTGCAAGCTTATATGAGCTCCAAACACTGTCCTATCCATCTTTTGTTCTTTGGGAATGGGCTCCATCTGGAAAACTAGTTGGAAATTTATGTAATCCTTAGTATTTGTAAATCAGCAAATTTTTAGAGTATCTGGCTCCGTTCTTTTGTTTATGTCGTAAATTTGGTATGGCCAACAGCATTGGCTGTGGCTGTTGCTATCTTTCCCCCCTCCAGTTTTAGAAGTATTTCATGGTGTCTTAATATTTTTCAGGATGAATTCAACAAGAAGAACACCTTCTACCTCTTCAATCACGTAGACATTACAATCACCTACCATAGTGGCAAAGATGAGAGCTGGCCTGGAGCAAGGCTCGTTGCAGCTCAGCTGGAGCCCAAGAGGTAATAGTGCTTAGACTTATATCATCTTCTTCTTTTTATTTATTTATTTATTTATTTATTTATTTATTTATTTATTTATTTATTTATTGATAGGATTAAGTGAAGGATGCTGTATTTTTCTGAGTGTCGCATCACATGTCTGAAATATTCTAACTTTTGCTTTTTAATGGCTTTGAGGATTTCCCTTGGCTTTCCCAGGTAGCTTATCACCTCTTCATTTGTGATTTTGTTAACCCAGCTTATACGTAACAACCATCTGTAAATCCACATTTCAAATGCTTCTAGTTTCTTCAAGTGGTTTTCTGTCAGAGAACAACTCTCCGCTCCGTAGAGCAGGATAGAAAAGATGTAACATCTGACAAGTCTGATTTTCAGTTTTAGGCTTACGTTGTGACTGCAGAAGACCTTTTTCATTTTGAAGAATGCTGTTCGAGCTTTCTCTATCCTTGTCTTTACTTCACTGATCATGTCCCAGCTTAAATTTATATACCGCTTCACATTGCTTTATGACCTTCTCTGGGCGGTTTACAAAGTCAGCCTCTTTGCCCCCAACAATCTGGGTCTTCCTTTTACCGACCTCGGAAGGATGGAAGGCCGAGTCTGCCTTGAGACGATGAGACTCGAACTGCTGGCAGTCGGCAATCAACAGAATTAGCCTGCAGTATTGCTTTCTAACCACTGAGCCACCATGGTAAACTACTCACTTGCTAATTGTAGTAGGTATCACTTTCGAGGCACTAAATAACTCAGTAACTATAAGTGATGATTATCACTTGTAGCTTTTATGTACAGTGAGAGCTTATGCACCGAAGACAAATTCCTTGTGTGTCCAGTCACACTTGGCTCTCTTCTCTTCTCTTCTCTTCTCTTCTCTTCTCTTCTCTTCTCTTCCCTTCCCTTCCCTTCCCTTCCCTTCCCTTCCCTTCCCTTCCCTTCCCTTCCCTTCTCCATTCTCCATTCTCCATTCTCCATTCTCCATCTCCATTCCATATTCCTACGATTCTAATTCTATTCTGTTCTATTCAGTTCTAATTCTAATTCTAATCTAATTCTATATTCTAATTCTAGTGTTTCTAATTCTAATTCTGTTCTAATTCTATATTCTCTTCTAATTCTAATTCATTCTAATGCCAATGTTTTTAATTTTAATTATTCTAATTCTAATAGCATTCCTTTTACTAAAATATTTTTTTAAAAATAATCCACTCATTCCGTATTGGGGAGAAGAAAAGGAAGGGCAAACCAGTTCTCAGCACTGTCTTAGAAACCTGTCGGTGTGCCGCTTTCTTCCAAACTGGCAACCCTCCAGACAGTGTGTGTGTGTGTGTGTGTGTTTTGCAGGCAGGGCATCAACTTCTGCTGATTGATCGGAAGCCTTTAAAGGTGGCAAGTGAAACCGATCAGCCTTGCTGACCTTAACCGATGATCCTTGAAATCCGGGTAATACAGATATCGTGATATGCTGGATTTATTTTATCTAGTCAATTTATCGAGCCGTCCTGGGCAGGAACAAAGTCAGACACCGCACAATTGGCCTTTGTGTGTGTGATTGTGCGCTCCACAAGAGGGCGGAGTAGGCACGGTCAAGTCCTTTGAACGGCTTTCCTGTTGCCTCCGCCCATCTCTTGTTCCTTTGCAGGAGGAGGAGGAGGAGGGCATCTAATTGATGCTTTGTCCTCAAATCCAACTCCTATTTTCCTTGGAAAATAGGAGTCGGTAAACATTCCAAAGTACCTTCAGACTTTGGAATAACATTCCAAAGTCTGAAGGTACTACAAGAGAATAATCTCAAGATGATTTGAAAATTGGGAGGGAGGAATGCTCACTGTTGTGATTGCTTCAAACTTTTTTTTGGGGGTGGTGGGGGCCCAGAAATGCTTCATCAGAATCACGTTTTATAATGGAAAGATAAGATGGTGTGCTGTTGTGGTTTTAATACAGCTGGTTGTCGACTTTGACTTCCACCGCAAAAGTTTCATAAAGAAACTTGCCTTCAGAAGTTGTGAGTGCTTCATTCCTGGAGGCTTTAAGAAGAGACGGGACAGCTGCTTGTCAGAAATGATATAGAATTTCCTGCTTGAGCAGGGGGCTGGACTAGATGACCTCCAAGGTCCCTCCCAACTCTGTTATTCTGTTATAAAGGTGTACCCTTGTGTTATCGATGGCTAGGTTGCCGAGCTCATCAAAACTAGAATATAGAATAGAGTGTTCTTTATTGGCCAAGTGTGATTTGACACGCAAGGAATTTGTCTCCGGTGCATAAGCTCTCAGTGTACATACAAAGAACAAAGGGATAAATCATAAAATACAGTCCACAAAAGATAGTCATTAGATACCAATAGGAGTAGGTGATAGGAAGGATGAGATGGATAATAATAACAATACAGTCCTACTCTGTGGTTAGTTTAGGAATAAGACTGAGTGTTTTCCAACACTTCATTCACTAGCATTATTCTTTATGAATATATTGCAGAATAATCTTCTGTTTCTTGCCTGTTTGAACTGTATATTTTCCTCCTTTGAATCTTAGAATAAGATTCTCAGGACTGGGCTACAGTAGATATAGAATAGATCGATCACTTAGAATAAAATGTAATGTATAAAATGCAGGTTTATGATTTTTCCATTATCTTGAAACTGCGAATCCAGTCGGGGTCTTGGCTTAACAGTCTGTTTATGATTATTATAAGCTGCCCGGCTACAAAAAACTCGGTACATTGCATAAGTATTATATGAAGTAGTCCTAGATCTTAAGTAAGAGGTTTTGATTTTTAAAAACTGGAACACATTTGAAGGAAGGTGTCCAGCTCATTCTGGAAATATGTATATATTTATCTTTGCAGCTACAAGCATACAGATATAAACAATTTATCCTGTAAGGGTCCCCCTATGGAAATTCCTGCAGAATTTAATAGCAAACTGGACGTGATCTATACATACTCTGTGAAATTTGAAGTAAGTATAACTTGTAGACTTAAAATTGCATCCATTTTAATGATTCAGGTTTTCCGATCTTGGTGGTTAATAGATTGATAGTATGTACTGAACTTCACAATAAGCTTTTAAATTTTGTGTGTGTGTGTGTGTGTGTGTGTGTGTGTATTTTAAAACGTTACGGTGCTAAGTATAAACAGTATTACCGAAAGGCACACCCTACAAATATTGTTCATATTTTCTCAAAATACATTTTCCACAATTGGGCTGTGTGCTATGTATTGCACAATTCTTCCAGTGCCCTCTCACATAAGAATTGAGCATTTCTCCTCAATTATTTTTGGCAGTTCTTCTCTGTTGCCGTTATACAACTTCTTGAAACTATAAATCACTTTTTTTTTCAACCTACGCCCATCATACAGCAACCCCAAGCCAAGGTTGAGGATTTGTTTTTTTTTCTTAAGAGGTCAAGAAAGTGGTTTGTTACCCATCTGTGTATAAATCATGTTTGTCCCTGTGTGGGAAATCGGGGGTCACCGCAGCAGAGACGACCTGACATTTGAAGTCTTGTACTCACAAGGACGAAGGTTGTCGTAAAATTTGTTTTTCTTTTTGGGGAGTGACATTTGTGATTCTGCTCCAATTTTTCCCTCCCGCGCAGGAGAACAACAATATAAAATGGGCATCCCGGTGGGACTACATCTTGAAATCCATGCCTCACACCAACATTCAGTGGTTCAGGTAAGACAGCAGCCCCCCAACCTTTGGGGCACCAGGAACCGGTTTCGTGGAGAGAGATTTTTTTCCATGGACCAGAGGGGATGCCGTTTCTTGTGCCGCCTGCATCCCGCGGATGGGCAGAGTTATCCTGCAGTACTGCATTCTAACCATGGTGCCACTAGGAAAGAGAATGAGAAAGGGAATGGGAGGGAGGGAAGGAAGGAAGGAAGGAAGGAAAGAAAGAAGGAAGAAAAGAAGAAATAGCAATAGCACTTAGACTTATATACCGCTTCAATGTGCTTTACAGCCCTCTCTAAGCAGTTTACAGAGTCAGCCTCTTGTCCCCAACAATCTGGGTCCTCATTTTACCGACCTCAGAAGGATGGAAGGCTGAGTCAGCCTTTGGCCTGTGAGGATCAAACTCCTGGCAGTGGACAGAGTTAGCAATAGCACTTAGACTTATATACCGCTTCGCAGTGCTTTACAGCCCTCTCTAAGCAGTTTACAGTCAGTCTCTTGTCCCCAACAATCTGGATCCTCATTTTACCGACCTCAGAAGGACAGAAGGCTGAGTCAACCTTGAGCCGGTCAGGATCGAACTGCCAAATTGCAGGCAGCCAGCAGTAAGCAGAAATAGCCTGCGGTACTGCACTCTAACCACTGCGCCACCAAAGCTCTTACATGCTGCATCTTAGTAAGGGAACATGGACTTCTGAAATAAATGCCTATAAAGATAGGAGTGAGGAGGAGTTCACATTATAGGTAGTCCTCAACTCAACAACAGTTCATTTTAGTGACCGTTCAAAAGTTACAATGGCCCTGAAAAAAATTGACCCTTTTTCACAGCTACGACCTTTGCGGCATCCCCGTGATCAAAAGCCAGACGCTTGGCGTCGGCTTCCTACTTACAACCGTTGCTGAGTCCCAAGGTCCTTGTGATTCTCTTTTGCGACCTTCTGATAAGACAATGGCAATCAGATTCACTTAACAACGTGTTGCCAATTGTGGCAAGAAAGATCGTAAAATGAGGCAAAACTCCCTTAACAAAGGTCTCACTTAACGACAGAAGTGTTGGGCTCAATTTGGGGAGGGGGGGGTGTCATAATTCGAGGTCTGCCTGCATTTATTTGAGGAATTCTCGTGAAAAATAACTTTTTTTTAAGGCAGGGGACTTTTCCTGTTTACCTTTGTGGAGGCTTAGCCCAGTTTTGTCCCTCCTGGGAACCCCTCTTGAGTGTTGAGTTTCACTCAAGAATGCGCCTTTTGAAGAAAATAGACTCGCCTTTATTGTGCTTTCTTTACGAGACTTTTCTGAGATGTGACGGTTGACCGGCATTCTTTAGAAAAAAAAGAAAAAAACCACAAGCCTTACTTAGGAACCTCCTCTCTCTTTTGCTGTTGAAGACGAAATGCAGCTAATACGGGGGGGGGGGGGGGGGGACTCTTGCCTCTTCGACTCTGCTTTGAAAGCAAATATGCAAAAAATCATTCAGGTTGGGCTGCAAATTCTTTAAAAAAACATTTTAAAAATGCTGTCGACAGATTTGAGACAAAGACGGATTCATCCAAACAACGACGACACCACCATTTTGAGTTTATTGCACTCCCCAAAGAATTTCAGCCCAAAGGTGCACATTCCACCCTGAAAATCCCATGCCTGATGGTTGTGTTTTTTTTCCCCCATCATATTGTTGTCCTCTCGGTTTTACAGATCGTCCTCGAATTAGGACCGCCGTTGGGATTACAATTTCCCTTGCTAAGCAACGGGGTGTTAAGTGAGTCGCCCCAGATTTTACAACCCTTTTCTGACATGACTGTTAAACGAATCGCTGCAGTCGTTAAGGGAATCTCACTGTCGTTAAGCAAATCTGGGTCCCTGTCCCCTCCGTTGACTTTGCTTGTTAGAAATCGGCTGGGAAGGGCACAGGTGCGATCACATGACCCAGGGATGCTGCAACGGTCACAAACACAATTGTCAGGCGCCCAAATTTTGATCCCGTGAACCATGCTATGCGAGAATCATCAGAAGTCTAACTTTCCTCAGTGCTGTTCAAACAATTGTTAATGATCTGTCCCCGTCCACACACACACACAAACACAGCCAGCCGAGGGTTAAGGAAACACTTTGGAATGCACCCAGTTTCTTTTACTCCAACTTGGCAGCGATAGACACACCGTCTGCCAAGTGCCTTTATTTTCACAGAAAAACAGAAAGACAAATACTCAGCTTCCAAATGTCCGACAACAATAAATCTTTCTCTCCGCAGTTCCGAACGAGGCGTTAGTGACTATCCAAGGTTAGTTTTGTTCGTCACAAGGATCACTGACCACCACCCTCTATTATATAGTCTCTGGGGTGTGGTCCAGTGACTCAGTTCTAATCCCTAGCACGCCTCCTGAGCTGCTGCAATCGTTTATCACGCCTTCGGAGGCGTGCGTCCAGGAATGATGTTTCTCCGTCACTCTGATCCGAGCCACCTGTCTCCCATTTTTGCCAAAAATAGGCCCGTTTTCCCAAAAATAGGCCTCCCAAAACCCACAGAGGGTTTGGGAGGCCAGAGTGCTCCTGGGGACTAGGGAGGGCAAAAACGCGACACGGGGGTTTGGGAGGCCAAAAACGGGCCCGTTTTTTCCAAAAACGGGATGCCCAGAGAGTTTGGGAGGCCTGCAGAGTGCTCCTGGAGGCTGGGGAGGGCAAAAACGCGACACGTAGGGGGTTTGGGAGGCCAAAAAATGGCCTGTATTTTGCAAAAACAGGACACACAGCAGGTTTCAGAGGCCTGCAGAGTGCTCCTGGGGGCCGGGGAGGGCAAATACTATTTTTCTTTCTTTCTTGTTTTCCTCTTCGAAATCTTGGTGCGTCTTATACTCCGGTGCGTCTTATAGTCCGAAAAATACGGTAGTCCATCCTGAGCCATTTACCTCCTTGCCATCTTTAAATGCTGCTTGCGGTACCCGGAACCGGTTCTGAAGCCTGTTTTCCCTCTTTAACCCGCAGCATCATGAATTCCCTTGTCATCGTCCTTTTCTTATCCGGGATGGTCGCCATGATTCTCCTAAGGACCCTTCATAAAGATATCGCGAGATACAACAAGATCGATTCTTCGGTGAGTCACCCCTCAAAACTAAAAGAGAACTTGAACCTTTAATTTTGCAAAATAAATAAATAAATAAATAAAAAACCACAGGTGAACTTAGCAGCTTCAGAACCTTGATGGATATTGGGAAGGGGCAGCCTCCATTAATTGAAAGGCAGAATACCTGACCAAGCTACAATTGTTTTCATGCTCCTTCAGATACGTGGCTTGTGCTTGGACACTAAACCACGATTAAAAGCGGCCGGTTGGGTTCACACTCAAACCAGCCCCCACTGCGTAGGGGGTGTAAAATCTGTAGAGTATTTCTAGAGCTGACACTTTGCTTGGTGAATCTCTCCTCTCTTCCTCCCCCCTCCCCTTTTTCTTTCTTTCTCATTTGCTCGACTGTTTGCTAGGAAGCCCCAGGTGGTCCTCTTGCGAAAACAGTTCCTGCGGCTGATTTAGTGAAGAACTGTTAAAACTGAAACCCAATAGTCCATATTTACTTAACTAATTAAAATGAAAGTCTGCACAAAAAAAAAAAAAAAAGGAAAGGAAAGGGAAAAAAAAAAGCTGGGGTTTTCATCAATGGTCATTTGGAGGTAATGAGTAGGCTCGTAGAAACCCTGCTTCCCTAAATTGAAGAGTGCCTGGCTTCCTATGAAAGAAATCAAAAGCTCCACTGTAGTTAACAATTTGATTTCTTTCCTCCCTATCTAGTACAGCCACATTTCCAGTGCAAGCTAGAACGTAGATTCCCATTTCTACGAAAAACAAGCTTTTTTTTCTTTTAGAATAGAATAGAATAGAATAGAATAGAATAGAATAGAATAGAATAGAATAGAATAGAATAGGAATTGAGAATAACAATAGCAATAGGAATTGAGAACAGGAACAGGAATTGAGAATGAATAGAATAGAATAGAATAGAACAGAACAGAACAGAACAGAACAGAACAGAACAGAACAGAACAGAACAGAACAATAGAGGAGAGGCGAAGACAAGACAAGAGAAGACGAGAAGACAAGAGAAGAGAGATTGGAATAAATAGAGAATAGAATAGAATAGAATAGAATAGAATAGAATAGAATAGGAATTGAGAATAACAATAGCAATAGGAATTGAGAACAGGAACAGGAATTGAGAATGAATAGAATAGAATAGAATAGAACAGAATAGAACAGAATAGAGGAGAGGCGAAGACAAGACAAGAGAAGACAAGAGAAGACAAGAGAAGAGAGATTGGAATAAATAGAGAATAGAATAGAATAGAATAGAATAGAATAGAATAAGAATAGAATAGAATAGAATAGAATAGAATAGAATAGAATAGAATAGGAACTGAGAATAAGAATAGGAATTGAGAAAATAGAATAGAACATAACTGTGATGGCGAACATATGGCACGCATGCCAGAGGTTGCACACTGTTCTGCCGCAGCTACGGGTCCCAAGAAGTGTAGCACATACACACAGCTCCAAAAACTCTGTTTAATACAAACAGACCCCTTTCAAAATGCAGGCTTTAACCACCAATGGCCTTATCAGCCTGCTATGAATTACAGAGATTAAACGAAGTCCGACAAGGGTTGGCAATCAGCCCAGAAACCAAGTTGTAACAAAAAACTCACTCTCAAAATGCTCTGCGCAGCAACGTTTGCTATCTCTGTGCGAACTTAAATAGGCTAAGGGAGTGGCCAATTATCCTCAAACCTTAGTCTCGAGGAGACCTCCTCCTCCTGAGTAGCCACTCCTGCCTTTTGGCAGCCCTGCGTGCTCGAGCATTGAGAAGAGGCTCCTCCACTTCACTCTCTTCACTTGAAGGAGCCTCTCAAGGTTCTGAAGGCCCTGGCTGAGTCTCTGCCTCTGGCACCACATCCTCTTCAGCCTCCTCGCTGTCCGATTCGAGCACCGGCTGAACAGGCTGCTGGTGTGACACCACACCAGCCTCCTCGTCGTCGGGATCAGCCACAATCCGCGCAGGCCGCTGGCGGGCCACAACACTCACAGAGCCTTCCAAAATGTCACTAATCTCTCTTTGAACAGACTTTTTCCATAATAAACCGGGCACTTGAAAAGCCTCGGTGGCGCAGTGGTTAGAGTGCAGTACTGCAGGCTACTTCTGCTGACTGCCGGCTGCCTTCAATTCAGCAGTTCAAATCCCATCAGGCTCAAGGTTGACTCAGCCTTCCGTCCTTCTGAGGTGGGTAAAACCTCTTAGAGAGGGCTGTAAAGTGGTATATAGGTCTAAGTGCTATTGCTATTGAAACGGGGTGTGCAATAGTTGAACCTATGGGGGATAGCAATAGCGCTTAGACCTATATACCGCTTAATAGTGCTTTACAGCACTCTCAGCAGTTTACAATGTCAGCCTATTGCCTCCCAACAATCCGGATCCTCATTTTAATGAACTCGAATGGTTGGAAGGCTAAATTAGCTTTGATTCCGGTCAGGATTGAATTCCTGGCATTGGGGAGAGTTTGCCTGCAATGCTACACTCTAACCACTGCACCACCACAGTTCATCACTGGAGATTTTTAAGAAGAGATTGGACAGCCATTTGTTTATAATGGTATAGGGTCCCCTTTTTAAGCAGAGGGGTTGGATTAGAAGACCTCCAAAATCCCTTCCAACTCTGTTATCCTGTTACCTGCAGACCGAATAGGTGGAACACTTGGAAAATGTAGGTTCCGGAGTTGCCTCTTTCTCCTGTGTCATTGATGTTCGTGTCCACACTACATACCGTGTTTTCCCGAAAATAAGACCCTGTTTTATATTTTTTTGAAGCCTGAAATAAGCGCTTGGCCTTATTGCCATACGCTCAAAAGCCCGATTGGGCTTATTATCAGGGGATAATGTCTTATTTTGGGGAAAACAGGGTATTTGGCTATGAAAACGCTCTGGTGAAGCATCCTATTTCTGCTAGGTAGAGAGAGAGGGAAAATAATTCGGACGAATCGAATTGCATCACGATCAAGATGCTGGGGACAAAACCATTCATAAAATAGAGGCAGGGTTACTTTTGATAATTATATTGGCTAGGTGGCATTTAGCATTTTGTCTCGAAATAATATTTTCCATTTAGTGAAGAGAATTCTGTTGCTTTTAATGTGGGGAGAGAGCAGGAAAATATGGCACATAGGTGCATCTTCAGATCTGAAATGATTTGGATAGTAAAAAACAAATACATTAAATGCTGTTGTCATACATAGCTTACATTAACCACAGTCGTTTGCATAATATCCACAAACTTAGCCTTTGAGCTAAGTCTGTTAATGCTTGTTTCTTGTTCCGAACACAAGCAAGCCTTAATAAATCTGCGTTTTCTCTGTCCCTGCCCCCCCCATTCCCTTCTCGGCTCGCCTTTGGGGAGTTGTAAAATTGGCACGTTAATGATGCCGATGAAATTAGACCCTTTTAGTAACAACCCCCCCCGGCCCTCGCCAAAGATAATCAGGCAGGCAAAGCAACTTTCACGTCTGGCGTGTGCTAATTCCCTGTTGCGTGGGGCTCGTCTAATCAAGATGTTATTACAGGAAGATGCACAGGAGGAGTTTGGGTGGAAGTTGGTCCACGGAGACGTGTTCAGGCCGCCCCGGAAAGGCATGCTGCTCTCCGTCTTCCTAGGCCAAGGGACGCAGATTTTTATCATGACGTTCATTACTTTGTGTAAGTGTCGCTTGATGGGCTAAAGGGGGTGTGTGTATTGTGATGCTAGCAAAAATATTGGACCCGGGTTGGTAGAAGGGTGCCATCTGCATGTGCCAGCCCTGTTAGATTAAACCATTTTTTTTTCTTTTAATAACCCTGTAATTCCTTGCATCTGGGTGAAATTGGGGCGATTGAATGGAGCTGAGCATTTGCTGGCCGGATGCCCTTCCTGACGCCTACATGCAGTTCACAGCAGATTTTTTTTTTTTCCTTTGCGCCTAGAGAGAGAAATATTTGCTGCTTACCTAGGATCGAACTCACAACCTAGAGGCAATAGCGTGAGGCCACCACACTGCTCTCTTAGATTAAACCAAATAATAATCACAATCCAACAACAACAAATAAATAAATCAACAATCAGAAATAATTGCAAAGTTGGTTGCTGAATCCTGAGAGAGTTTTGGCAACCTTACTCCAAAGCTCGGAATGAAATCCTCAGCTTCTTTGGGAAGGGTGGGGGAAGATTATTCTGGGCAGGGGAGGCAGGCTCTTAAAATCACGGGTGTCCAACCTTGGCAACTTTTAAGACTTGTCAACTTCAACTCCAAGAATTCCCCAGCCGGACTAAGATAGACTCCTTCAAACGCTGAAGAATACTTTCCAATCGGTGCAGTTGACCCGTAGCCGGAAGGATACCTAGGATCTCAGATCCTTCCTTTGTTCTGTAAGAAAAAGAATGCCTGAACGACGTTGAATCTTGCTTCTTCCAACACTTCCTTATTTGTCTTCTTTCTAGTCCTTGCCTGCCTCGGTTTCCTTTCACCAGCCAACCGAGGGGCTTTGATGACATGCGCAGTGGTGCTCTGGGTTTTGCTGGGGACCCCAGCGGGATACGTATCTGCTCGGATGTACAAAAGTGAGTATGTCGTTGTGTGTTTTGACCGCAGCTGCCTAAGAGGTAGCGAGAGTTGGGAGGGATGGAGTCATTCCACATTCTTCCTTGAACTTCCTTGGCTAAACCTGAGGGACCATCGCTTGCCGGTCACATCTACCCGACCCATCAGTGGGGAGGCAAGGAATGTTACGGGTTCTATCCTCTAGGGAGGTACACCTGGTGGGATCCAGAAGTAGGGCCTTCTCCGTGGTGGCTCCCTCTCTCTGGAACATCATCCCCCCAGAGATTAGAATGGCCCCCACTCTAACACTCTTCCAGAAGGCACTGAAGACCTGGTTCAGGGAAACCCAGAGCGGGATGGAGCCCATTAAATGGCTTGTCCGATGGGTTGTTGCCGGGGTGGGGGAATTATTATATTATTTCATTAATTTATTATGTGATTAGCTCTTTTATTAGTTTTATTGTCTTATATATGAAGTTTTTATATTTCTGTAAACTGCCTTGAAAGGGACACTGAGTTCAGTGGTTCGAATCCCTAGTGCCGTGTAACGGGGTGAGCTCCCGTTACTTGTCCCAGCTTCTGCCAACCTAGCAGTTCGAAAGCACGTAAAAAATGCATGGAGAAAAATAGGGACCCCCTTTGGTGGGAAGGGAACAGTGTTCCGTGCGCCTTTGGCGTTGAGTCATGCCAGCCACATGACCACGGAGACGTCTTCAGACAGTGCTGGCTCTTCGGCTTTGAAACGGAGATGAGCACCGTCCCCTAGAGTCAGGAGCGACTAGCACATATGCGTGAGGGGAACCTTTACCTTTTAAAGCTGCCTTGATTCGCCATGTGCAAATAGGGGACAATATAAATGTCCTAAAATAAATAAACTTCCACAGCAGGGGTATCTGACCTTGGCAACTTTTAAAGACTTGTGCACTTCAACTCCCAGAATTCCCCGTGGCTGGCTGGAGAATTCTGGGAGTTGAAATCCATAAGTCTTAAAGCTGCCAAGGTTGGATACCCCTGCTTTTACAGTTTGTGTCACTGCTAGTAATCATCTCAGGTCTAATGAAGACCAGAAGAGGCTGGAACCACTCCATGAAGATCCGGAAAAAAATAAGTCATCTTTGCAATAATTGTGTTCTTTTTTTTTTTAGGTTGGTTTAAAAAAAAAAAAAAAACTGCCAGTAAGATGGCACAGAGAAATAAGGCGGCAGCAAGGTTTAAAAACCTGGCTGGCATTAAGCGAAATCATTTTCCAGAGATGATAAATGATGGGCGATACAGAAATGATAAATGGCGCTGTTTCTTTTCTTTCTTAGCATTTAGGGGTGAAAAATGGAAGACCAATGTGTTGCTGACGGCTCTCTTCTGTCCTGGGTTAGTAACCACACCCCCTTTTTGATAAATAGAATATATTTTTGTCCTTGAACACGAATTAATAAGCAAGAAGGCCATATGAACACGGTTAAGTTACGGTTCCCAAATTCAATTGATGGCAGGTGGCCACTGCAGTGACGGCAGGATGAATGACTTTTTGCGCCTCTATTTTTTTTTTTCTCATTCTTTTAAAAATATGTTTAATTTTGTAGAAGCCCAGCAGATTGTATGTTGGTTTGCTCAGTATGAAAGAGGGTACTTTTAAAACAGATAATAAACAAATGACGGTTTGCAAAAGTCCTGACTTACTTAGCAACATCCATTTCGGGCTCCTTTGTGGTTGTAAGTGGAGGACTGCCTGTATTGTAAATGCCAGCCAGTTGCTGAGCCCCTGAATTGTGATCGTTTTGACCATGAGGCCGGTGTGACACTTGTAACTTCGAGGACACAGGTGGTAAATCCCCTTTCTCAAGGCTGTCGTAACTTCGAACATCTTTAAACAAATGGTTATAAGTCAAGGACTACCTGTATCTGATGTAGATGCATAGACACATGGATTGGATGGTGCTCCTCGTAGTTGCAATCCCATAATATCTAGCATGATGGGTCCCCAAATCAGAAAGGTGACATATAACTCGGATAAAAGATTGTCTATTTACAACCGAACGAAGCGTTATTTTGGGATAGCATCAACCATCATTTGTGACCTGTGGATCTGTGTATCTATTTTCCTTGAAAATGTTTCGTTTCTCATCCACGAAGCTTCAGTTCTGAAGAACTGAACTGAAGAAGCTTTTTGGATGAGAAGCGAAACATTTTCGGGGGGGGGGGAACTCAAGAAAATCCAGTTGCTTTTTGGAAAAAGCACCTTTGGGACAACCATGACTTGGATGATTGAGAATCTCCATAGAGTTAAGGTTTGATGTTCACTGTGGTGGATACCCATTCTGTTTTTTTTCTGCACCTGAGAATTCTCCACATCCTCCCAAGATGCTCCTGAACTGTACCCTAACATCTTGTGCTAACCCTGGCCCTTCCTTGGGGTGTCTTCTCCTTCTGCTCCCCCAGAATCGTGTTTGCTGACTTCTTCATTATGAACCTTATCCTGTGGGTGAAGGGATCTTCAGCTGCGATTCCTTTCGGGACGCTGGTGGCGATCTTGGCCATGTGGTTTGGAATATCTGTCCCGCTCACCTTCATTGGCGCCTATTTTGGGTTCAAGGAGAAGGTAAAGTGAGAAATAAAACAGGCCATTTTAGTCTTTCGAGAAGCCTCATTGAATTCTGGGAGAACCTTTTTCTCAATTCGAAGCATCCACTGTGTTCGAATCCAGAGAATTTGGGAGGGATGTTTCTGTGCATAGTCATGGGCTGCATAATGCAACCCTATTCTGGGGTGAGGTGGTGTTATCACAGCATTCATCTTCAACTTGGGGCCCTCCAGTTTTTTGAGGGGGGTCCCGAGTTGGGAAAAGGAAAAGAGAAATATAGCAATAGCAATAACATTTATACTTATATACCGCTTCACAGTGCTTCACAGCCCTTTCTAAGCGGCTTACAGAGTCAGCCTCTTGCCCCCCAACAATCTGGTTCCTCATTTTACCCACCTCGGAAGGATGGAAGGCTGAGTCAACCTTGAGCCGGTCAGAATCGAACTACTGGCAGTCGGCAGAATTACCCTGCAATGCTGCAGTCTAATAGATAGATTGGAATAGACAGAGAGTAGATAGATAGATAGATAGATAGATAGATAGATAGATAGATAGATAGATAGATAGATATACAGACAGACAGACAGATATATAGACAGATATACAGACAGACAGAAACAGCAATAGCATTTAGACTTATATACTGCTTCACAGTGCTTTACAGCCCTCTCTAAGCGGTTTACAGAGTCAGTCTTTTGCCCCCCAAACAATCTGGGTCCACATTTTATCGACCTCGGAAGGACAGAAGGCTGAGTCAACCTTGAGCATGGTGAGATTCGAACTGCCAGATTGCAGGCAGCCCGCAATCAGCAGAAGTCGCCTGCAGTACAGCACTCTTAACCACTGTGCCACCATGGCTCTAACAATATTTTCATATAGCAATGAAAAAAAAAAAAAACAGATCTCGAATTCCAGCCTATTATTCAGGGATTTTGCAAATGACTCTTCAAAATTAGGGATTTTAGGCCAGGCACATTTTCCCTCTCTGGAATACTTTGTTTGCACTTCTTAAGAACAAATCAGTATTTTTTTTCACCTTTTTTTTCCTGGCAAGATTCCCACCCCCACTCCATTTTCCCACTGGGTTGCTTTTTGGGTTTTCTTAGTTGTAGTTGTCCAGGGCAGGATGGGCAACTCTAGACTTGACCACCTGTGGACTTCAACTCCCAGAATTCCATGCTGGCTCAGGAATGGTGGGAGCTGAAGTCCACAGGTTGCAAAGGTGTCCTCGTTTGCCCCTTGGCTTTCCTAACGTGGCACCATTGAGATGGCTCAGACCACCCGTTTGCAATCCATACGCCCGCACATCAGGGATGGGTTCTAAATTTTTTTACTAGCGGTTCTGTGGGCGTGGCTTATTTTGTAGGCGTGGCTTGATGGGGGAGTAATGTGACTGGGTGGGCATGGCCAACTCTTTTTTCTTTTAAAAGCATTTTTTCTACAACCTTAAGAGGTTGCAGAAATAAATGCTTTTAGAAGCCTCTGACAATCAGGCAACTCAGCTGGGATCACCAGAGGCTTTTAAAGGCATTTTTTTCCCCCTACAACCTCTTCGGCCGAAGAGGTTGTAGAAAAAAATGCTTTTAAAAGCCTCTGACGATCCCAGCTGAGCCCCGCGATCATCAGAGGCTTTTTTTTTAACTTTTAAAAGCATTTTTTCGCTGAAGAGGTTGTAGAAAAAAATGCTTTTAAAAGTTAAAAAAAAAAAGCCTCTGATGAGGTGGGCGGGGTAAGCGAGCAGCCAGGACCGGTTCAGGGGCATGGCCAGCCAATGTTATTACCGATTCTCCGAACCACTGAAAATTTTTACTACCGGTTCTTGTGAACCGGTGCGAACCGGGAGCAACCCACCACTGCCGCACATGTACACACACACACACACACACACACACACAAATGCTCACACTAAGAATATTATCATTGCAAGATGTAATAGTTAATTAGAGCCGAGGGAAAGCCTGCTCTAATTAACCGCCTGAATTGCTTTCCTAAAGCCCCTCGAGCACCCCGTGCGAACAAACCAGATTCCTCGCCAGATCCCCGAACAATCCTTTTTCACCAAGCCTCTGCCGGGCATCATCATGGGTGGCATCCTGCCTTTCGGGTGCATCTTCATCCAGCTCTTTTTCATCCTGAACAGCATTTGGTGAGTTGTTCCCCCCCCCCTTTTCCGTGCTCCCTTAATCTGCCCTTAAGAAAATTAGCGAAGAAAATATTTATTTGATTATACATGTAATAACAGCTGCAAGGATTGTTTATGCACAACATTGGAAAGCAGAGAAAATACCTTTGGAAGGAGAAGTAATTAAAAAAAAAATTAGTTTGTGCAGAAATGAATAGATTGACTTTGATGATTAAAGAAAGAGAAGATTTGGAATACTTTTAAGATATGGAATCAATTCTACTATTGGTTAGAAAAGAGATACAAATAAGTAAATTAATACCCTGTTTCCCCCAAGATAAGACATCCCCTGCTAATAAGCCCAATTGGGCTTTTGAGCACATGCCAATAAGGCCAAGCGCTTATTTCAGGATTCAAAAAAATATAAGGCAGGGTCTTATTTTTGGGGAAACACGGTAGTTATGTATAAAAATGCTATAATTGGAATATTTTGTTAGTGATGAATTATTGTAATTGATTGGATGAGAATGAAGACAGAAGTGACAACAAGAGGGAGAACGATTGGAGGCAACACCGAGATGTCACACGGAAGGAATGACTGATGTATTAAATGTTTGTTTGTTTGTTTAAAAAATAAAAAACTTTTAATAAAAAAAAATCTGCCCTTAAGAAGAGAATCGATGCGGTTACGTAAGGGCTGACCCAGATGCCTCTTTTTTTTCTTTGCTCCCCATCTCAGGTCTCACCAAATGTACTACATGTTCGGCTTCTTGTTCTTGGTCTTTATCATTCTCCTGATTACCTGTTCGGAGGCCACCGTCCTGCTTTGTTACTTTCACCTGTGTGCTGAGGTAAGCAGAAAAATCAGTTCGAGACTCAGATGCGTGGGTTTATTTCTTTATTTACTTTATTTATTAAGTTGCATCCCGCCTTTATTATTTTGAAAATAAGGGGGCAAACATATCCAACACACCTTCTTCTTATTTTCTCCGCAACAACAACCTGTGAGGTGGGTTGGGCTGAAAGAGAGAGAGAGAGACTGGTCCAAAGTCACCCAACCCAATTGGCTTTTGTACCTAAAGTGGGATTAGAGCTCATCATCTCCTGGGGGTTGGCCCAAAGTCACCCAGCCTAAGGTGAGACTAGAACTCACCATCTCCTAGTTGGCTCAAAGTCACCCAGCTGGTTTTAATGCCTAAGGCGAGACTAGAACTCACCATCTCCTAGTGATTGGCTCAAAGTCATCCAGCCGGTTTTCATGCCTAGGGTGAGACTAGAACTCACCATCTCCTAGGGATTGGCCCAAAGTCATCCAGCCGGTTTTCATGCCTAGGGTGAGACTAGAACTCACCATCTCTTAGGGATTGGCCCAAAGTCACCCATCCAGCTTTCATGGGTAAGGCAGGACTGGATCTCCTGGCCTCCTGCTTTCTATCCCAGCGCCTTAACCACTAGACCAAACTGGCTCTCTGCATTTTAAGAGCGGATTAGTGATAACTGGTAATTCTGGTGGCTTCTGCTCCTTCTGCATGAAGCTGCGTCAGACGGATTTGTGGGTGTCTGGGCTGCCAGTGGGTGAGGCACCGTTCCCTGGAATGAGAAGCTGGTGACACATTGTCTGCAACGCCAGGAGTCCCTTCCCCATAATAAGCATCTGGGGATCTGCAACTGTTTTAAGAGTGGCAATAAAGGAAAATACTTACACATGGTGGCAAAAGGCCAGGGAAAGGCAAGCCAGAATTTTTTTATTTGCTGTTGCCAGCCCAAGAGCCTGTGACTGTTCCCAGTGCCCAGCTGCCCTTCTCAGCGTCCCGTCATTAAAAAAAACGCATCTGCCAGCCAGATGGAGCATAAAAAGTAGGGCTGGTCCCCCAATGTGCATTTCCTAAGATGTTTTTTTGAGGGGTTTTATGCCCAGCTAAACAACCCTATTAAAATGTGGAGCTGACATACCAATCTTAACTGCATAGAGCAGGAATTAAAAAGTGTGGGGCACAATTGCTTCTCTCCCTGTCCCTTTTTTTGCAGAAGAAAGGTGGGGAAAAAACACACAAAGATTTAGGGAATGTGCCAGAATTAAAGTCAAAGTCAAAGTTTTTATTGTCATTGTACATCATGTATACAACCAAGTTGCTTTAGCCTCTACTGGTGCAGTTCATACAAGACAACAAGATTAACTTGGAAATCAGAAGGATTGATCGATTGGAAGTTGCGTCAATTACAGTGGTGTCCAAAATTGCGGAAACCTTTTGGGAAAAGTGTATTTTTGAGGTTTGATAAGCTAATAACACCACTTTTTTTTTTTTGAAATTTCAAGATTAATCCTATTCCACTGCTGGGAATAGCCCAGACCTTAACCCAATTGAAAATCTATGGAGCCGACTAAAGAAACTGGTTAGTCAGAAGTGACCCAGCAATAAAACCCAGTTAATAGAAGCAATCCTTCAATCTTGGTTTCACATTAGAACAGCTGCAGAACTAAAGGACTTGGTTCACTCCATGGGAAGACGTTGTAAGGCCATAATTCATGCTAAAGGTTACCCAACTAAGTATTAATTGACATGGTGATCATTTTTGTATAGCTCGTTTTTTCTATGGTGATCATTTTTGTATATCTCATTTTTTCTACATCTCCCTTTTCTTCTTTCTACTGTAACTGCTATTCTAATAGCAAATCCTTCATAAAAGTTATTGTGTTACATTCTTGATTAAATTATCTTTCCATTAATATGTAATTTTATGGTACTACTCCAAAAAAAAGTGGTGTTATTAGCTAGTTTTAGAAAATACACTTTTCTCAAAAGGTTTCCACAATTTTGGCCACTACTGTATATCCCCGTGATATAATGCAAAATTCATTCCAGTGTTATAGGGGAGGCCTGTAAGAGAGGCAGCGAAAGACAGTTAGGTTTTCTGGGGACAAATGTTTACAAACGTTCTCCAGATGTAACCAGATGTTGGTGCAAGAAACTCTTAAAATAATTAGCTTCCTTTTCTCATTTTGCGTCAGGCCCCAGTTTAGGGGACTTTGGAATTCTAATTAAAAACAACTATCTACTCCTGGCTCTTAACCTTGGGGATTTTTTTTTCCCTGCCTCGTACATATTTGCTCTTTGTCCTTCAGCTTCTCTGTTGTGTTCCTAGGATTATCACTGGTGGTGGAGATCATTCCTGACCAGCAGCTTCACCGCCGTTTATCTCTTCATCTACGCCATCCATTATTTTTTCTCGAAACTCCAGATTACTGGTATTGCTAGCACCATCCTGTACTTCGGGTATACTATGATCATGGTCTTGATTTTCTTCCTGTTCACAGGTGAGTCCATACTGACGTGACCCAAGCCACTCCTGTTTGGAGAAAAAATAATCCAACAATAACAAGACAGACTTTGCTCTTTAGCCAAGATTTGTACGGCTTTCTTTTGGTTTTTTTGCACCCAAGGTAGCAAAACCCGCTTTGAACCCGGTCGATAAATTGCTTTAAAATCCGGTCTATGGCTTTCCAGACTGGCTGTAATTAGAGAAGCAGCTTCTGTAAATATGTTCCTTAGAAATGAGGATTTCTCTTTGTCGAGATCAGTCCCCGGATGCCACTGCTATTTGCATCACCATTATAACTTGTGAGATCACTGTGCAATGCCTTGGGGCACATCTTCCTCTGGTTAATGTTCTATTGAATAATCACTTTTCCAGGCTCCGGAGGAAAAAATTAGGTGCTTAACCAAGCTGCAGTTTTCTCCCGTTCCTTAAATAGGGAACATCTGGAGAAACTAGTAATTCATCCATCCTACAGGTATTCCTCAGCTTTATGGCCACAGTTGAAGTCCACACATCTCAAAGGGGCCACATTTGATCCAGCCGTACTTTGTACAGGTAGACTTACAACCAAAATTGAGACCCGGATTTATGTTGCTAAGCGAGACATTCGTTAAGCAAGTCTTGCTCCCTTTTACATCCTTTATTGCCACGGCGGTTGTTCAGTTAGCAACACGGTTGTTAAGTGTGAACCTTGAGTTTGCTTGTCAACAAGTCCCAAAAGGAAGCGGCCCCGACATACTGCAACTGTCATAAGTACATGCCAGTTGCCAAGCCTCTGGATTTTGATCACGTGACCATGGGGACGCTGCAACCACCGTAAGTGTGAAAAATGGTCATTGTAACTTCAAATGGTCGCTAAGTGAACTTTTCTAAGTTGAGGAATATAATATATTAGTGGCATATAAAGGCAGAGATCTCTGTAATGGTAGTTTAATACTCTGACGCTGTCAGCAGATGGCTGACAAAAGCTTAGTAAAATACAATTTTAATTCTTTTAAAATTTTAAAATCTTAAATTCCGGAGTTGGCAGTATGTCTGCTTTTTTTTTTTACTAATTTAATATATGTATATGTATATGTATATGTATATGTATATGTATATGTATATGTATATGTATATGTATACCCACACCCTGTTTCCCCGAAAATAAGACATCCCCTGATAATAAGCCCAATTGGGCTTTTAAGCGCATATGCTAAAATAAGCCTCTTCCCAAAAATAAGTCCTTCCCAAAAATATTTAAATGCAGAGGTGGAAATCAGGTAAGATGGCAAGAGTAACCCCATCTTGCTCCATGCGCCCCAAAATAATAAGACCTCCCCAAAAATAAGGCCAAGCACCTATTTCAGGGTTCAAAAAAAATATAAGACAGGGTCTTATTTTTGGGGAAACGGGTATATCTATTATTTTTAAATATACATAAGTATTAAATACATGAACACTGTGGCATCTGGGTATCATTGATTTTAGTACCTAATAATAGTAATATTGATAATCCTAGTTATATTAATAATACATAATTATAGTAATATTATAAATATTAGAATTGAAGTTATTAACATGTTAGCATTTGCTCCCCCCTGTATATAATCCTTAATAATAACAGTAACAAGAGTTGGAAGGGACTTTGGAGGTCATCTAGTCCAACCCCCTGCCATTTAATTATTCAATGTTTTAATACACAATACTAATAACAAAATAATAGTATTAAATAATAGTATTTAAGAAGATGTTGGATAACCCTTTGTCTGAAATGGTATAATAGGGTTTCCTGCCTGGGCAGGAGGTTGGACTAGAAAACCTCCAAGGTCCCTTCCAACTCTGTTATCCTATTTCTATTTCTAGTAATATTATTTAAGTATTTGATATTATTATTTAACTCAAACAATCTTAACTAAAAGATTTAACCCTCTTCGTGTCTTCCTTTCTTTAAAAAAAAATAAATTAATTTATTGATGTTTTGCAGGAACAATCGGTTTCTTCGCTTGCTTCTGGTTCGTCAGTAAGATTTACAGCGTGGTGAAAGTAGACTGAAGAATCCCAGGTCTTCCTTTTGAACACGTGTCTTGAGTTGCCGGAGACCCAAGGCATTAACCATGTACAAAAGACACAAAAGCATTTCATCTTCAAACAGCTACGGTATACCCAGAGCTTCTTTCTTGGCATCAAAAAGGCAGGTTTTAAATGGAATGGACGTAAGTAGCGTGGATCCTTCCAAAAAACCCAACTTGCTTTTTTTCCCCCCCCAAACACTTCATCCAGAGAGAGATATACGTATATATATATATATATATATATATATATATTTGTTGGCTGGTTGGTTGGTTGGTTTGGTTTGCTCGAAAAAGACCCAACACCGATTTAATAACGAAAAGCCAAACACATTATGTTCGACACTTCTCTGTCCCGATGGAGAATTCTCATAAATCTTTTGTTTTCTACATGGTTAACTGATTATTTTGTCACGGAAGAGGGGCTGTCTGGTTACCAAAAAAAAAAGAAAAAAAAAAAGTGACTTACAAATCAATTTTGGATCTCTTTCGCTGTTGGTTGTCCCCTGATTCAAGAGGACAGCCGTTTCAGTGTCTAGTGCAGATTTCTGAGGGGTGGGAGGAAAAACCGCAACATTTCCTCTGTTTTAAATAAAACGACCCAATTCCAGCAGCCTGGCGTCTTTCTATTTCATCCATTGATGTTTTTAATAGTGTCAAATTCAAGACATGGAGGAAACGATCTTTTACTGACTCAGACAGTGGGTATTCCTGTCCCCTCTTGGCTGTACTGGTCAAGAGAGATTTTGGATTTTTTTTTCCCCATTCACGGAAGGCACTGTCTTGCTGAGTAGTACCGTAGTCCTCGGCTTACAACCAAAATCGAGCCCGGAATTATAGCCGTCTATTATTGCGGTCACAAGTTGAGGCATCGTGACCTGTATTCAGTGATGGGACTTGAATAACTTAACAACCAGTTCTCTGGCTGGGTAGGCGTGGCCGGTTGATCATGTGACTGGGTGGGTGACGTCATTCATCACACACAGCCCCGCCTCCTGGCCACTCGCTTCAAAGGTAGAGGTAGGATTCAGCCGGTTGGGGCATCTCACCACTGGCTGGCCCCGCCCACATCTGTTTTGGGGCTGTTTTCAGTGCCCTTTTTGCCCAGTTTTTGGGTCATTTTTTGCAACCTGAAAATGGCCCGTTAGTTCACAAATAAAAGTGAATTTCCGTGTCCCAGGTTAATGTTACAGGATCTAATCTGGATTGGGTACCGGGACCGGAGATTTTGTCTTCTGAGCTTTCGGATTTGTGCTGGAGCCCATTCTCGGAGAAATTCTCTCTAGCCAGTTTTAATTTTTTTTCCCCCCTTTTCTTTAAATAGTTCTAAATAAGAACTATTTGAGCACAAACCTTACTCCCGACACATGGTGAATGTTGGACGGCAGATGGTCAGCCTTGAGTGAGGGAGTTTTGCTGCTATTTATACTTGGCAAACTTGTGTTTTTTTTCTTCTTTTTATGCTGCTGCCTTTTAGCTGTTTTGAGTGGGTGGGCAGACAAGTACAAGCTGTGTGCAGTCCTGTATATTGAATACAGTGATGCCCTGTTAGGGTCTCCAGGCATTCTCTTTTAACCGGAGTCCTTATTTTTTTTACTATTTTATTAAAATAATGTTGAAAATCACCTCATTTTGAACTCATCGTAATGTTAGAACAAAATCCATGCAAAAATCTTCATGTATTCTCAAATTCTTATTTTTTTTCCCCCAGCAAATAAGACCAGAAATTTCTGCTCAATTGAAGTGAGAATCTAATCTTAACAATAGATAATATTCTGTGTAAATGTAACGATGGTATATTTGGAAAAGCAAGTCTCGAGTCCTTCCTCCACATTGCGAAGTAAATTCCTGTGGCAGCCCCTCCAATATCGGAACGCGGCTATCATGTCCCTCCCCCAGTCCTTCTTTTCATTAAACTAGACATACCCAATTCCTGCAAACGTTTTTCGTATGCTTTAGCCTCCTTTAATCATCTTTGTTGCTCTTCTCTCTTAAGATTTGTGGACTTACTAACGTTACCAGGCTGGCTGGGAAATTCTGGGAGTTGAAGTCCACAGGTCTTAAAAGTTGCCAAGGTTGGATAGCCTTGCCTTAGGCAATGTGGGGGCTACAATTTCTGAAAAGCAACGGGACCAATAAATTACCAGCTTAGCTTTGATAGTGTCATTTTCTGCAATTTAAGGCGATTTAAAAATAAATAAATAAATAGAAAATACCATTTTAGTCAGCGCTTGGACTCCATTTATGAGTTTATCTGCTCATTATTTGCTATTCCTGAGATGTAAAAAAAAATAAAAAAATAGGTATAGCATTTCTGCCCCATAAAATGCGCAAGGCATTTTAACAATGGCTCCACGGGCTTTCAATATATCAGGAGGCCTGTCGACAAGCAACACAAGAGGGAAAAGTAAAACAAAACACAAAAATATGGCCAACGCGCACAACGGATTAATCTTGTGGTTTTACAGCAAGAAAAGAGTCACCTAAGGGCCTCTCTACCCTTCCCCGAGGCTTATAAATCTTGAGTTTGCAATGTGGCGAGCCAGAACTTCTAAGTGTTTTTTCTCCGGTTACAAACAGATAATAAATTATGTTCTTACTACAGAGGTCTCCGTATTAAAATTCTGGCATCGGCTGCTCAGAAAACCAGCTCTGTCGTGTTTCACAACTTCAGAAAGACTTCCAACTGTCACCTGAGATGGTCAGGAAGGAAGGTGGCTGCTCCTTAGGTTGGCCAAAACTGGTCTACATGGACTTCCTATTAGTATACAAGTAAATGTTTCCTTTATTTTTTTAAACTTAAAAAACAATTGTCAGATTTTACCCATAGGTAGATCAATTCTAAAGGACAGGTAGTTTTCGACTTAAAACTGTTTATATCGTAACTTTTCGAAGTTACAAGAGTACCGGAAAAAAGTGACTTTGGATTGTTTTCACACTTATGACTGTAGCATCCCCATCTGGTCCTGTGGTCAAAATCTGGAGGCATGGCAACCAGTTCGTATTTATTACGGTTGCCGTACCCCAGAGTCACGCGGCCACTTCCTTGAAAGCAAAGTCGCTGGGGAAGCCAGATTCACTTAACAACCGGGTTACAAACCGAACTGCAGCAATTCACGGAATGGCGGTGGCAAGAACGGATCGTAAAATTCACCGAACGAGTGTCTCGCTTAGCAACGGGGAACTTTTGGGATCGGCTGCGGTCGTACGTCTGGGTCTACCTGTATTCCGGTTTCCAACAGCCAGTCGTTCTAGATGTGGAAGGGATGAGTCTTGTTTGATCAGAGAACCTGCCATTCTAACTCTTTTATTATTCTGACATTCTGGCAAGATTGGATTGCTCTGCCCTAAACTGTAAAAGAGAGGGGTGTTATTCAGGGGTGAAATGCTACCAGTTCACCCCAATTCGGGCGAACCAGTAATGAGAAAAACTACCGGTTCGGGCAAACTGGTAGTAAAAAAAAAAGCTACCAGTTCATCCGAACCAATATTTCTGATGATCAGCTGTGCTGCACGGTTTATATTAGCTAGAAAGCAGGATTTCCTGCTTTCTAGCGAAGCTGAATCTCGCAGCACAGCTGTTCCCCCCCTCGCTATTCTACTTACCTAGTGAAGCGGGCATTTGGCGCGCGCTGCACATGTGTGGGCAGCGAACCGGTGGCGATCCTCGGAGGATTTCACCACTGGTGTTATTGTTGCAAATGTGTAAATCTACCCAATTAATCATCACAATTTACACAGTGAGCACAATTAAGGATTGTTTTTCAAGCCCCCACCCAGTACGTCTCCGTCGTTCATCCGAACAAGCCATGCAGAATTTGTATTCAAGGATCAAACCTTCAGGGAAGGTAAATGCCCAAATCCGGAAATAATTTATTTACCAACAACGATATCGTCTTTCAGGTGTTGTCGAAAACCTTGGCGCTGCTCAATATTTTCTAATTCCTGCCACCTCTTTTTGGAAAGGAAACTTCGGAGATGTAACCATATTGTTCGCCAGAAGCAGAAAACAAATCTCCATTTTATCCCCCTTGTCTTTTTCCTTCCCGAATCCTCTCTTTTCAATGGGAACTAATAAAATGTATTAATTCTAATGAAGACTTAACAAGACCCGAAGAAAAACAGAAGAAAAACACAAGGGCAGAATTCGGCTTCCTGTTTTCACCTGCAAGCAGCTGGATTTGGCATACTTCTGTGCGGCAGACCTGCTGTGTTTTCATCAAGGAGAGAGAGAAAGAGAAAGAAAGGAAGGAAAAAAAAAAAGAGCGTGATTACGGTGCCGGGTCAAGGTGAAACGGGGATTGTGGAGGGGGGAAAAAGGGGGCTTTCATTGAAATGTAAATGTTGCCATAATAGCAAAAGGGAATCCACAAATTACAGGCATTTTCTTTCATTCGAAAATAAGTGTTCCATTCAGCTTTTTTTTTTTTTTTTAATCCTTTTCCGCCAATCGGAGAGCATTATTTATAGAGTGGCATAAAAGGCAAGAATAAAGCATTTTTTTTTTAAAAAAATGGAGAGTATAAAAACTTATCTTGCAAAGCAAGCAAGATCAACGTTGCTGAGTTTCATGTCCATGGAGATTCTCAGCCATCCAGGTCATGTCTGTCTCAAAGGTGCTTTAAAAAAAAGAAAGAAAAGAAAAGCAACTGGACTTTCTTGATGGTTTTTTCTTTTTTTTTGAAGACGTTTCACTTCTCATCTGAGAAGCTTCTTCCGTTCTGGAGCTGAATGGAAGAAGCTTCTTGGAAGAACCAAGTGAAACATCTTCCACGAAAGACACTTTTGGGATTGCTCAGTTTAGTTCCATTTCCGCCCCTATAATTTTTTCCCCAATAGAGCTGATACCATCTCTATCCATCTCTAAGCTCAAATCTTGGCTTTTCCTGGGAACAACGAACTCTCAAAACTAATTTTTCGCATTTTCTGGCTTCTTGGAGAAGGGGGTGTGTGGGTAAACGGGAGTCTTGAGGCTAGTGTCCGTGAAGTTCTCGGTCAAGGAGGGTTGCAAGACGAGGAAAGCTCTTTAATAAGTCTTGCAGGTGGAAACAGGATGCTTTCTGGAAATTAATGGCAGAAGGTGGGGCGATCCCATAAGAAGATTACTCGGCCTTTGCCAGCTAATCATAGTGATCTAAATCTCGCTGCAAGAAAGCCACTACCATAACAAGACTCCTTCCATACGTGCGCCTGAGTTCGGGTCAGGTTACGTCACCTTTTACAGGGGACAACGGGGGGAAAAAAACCCCAGGTTAGATGAGATTTGATTCTGCTTGGGTAGACTGGTTGGAAAAAGACATTATGGAGAAAAGCATCAGACTTTTGGTCGGGGTGGGTGGGTGGGCTGAAGACTAAGAACGGTTAAAGGAATTGGGTATGTCTAGTGAAAAGAAGAATGAGGGGTGACATGATAGCAGTGTTCCAGTATTTGAGGGGCTGCCACTAAGAAGAAGGGGTCGACCTATTTTCCAAAGCACCTGAAGACACAAGAAGAAGCAACGGATGGAAACTCGTCAAGGAGAAAACCAAGGAGAAATTTCCTGACATTGAGAACAATCAACCAATGTGTTATGACCTAGGCCCAGGTAGTTATTACTAGACACAATCAGTCCTAAACAAACATATTTTATTAGAACAGCTGAGAATTACTTCATTCTCAGCTTAGTCCAAATTAATTCCAAACCAAGTCCTTCAGAAAAAGTCCTTCAGCCTTATCACAAACCTTTGTCTTCTTTGGCACCCTGCCAAAGACTTTTGGCAAAGCCCCATGAAGTTCAGAAACAAGAGAGCCTACAAGAACAAATGTAGCAATGTTGCTTTCCTACAAAGAGCCCAAGAGCTGTTGCTGCTCTTTTAAACCTTATGGGAATAGTCAATCATCTGGCTTTACTCCCAAGTCGTCCTTTTTGCTTTAGCTGCTCTTGCCTTCTGGCAGCTCTTTGCATGCGTGCACCAGGAACAGGCTCCTCCTGTTCCTCTGCCTCTCTGCTGTCCGCCTCTGGAGGCTCTGGAGTCCGCGCATTGCTCCCAGATGGCCCTGGCCCCATCTCTGCCTCCGATGCAGAGCCCTTGTCTTGGCCTTCCCCTGACTCCAGGACTGGCCCATTGTCCTCCCCAACCTCCTCACTATCGGACTCCACTGCCAGCTCCGCAGGCTGCTGGTGGACCACAACACAACGGAACAGTTTACCTTGAGAAATTGTGGGTGCTCCAATACTGGAGGTTTTCAAGAAGAGATTGGACAGCGATTTGTCTAAAATGGAATAGGGTCTCTTGCTTGAGTAGAGGGTTGGACGAGAAGACCTCCAAGGCCCCTTCCAACTCTGTTATCCTGTATTCTGTACTTTGACCCATGTTATCTCCACCACACAAGGAATTTGTGGTTGGTTGGCTGTGAGATGTGGAACTACAGCTAGCGCGCTCAAAAATGAGAATAGAAGGGCTCCCTTGACCAGGGTTAGTTGGGATATTCACCCATGCTTGCTCGGGAATTCTGGGAGTTGAAGTCTACCCATCTTGAAAGTTGCCAAGGTTGGACAAGCCCGGTCTATGATGAAATGTTCTGCCTATTGGTCTGTAGAAAACTGAAATACATGATTGGGCCAAATCTTCCTCCATTAACTTCTGTCTGCCCGTCTGTCTCTCACCCAGAGCATCTCTACCTGTTGGATTTCAGGACCCTGTAGAAATCCAAGGGTGGTGGGCTTGCTTAAACCAACAGCTAATTTATTTATTCGTCCTCAGAGGAGTTCTAAACTGGCCGCCTTCGTGAGAATGACGGATTTCTTCGAAAGTCTCCTGGCACAATATATAAAAATCCTGAAGGACTTGGTGTTTTTTTTCCCCCTTCCCAGCAGAGGGCACTCCTTGTGTTTTAAAAACAGAAATTATCTCTACGAAGAAATCACATTATTCCGCTGCAGCAGAAAG